AAAGACCACTTTAAGGATATTTTCAAAAATTTTCTTCAAGTTAAGAGTTATGTAACCAAAAAGTATAGTGACATATATTAAAGGTCATTTAACCAAGATTATAGCAGCAGCAGCTGAAAGAGGCTCGGTGACTGAAATAGTGTCACTGCTATTGATTCATCTGTCAGTTCTATTCCTAAATTAAATCATAGAATAAAGTAAACAGTTATATCGTGGCAATGTCTAGTTTAACATTTAGTGCAAAATCTTCCCTACAGTCCAACATACCCAAAATGAATTTAAAATACTTTTTAACGGTTAAGCATAAAATCTAAAAGGTCTATTTAAAGAAGCTAACTGGTAAGAAACATACCTAAATTTATAATGTTTGAAATAAAAATGGTCAATTTAGCATTGTTTTTACTTCTAATTTATCCAACTATAACGAATGTAATATTATCTTTGGCGTGTGATGTAAATGAAACAGAAAACAACGTTATAATTAGAAAACAAATCACCGGAATATTTTGATTTCCGGTTGTACTGAATGATAACTTCAAAACTTTCCCTGCCTTGCTCAAATTTAGTTGCGTATTCAAAAAATTTATTTAGTTGTTTACAGTATAGGGGTAAAGGCATCTTAAAATTATAGGTTTCTCTTAGGTTACCCCTGATCGTATAAATTGTAGTTATTTTTCACAGACGAATAACGGGTTCCCCGCAAAATTCATATTCTGAGAAAAAGAAATTATTAACCGGAGACACAAGGGAAAATAAATATATTTTGAACACAAGACTGCTACAGTTTCCTTTTTCACTGGCTACTCAAAAGACCAGACCAGACAGGTAATTACTAGGAGAGGAGAGGAAGACAAGTGCGGTGAAACAATAACAACAACAAAAAAAGAGACTCTCTCTTTTTGTATCCTAGGGGGCTCCACCCGGATCGTAAAGCTCACCTTGTTTTTTGATGATAAACAGATTGTTACATTAAAAATATAAATTATTCGAATAAAAGATGCTAAGTTTTAATTTTTATTTTTTATTGTATGGACACAGATTTGGTACCACAGGTTTCCGATTTAATTTGAGGGAAATTTAAACCTAATAATTTGCCCACTCTCTTTTTTTCCCTTTGAAAATTTTTATTTAATCATTGATAACTTTAAATGCTTGTTAAATATCGTTTTAGAGTTTCATACAGTTATTTTGTACTCATTATTTAAATTGCATAATTTGACTGATTTTAGATTCACATTATATTTGCTGCAAAAGTAAATATAACACAAATATTTATTTACTGTTAAAGAATTGTATAACGGTAACTAAATATTTTGCGTAAAATTTCGAATATTTAGATAATATCATGCAATTACTTAATAGATAGGCTTAGTTTAAAGCCTTTAAATTTGGGTAATAATTGAAATTAAAATCGTTAACTCAGAACCCCCAAAATAGATGAAAGCACGACTTACACATTTCCATTTTCACAATTTAGACATAGATCTGAAGGGGAAGATAATCTTTTCCTGCTCCCTAAACCCATGGTACTGATCAGCAACTGACCAGAGGACTTTCGATTCCACAGATTTTACGGGTTCGTATATCGCATGTACTCGGTGTGTCTTAGCGGCTTTGAGGATCGAACCCAATTCGCATCGGACTGAAGTCCAATGCTTTATCCACTTGGCTTCCTACGGCTAGTAATATTTATGAGGGATGATGAATATCATAGGAAAATATTGTTAAATAAAGGTTAAATAAATAATTTGCAACTAAACATTATCATAAATTTATGCTTTTAACAAACAAAAATATTTGGATCTTCTGTGTTTATTAATTATAATATCATGTGATGTAGAAATACAACATAACTAGGGCTTTATAAATTTTACCTAGGGTTCATAAATCTAAGACTGAAATTTTTTTGAAATTATATGATTAAAATTATGCGAAGGTCAAGAAAACCGCGAACTCTCAGACACAAGGCCCCGAGTCAGGACCACATCATTTATTGGTAACAAAAATACACACAAAATTTAACCCATCATCTGTGGTGTAACTAGCCTACTGTGCGATATTCGCAAAATTAAAATTTGCTCGCTTTTTTTAAATCTTCCTGTCATTTCAAAGCGTAAGACCTTTAATTTTTTTTTTGTGAAGCCGTAATGAAAATATTACTTTTTAAAACAATTTCTATAAATTGCGTAGAAAAAAGGCACTAATTTTATTACTAATTATAACTTATTAAAACGCTAACTAATAAAAAAAACTAGTAAATACAGTTTAAAATGCACAAGATTTTAGTTAAATACATCTAATGCAAAATATCAGTTATTGCCACCCTTTATATATTTTTAGCATTATTCTCACATAAGTGGTCAATATTAGAATCTTGTTGTTGTTGTAGTTCATTTACGTCGCACTAGAGCTGCACAACGGGCTATTGGCGACGGTCTGGGAAACATCCTCGAGGATGATCCGAAGATATGCCATGGCAATTTTGATCCTCTACAGAGGAGATGGCTCCCCTGCTTTGGTAGCCCGACGTACATTTTCTACATAAAAGTTTATAATCCGCTACGAACCTCCGCGATTCCGTCATTTCTGAAAAAAAAAATGAGACCACATGCCTTATATCTGATAGGTATCAGTTTCGCAATCATACCACCCAATACAAAAGAAATAAAAGATTTATCCCAGCATAAAATCGCTGATTATTCATAATGTTCATATTTGTTACTCATCAATTTAAAATAAACTGCTTCTAAAAGAGATAAAGGGAGACGCAAAAAGTATACTTCTTATAATTTTTTGATAAGAGATATATTCCTAATCAACATGATATCTGAAACGCAGATAAAAAAAAAGGGCTAGAGAGATATCATTTACGTCATTCTTGGATTGCTCAGTCTATTTATGAAACTTAGTGTCCTTAAAGACTCATAAAAATCAAGAAATTTAAAATGTAGGAATGTATAGAGAGAAAAAAAAAGAAAAAAAAAAAGGACACATTATTCATAATATAACTTTATTTGTTAAACATTGCTCAGATGAAATATAACAGATTTCAACACACTTGAATTAAGTCTCAGTATTAAGTATTATGTAAATTCAATTATTTGAATAATATGCGCATAATTTTTAAATCTAAATAAAATACTTCTTAGCTTGACGTAATTAAATTATTATTCATAAATTATTGCGTATTATACATTACGTATTATAAATAAGACTTTATATTGGTTTATAATATTTTTTGTTTTATATACAACTATAATACTTATTAAGCCCGCCTATTCGTGAAATTTATATATCTAAAAATATATTATTTCGTTTCTCATAAAGGAACAGGACATCTCTTTTATGTTCCCTTTTCATTTTGCTTTTATTATCTTATACATATTAAAAGAAAGAAGAATAAAAACAAAATTGTCAGAGCTTATCCCTTTATTGCAATATTTGTAAACATTTTTAATTTTTATTATCACTATCATTTTAAATTTAATGGTCTATCAAATTACCATATCTAATAAACATGACTGAAATTTGTATTTCAATATGACTCAGAAATTGTTTTATCCAGTATAAAATAAAGCATGAATTACGAAAATAGTTTATTGATTTTTTGTTCTAATTTTCCAAAATAAATCATAGTTTTTCATAAGTTATACTATTTCGAATGGAAACTAAAGTAAATATTATATTCTCTGTTTTACATTAATGATCGTTAGCTTAAAAATTAATTGATTTTAAATTCTACGGATATAATATGAACTTTACTCTCTCATTTTTTTGTTTAATTCTTCTTGCATATGTTTTCGCACCAGTTAGATTTCTGTCATTTTTTGAGTTTTTCATTGAGTACATTATATCATTGTAGATTTTTTACCTTAAAAGGGGAGTTTTTCAACCGCATTCAGCTCTAAAAACAGTTGAAAATTATTTTCTTTATCCTAAAGCCTTAACCATTTCAATCAACAACAAAAAAAAATTTAAATAGTAATATTTGATTTGAATCTCCAATCAATAAGGAGCAATTATTTATTAAAAAAATAATGAATGAAAGATTAAAATTTGATAAAAATCAATAATTTTTCATAGTTTCTTTATTAGTTTGAAAATAAATTAAGAGGATACGTGCCTTTTGCTGAAAAATTTAGGAATAGTTTCAATTAAACAAATATGAAATTTCTAAGTAAAATTTATAAATTGCCTTTATTAATTTTGTGAATGCATGACAACGACAACTTAAAGAAAATACTGACATGAATCACAAAATTGCATAAAAATATTCAACAATGAAAAAATACAAAAATTATCCCACGTGTCTCAAATGTCAATTAAAAACAAACAAACTTCCAACTTTTATATACTGATGTGTGATTGGCGTAGTATAAATCATCACAAGGATAATTTTTTTTTTCACTTATAGTAGTAATTGAGAAGAAGAAAAAAACTTTTGAATTTTTTTTTTCTTCGTAAAATAACATTTTTGACGCACTTAAGTGTTAGGTTAACCGAAACAGAATGAGTAGTATTAATTATTTAATTTGAATAAAAGAATATTTTAAATCATCATATGAAGCTTATTCATTTATGAACTTTAAAGTAAATGTAAGAAAAAATTGTGGCACGAGGATCAAAATAAAAGAAGATACTAGTAAAAAATTTAACTTGCGTATAAATTAATGCTAATAGTTTTGATAGCTTAAAACTATTTTACTGATCTTTACTTAATGGCAAATATAAATGTTTTTTCTCTTTTTATTTATTTTTTGATGAAAATAATTTTCAAAAATTTGGTGATTTTCCCGTAATATGTAATAAAAATTATTCAATAAAAGTTCACTGAAAGTAGAAAAAAAAAATCACTGCAATAAATGATTTTGAATGCAGATGATTTAAAAATTTCTCAGCATCCCATTTGCGGAAAAGAGGATAGTCTTTATTGTGCGCATGCGCACTCTTCTCCTTCCGTCTTATGCCAGCTCACTGCGCAAGAATTGGGTGCGTTCTGTGACTCAAAAGATAAGTAATTGACAGCTGATATAAAATTACTTAACACCCGGCTTCTACCTCTTCTTTTTTCTCCGTGGTTCTCCGCTAGCATCCATTTTTACGCTTCGCAGTAAGCTGTTGCGGGTTTTACAATCTAATATTTTTCGGCGTGCCTTCAAATATCAATTTTCAGTAAAAATGCCATCAGAAAAAGTATTGAATTTTGCTCCAGGCCCCGCAAAAGTGCCAGAAGAAGTAAGTAACTTTTTTTGTTTACAATTTCGTCTCTCACGTATAAAGTGATAATGTTTTTAGGAAAACGCATGCTACATCTAATTTTTGTGGGAATTCTGATTGCTTTATGGATGTATGCGAGAACTATTCTATCTAAAATTGCTTTATGTCTGACTAAATTGATTTGATATATTTATGCTATAAATACGACCACCTGCAAACTTTGGATCGATCACTAAAACACTTTCTTCTGTTTGAAAACATCATGAATTGAAAATTTTTCTTTCATTCATTTGTGCTGTGCAATGTATGTAATTTTATGCATTTCTCCATTTCATCATTAAAATGGCTTTATTAAGATTAATTCGTTAAATTTTTATTATTTTGATCCTCATATTTACAAATTTTTTAAAAAATTTAGAAATAATTGTTTTAGTTTTAAGAGATTATTCAGTTTATTATTATTTAATGACTTATATTTTCCTGATACCAGTGTTGATATGTATGACTATACTGATTTGTTTTATTTATGTTTTAAATTCGACCACCTGCAAACTTTGGATCAAACACTAACACAATTTCTTCTATTTGAAAACATCGTTAATTGAAAATTTTTCTTTCATTCATTTGAGTAGTGCAGTGTATGTAAATTTATGTTGGCAAATAAACATTGTTTATTACTCCATTTCATCATTGAAATGGCTTTATTTCTGCTTTATTATTATTAATTTGTTAAATATTTATTATTTTTAATCCCTCATATTTACAAATTTTTTAAATACTGCAGAAGTAATTGTTTTAGTTTGTTTATTATTAATTTGTAGTTTATTCAGTTCATTATTATTTAGTAACTTATATTTTCCTAATACCAGTGTTGGTATTTCAGATTAAATAGTGTAATATAACCTAGAAAACAGGGAATTCTCAAAATGAATTGTTTTACATATAGCTAGTATTTGAGTTCATACAAAGTATCTACATTATTTACTACTACATTACTATATAATTTACTACTACACTCGTGAGAAACAAATGTAAAATTCCAATTGCTATAATAAACAAAAATTTAATATTAATAAAAGATGTAATTATTAATTTTTATATGTAATAAGTGCATGGTCATTACATTTGAAGTTATAACTCCTTTTAGAGCTGTAGACTTTGGAAAGCAGGCAATTCATATTGTCCTGTCCAAAACCAGTTTAAGCCAGTATATCCAGTTATGTGAATGGAAAAGGAATTTTGATAATAATAATAAAGCTTTGTTGTATGTTTAAAATAATGTATGTAATGTGTTCCTCCTTGTATTTTATTCTATTTTATTATATATTCTTATTTGTATTTTAATATTACTCTGTTCTATGATATATTGTTATTTATTCTTCAAAATTATTCTAGGTACTTCAGCAAGCACACTCTGAGTTTTTTAATTACAATGGGGAAGGTATTAGTGTTGTAGGTAAGAGTAATTTTTCAATATGCTTCGATAGTTTATTTTAGCTGGCTTAATTATGTGGATAAGAAAAATTTGCACTGCTTTTTACATTATACTAAACAATGAAACAAATTGCTAATGATCAGATTTAATTTTTTTTTAACAATAACTGCACAGTATAGTTAAAAAAATTAAATCTTATCATTAGTTTGCTATTTTTATAACTATAACTGCAAGTTTTACAATTATATTTTCAATGATGTGTCATTTATTTTAAATTAAGAAAAAATGTGAATTTTTAAATTTTTTTTCTTATTTATGAGCTAGTTGATTACTTTAAAAAATTCTTTGATCAATAATTTTTTAAAAATTATATTTAAATTCAAATGTTTTTTAAATTTTTTTCTTCCCGTTACTTGACATTAAATTGTGCAGCATTTTTAAAAAGTGCTTAAAGGTGCTTTTTTCATGGGATGTTTTTAAAAAGTGCTTAATTTTCCCTTTTCGAAAATTAGATTTTTTTTACCATGTCAATTTTTGTTGCTTATAATGCAGAAGCATGGTTTTCACATTGTTTTATTCAACTTTTTCACAATTTATTCAACCACAATCCATTTCGGTGTACCGTCGGTCTGTAACATATGACAGCATCAATCATATTACATGTTTGATGAAATACTTGGGAGTGACTCTTGACTACTGAGCTGAGTTCAGGGAGATTCTTGCACTCTTATGGGCAATTCTGCTGCATTTTGCAAGATATTTTCAATTTCAGTCTTCATTTTACTTCTGAAATTGAACCGAAAAATCTCTATATTTTTATGGTGGCTAATATAATCAAGAAAAGAGTACTCTGTCAGAAACTGAAACTAGTTATTTTATCATGATCTAGTGAAGTCTTTGAAAGTTATTTTGCATTTTATTAATGTCATGTATATAGTGCTTAAAAATATTTTTTGAGTGCTTAAAAAGTTCTTATTTTTTGTTAAGAGATTTGGCTACACCCCTGTGTGATGAAAGTTCTTGTATGGCTATAATTTTATATCTTCATGTTTAAAATCATGTCAGGAATACTGAGGGTGAAATTATGGCAGTTTTGTTGCTCACCTAATGCATATTGGAGTAAATCACAGAATCTGATGCACCCATATATTAAACATGAAACTTCGATTTAACCTGAAATCTACCCAGAACCTAACCTAAATGTAGAGTTGAAAATTAAAAACTTGTATTTTTTGATGAAAATTAAAGTTTTTATGTAAATTGTGGGAGCTATGTCACATTTATTTTTACTGTTACTTTACTTTTTAATATTTACACTTTTGTACTTATAAAATAAAATTTGTTTTGTGTTTTTGCCTTTACACAATTTAAAAAAAATTATATTTTTGAACAAAAAAATGAGTCAAATTTTAGGAGAGCTAAGTGTTTTGTAATTACACTAAAAGATTTTTGATAATTATGTGATTTAAACGACAACTTTCAATCAGCTTGAAATGAAATTTTAAATTCTGAAAAAAAAAGTTTTTTGTGATTCATCCTAGTGCATCTGTTACATATTTTTAGTTAATATGAACTGAAATAAAATGAACAATAAACTTATCTCTCATAAATGATTTTTTTTTATTTTAGTTTAATGATTTGTATCAAACTATGAAATGTCTCCATTATTCAATATTGATTTATATTAAAAATAATATTTTTTTATTTTGAAGTTTCAAAGAAGTTCTCTCAGATAATAAGCTAATTTAGAAATCACTTAAAATTTTTTATCTTCATGGTCAGAAGAGATATATTAGATAAAATGTTGAGCAACTTCATTGATTAGTTATCTTACGTATTTCAAAGATTATCTTTCTTTCATAGGAAAATTGAATCTCTTTCAAAACTTAACTAATCTATTTAAATTATTATCATTCATTTTATTTTAGTTTTTACATTCTTTATAGTAGTTGTAATTTTTTAAGGATTTAAATGTTCTTCATAAAAGTTGAATTGCAATTTTTAAAAAAAGTGAAATTTAATATCTAATGTTAATAAGAGTTATTTAAGTTTTCAAAATTTCTACCAGGTACATTAATTAATTATAAGAAATTTTTGCTTGAAAGAACATTTTTGATATTTCAAGAATAATTGGAAATGTTACTTTTTATAAATAGTTATTCAGAAATGACAGAAAAAATATAGCTGGCAGAATTTTTTTAATCAATTTTATTTTTCTTCTTTGTGTTTTTTTATTATTGTTAAAGTTACTTCCATAATATTATTGTTTTTGGTCTAAATGATTTATTACTGGGACACATAAAGTTCTGGATTAAAAATTTATTGTGGCAGATTGTTTTTTTTTTCTTCTTATTTTTTCTTTCTTCTTTTTTTTAAATTTGCACACAAGACTGCAAAAAAAAAAAAAAAAAATCCTGCATTTGCAATTTTCTGTGTCATACTTTAAATTTACAATTATAATCAAAATCATTTCATTTATTAATTTTCTGAATCAGTACTCGTCAGTTTTAGTAAACCAGAAATTTCTGAGATAAATAAATATATCTCTGTAGAAGTTTTTCTTTTCTATGCATGACTTTTTTTTTTTCTTTTTAAAATTTTTTTTAATACATAAGAACTTTTACAAATTGTTTTATAGAACAAAAAAATTGTTTTGCTCAGAAACAAACTTTGTTTCTGAAAGCTAGTAGTAGCTATTTTAATAAGTCTAAAATCCAAAATTTTATATTAAATGGGTACAGTAAACAAAATGAATCGGTTTGTGACAAACCTTAAAAACATCTGTGCTACCTATAAATATGTTATCTATAATAAAATGTGACAACCAAAATTTAAATATTTATTAATTCTATCCCATCCATGTGTGTAAAATTAATTAAAAATGGAATGACTGCATAAAACCTTTTTGAATAAAATTTTATGTTTTGTAGTTATTTTAGTAGAATTTTCTACTTTAGTTCTAAAATGTTATTCTACTTTTTTAAAACAAAGTCATTTTTATTTGTAGCTAGTGGTTTGTTATTTTTGATAATCTAATTTTATTTTGTCTCATTATTGTTTCAGAACTTACACATAGAAGCCCAACTTATTCAAAAATAAATGACGATGCTGAAGCTGCTCTGCGAGAGCTATAGTAAGTTATTTTAAGTATTAAGATGTTTAAATTTTTCTCAGGTGTCTGCAGTTCTAAAACGACTGCTACTGTTAATTTTTGTTAATTTCAATTAGTTTAAATTTATGTAGGATAATGAAAAAATTATGAAAACTACAAAATAGTAAAGTCTAATTTATTTTTAGTGATACCGTTAAGGTGACTAAAGCTGTTTTGCTGGCTAAGTTTCAAATGTTGATTTTAGTAATACAGTTTTGAGTTAATTTTTGTTTTCTTCATCTTAATGTTTCATGATAGATTGGTTCTGTTTGATAGTATTCGTTTGATAGATATTGTTTTATTTATCTCAAAATAATTTTAGTTTTAAAAGGAAAATATAATGTTTTTACACTGCTTTTGTATTATATAACATTAGAGATACATGCTCGCCCTCACAAAGATTGAATGGTACTTTCGTATTATCGCAACCAGGTTGGTGCGATTTGTAAGTTTGAGTAAGAAGGTATGAATAGAAAGAAAATGTACATTTGTTAATTACAGATAATTTTTAATACAGTTTTTTATATTATTTTGTTTTAAAATTATTTAAAACAAAATTATTATTATTAAAACAAAATTATTATTAATTAATTATTATTAAAATTATCAAATTATTATTAAAACAAAATTATTTATTATTATTTTGTTTCTTTACGAAAAACCACATATAACACGTAGGGTTGCCGTAAGTACAGTCACCAAATGTGGCGATTTATGCGAATTTTGGCCTGGTTGCGTTAATACGTAAGTACCGATTGAATTAAACAAGAAAAATAAAGTATAATTTATTATTTAAGCAATTTTGAGGAGGAAAAAAATGAATTGTGCATCAAAGAATTATCTCTTATTTAAATTGCACCATTCATTTATTCTGTGAAATATAATTTCAAATGTTAATAATTGTAATTTACGTAACTGGAAGTGTGAAAAGTATTTTGAAGCTTAATGATAACATTAAAGAGAAATGAACATTTGAAACCTTTTTCTCAAATGCTGAAAGTGTGAAAAACAAAATTAGACTCCTTTTTGCTGCAGGTCAGAAAATCAAAAGGATTTATTGGTTAACAATGCAATGCTTAATAGACCTTTTATGAAAATAAAACTCCTGTTTTTTCAAAATTTTGTGAAAAATTACTAAAACCAGTGAAATTTTTTTTTTATTACTACTATTGTGAAAAATCTCATTTTTTTAAAATCTGAAATTGCCATACAATCAGTTCCATTATCAATAGCCAAAGATAATCCGTTCTGCCAGGTTCCTGTTTTTGTGCAGATGTGAAAATAAAGCTCTGTTTTTATAAAGGAAATAAAACTAGAAAAACCATGCCTTTCCAATTGCTTTAGTTTTTAAAATATAAACTCAAATAATAATACAACATTGAATCAATTTATCAAAAAAAGAAAATTGTAATGGGTCCAGTTTTAAAATGGAAAATTATGTAAAGGGTCTGCTTTCAGATAAAATATTTTATGTAAGGTTTGTTATGATAAAATTATTTGTGAATGGTCCTTTTTTTGGATAAAAAATAATTTGTGAAAGGTCTATTAACAAACTTAAATTCATCTTTAAATAAGCCCTGCAATGATATGCTATTTTCTGTGTGTATAAAATCCTGAAAAAAAAAAGTGACATAAGTTTTTTTTATAGCATTTCTGGATAAAGTTTAGTCTTGAATCATGTTTGCAAAGATTTTTTTAAAAATATTAGCTAAGAAACTATCCATTATGCTTGCCATCTTATTCACAATTTTCTAAATTTATGTTATTGTAGACTGTTTTTGTTGCATTATAAGCAGATTGATTACAAGGGTTGTTTAAAATTATTATTAGGTAACTTATGATACTTATTGCTTTTTTTTTTCTAAAGACAATGTAAGTATTCAGATGTTTTGAATTGATTTCATTGAAATAACATTCTTTTCAATCATTTGATGTTTTAGTTTTCATATAATGCCAAAGGGCTTTAAAAACTGAATAATTTTTTTATTCTAGCAACATTCCTGCAAATTATAAAGTTATCTTTCTCCAAGGAGGAGGAACTGGACAGTTCAGTGCTGTCCCTTTGAATCTTTGTTCTTCTCCTGATGATGTAGCAGACTATATTGTAACAGGTACCTGGTCTTCAAAAGCAGCTCAAGAAGCAGACAAATACATTAAAGTTAACAGAGTTGTACCCAAAACTTCTGTATATACAGGTATAATTTAGTATTTTTTCATTCATGTGGAAAAAGTATTGTTAATTTTAAAATATGCATTAAGTTAGAAATTTTTTGAATAGTAAATAAAATATGAAGTAAATTTTTGAATAATCATAGCACAGCATATTTTTAAAGGGTTCTGTCAATGTGGCTTTATAAATTTTTTTACTTTTTAAGGTTGATTAACTTTTAAAATTAGTCAATTGCATGTAACGGTGCATTGTAATTACCAATAAGACATAAATAGAAAAATTAAATTTTGACATTATAACTGTCTTTTTTTAGTTACGCTGCCATTTTATTTTAGACGCTTAATTTAGTTTTCAATTTATATTAAATAATAAAACTAGAACCAAAACTTAGAAACTCATATTTTACTTTGATATATGTGCAGTATTAATACCGCTTTTGTGCTCTGAGCTGCGAAGTTGACTGAGAGAGTTGGTAATTTTTTTGTATTTTCTTGTCTTGCATCAAATTGTCATTGGAATGATGCGATTTTATTTTATAACCAGTATTGTTCAGTCGATCCTTTTGGATTTTCAACTATCCATGTTTAACTCTGCAGCCTTGTAATTTTAAACTCAACTCGGAAGACAATGGAACTCCTGGATTGCACTAGACAACCCTGTTTGTTGGAATGGAAAGGGGTTTCTAACTCATAATTTGTCTACCAATGAGGATATTTTATTGGGCAATGTTGTTCCATGATCCGTAGGAAAACTAGTCATTTTGTCCACCTCACTTTAATTGTCAGAGTGCCAAAACCATTAGTATTCAATGCAGACTAAAGCAGTATGAAAAATCTTGTTGAAGTTATGAAGAAAGAACAATGGAATTCGAGTGAAACATTAAAAAAATCCCATAACTTGTAACTTGATGACTGTATAATTTTTTAGGGAAAACTGGTGAACTCTGGCAAATATTTTAAATATTTGTGACAGTGGCAAAGATTTTTTTTTATCTGAGTATCAAAGACAAAAAAAAAAATTGTAAAATGTTTATATTGCTACAGAACATAGATGCGTACAGTATTTTTCTGACCAGTGTTTTCAAATCTCACCAAGGAAATGACACGGTGAATTATTTTTTTGAAGATTTAAATTTTTTTTTTAAAAATATGTTAGTCATTCAAAATTACAAATGTTTTCTTGTATTTTTAATTATTGATGCTAATAATTATCTACTGAAATTATATACCAAGTATCTAAAAATTTACAATTGTCTAGTGTACATATTTATCAAAAAAATTTTTTTTTTATTATTTTTTTTTGTTCCTAATTTAAAGTTTATTCTTGTTTATTTTACTTTTGGCAAAGGTAATATTTTGCAACAGTTGATTTTAAGAAGAGTTTTCCATAGAAAACAACTGGTGGTTGTTCTATTTGTTATGCAAAGTTATACTTGTTGACAGGGGATGTTATTTTTCTTTGTTCTATTTTTTATGTCTTTGTTTGCCTTCTAGATTTTTGTATTTTTATTGAAAGAGGAAGCAATGAAATATAAATAAACTCCTTATACCAACTCTGTGAGTAGTCTCCTGAACGAATTTTTGTCTCTCTAAATGGTAGAGATTTTCCTCTCTCTAAATGATAGAGAGATTTTATTAAAAGTTTAAAACTGGGCATAGTAACCATAATGATGATATGTGATTTTTTTTTTTAAAAAGTTGATGTGTGTTTTCATTTAGTTTCTAAAGTTTTATTTGTTTTTAAATTGACCCTATTGCATTACTGTTGGAATACCATATTTTTTAATATTTTGTTAATTTTCACTTTAGGAATTCCAGAAAAATCAGAGTGGAAACTTTCAAATAATGCAAAATATGTATATTATTGCGCTAATGAAACAATTCATGGTAAGGAAATGTTATTATGTATACATTTTATATGCTGAATATAAATATGTTTATAATAGAAAATTTAAAGTTAAGCGCTTTAAGATATGATGTTTTTGTTGAATTTTGAAAACTGGTATCTTAACTGTAGTGGATTATCATCGTTAAGTAATCAAAGTTAAGTGATGTTTAAACTTTTTTTTGAGATGAAAACAATTTTTTTTTTATTAATTTGGAGTTTGTTAATTTAATTAAAATTATATAAAGTGTTTGTATTTTGAATCTTCTTAGTTTTATAATCATTGATTAATATTCGATAAGTTGTGTTCTTAACTTGAATTTTCAATTTTAAATTGCTGTGGTCCATATATTTAATGATTTTTTAAAATTAATAATAATTTGAAAATTTCTGTATTTCAATCAATTTATTTTGTTTTAATTTTCGCCCATACATTTAATAAAGTACATTTTAGGTAGATTGGTAATTTTTTTTATGGTAATAGATTATTTTTNATATATCATTGATTAATATTTGATAAGTTGTGTTCTTAACTTGAATTTTCAATTTTAAATTGCTGTGGTCCATATATTTTATGATTTTTTAAAATTAATAATAATTTGAAAATTTCTGTATTATTTCAATCAATTTATTTTTGTTTTAATTTTTGCCCATACATTTAATAAAGTACATTTTAAGTAGATTGGTAATTTTTTTTATGGTAATAGATTATTTTTAATTTTTTTTTTTTAGTTGATTAACTTTTTAGGTATGCTTTTTTTCAGTAAATAAGATTGTTTCAGCTAATAAAGAATTAAATTAAATTTAGAATTTTGTTTGAATTTTCTCTAATATCAATGTAGGTATTGAATTTGATTCTGTACCTGAAACTAATGGTGTGCCTTTAGTATGTGACATGTCTTCAAATGTGTTGACTAGATCAATTGATGTGACAAAGGTAACTGCTATTTTCAAATATCTAGATTTTTACATTTATACTTTTTGAAGAAATCAGAAATTTTGTAGGAAAGCATTTTGTTCCAGCCTTATAAAAATTTTAAAATTATTTATTAGTGTACAAGTTCTAGCTATAAAGTTAAATGTTATAGTTGCCGGTAGTTTGACTCAATATAGCTAATCTTTTTGCTTTTTTTTGTTTTGTGATCCAAATTAGAATTTTATGGTATCTGTATGAAGTTTTGACGTAGCTTTAAAACTTTTTCATTAATTTAAACACACAAAAGTGTTTGCAAAAGTACCAGTTTAAGGATTTAAATGAAAGTAGATTATCACAGAGATTGGTTAAAATGATGATTTTTTTTATTTTTAACTCTCAAACTTAACTTGTATGCACATAACAAAGTGTGTAGATTGTATCAGATTTTGGAAAGCAAAATTAATGTACTAAAATTAAAGTTTGATATATTGTGAAATTCTTAGCTAAACCAAAATAATATTAGTTTAAACAATAAATACAAATGAAGTCTCAGAGAATGTGGTCACACATAATCATTGGAAATAATATAATCGTTGCATTCCATACAGTACGTGCTGTCAACTGCTGTGAGAAAATAAAAACCCAATTCATTAAGGACTGATTATCTTTTATGTACTTTGTTTTAAATTTGCTTATTTAGTAATAGTTCAAACTTAAAGAAGAATCTGATTGTTTATTTCTGTGGAATAAACATGTATGTTAATGAATTAAATTTTGATAATTTTTTATTCAATAAAATGCTTTAATAGTATTATTTTGAATAAAATAGATCTAGAGACTAAAATAGATTTAAATTTTAATTTTACATCCCCTGTCATTGTTTAGAGTTTATTTTTGATTAATTTAATGTTGTTTACGCATTTTTGCTTTGTTATCCTTGTTTGGCAAAATTTTATTGTTCTATTTTTATATTTTATTTATTGTTTTTTATGGTATTGTTTTTATTTTTTGTCTGAAGGCCATGAATTTTGCCTTAAGTTGTAATTGGAAAACGTCTTTTAATACTTTGTTTTTTTAATAAGCTTTGTTTTAAATATCATTGATTTGTTTTTAGTTTGGTGTAATATTTGCTGGTGCTCAAAAGAATGCTGGTATTCCCGGTGTGACATTTGTGATTGTAAGAGAAGATTTGTTAGGCAAAAGTATGAGAATATGTCCAACAGTCTTTGACTACAAAATAAATGCTGACAATAAATCTCTGTACAACACACCTCCCACTTTCAGGTAAATATTTGTTTTGAATTGCACTGCCTTTAATTTTTGTTCAGATTCAAGTGATGTTCCTGTTTATTATAATTTTTTTTATATAAAAGTTTTTAATTAAAAGAAAGGTAATATAATGTTGATGATTAGCTAAGTGGTTAAGTCTTCTAACTATTAAAATGTCTATTTGCTATGGCTCTATAGGACAATTAAATATTACTATAACTCTATATTTTTATAAGACACCAATCCATTTTTTTAAAACTTGCTAATTATTCTAGATTACTTGATTTTAATTCCTTTTTATTCAATTTCTAATAAAATGTAATTTAATCTTCCAATAATTAATCCAAGAAGGTAAAGTTTTTCTGCATCTTTTGCAATCTGTGCGCAATACATTCAACCAGCTAGTTCAAGTTGATTCAGTGTAACAGGAAAAGGATAACACCTATGGAGAATGAGTAAATTTGAAGTTCAATATATGTTTTCGAACTTATTTTGTTCCCTTGAAACTTGTCAAGTTCTAAATTAGCATTATTTTTATCATTTGGTGTGGAAAAAGTATTCATCCCTGAAGCACAATTTAAAATCTTTTGAAAGAAAAATCAATCCTATGAATAATGTTGATATAAATCCTATCAGGAAGAAAGTTCTAGTTTTATGAAGTGTGTGATTCCCCTGAATATTTTTAAAGACACTGTGATGTGTTTTTAAAGAGACCTCTTTCATTTCGCCAATTGCTCGATTAAGCACTTTTACTTTATTAACCTCTATTTTAATCCCTTAAGTTTATTTCTCAATGCAAGCTGTATGCTTATTCGTTCATCTCGATATCTTCTAGTTTTATGCTTTGAATGCTTCCAAAATTTTGTAAATGTTAACAAGTGGAAATTTCCATTAGAAAAATTTCCAGTAAACTCTATCTATAACTTTTAGTTATCTAGAATTTAAAGATAGAAGGAGGATTTGACTTTAGATGAGATTATAAATAGATTATAGCTTAGATGTAACGATATAACTTCAAATTGTTGATGAAAACTGATATATATGATGCTATTTAATGATTTTTTTTAAATGCCTCCTTATGAATTTCTGAAATGTTCCTACTCCCAGACAATATGATTTTCTGTACTTCTGTGATAAAAAATAAAGAAAGAAGATTGAAATGAAAAGCATCAAAATCATTTGTGTTTGATTTACCACAAATTTTGTATTTTGTGATGCCAGCATCTATACAGACAATATTACGAGAAAATATCCTTAAAGATATGAATTTATAATCCTGTTGTCAAAAAGACAGGTGTTCTTAAAGTGGATTGTTGGCACTTTAATTTGGTTTCATTATACAGTTTTTTAATAGCATAGTATAAATTTTCTGAGATCATTCATTTCAGTATGAACTTTAACATTGATAGATAATTTATTTTAATCTCTATTGAGAAACACCTTTGTTTTATAAATAATATAGATGCATCAATATACTGTGATTTTTATATTTTTTAAAAATTGCTTCAGATATTATATTTTGTAAAAACATTGGAGCTATTACTTTTGTATTTTTTTGTAATTTTTGTATTTGAATACAATCCTGTAATTCAATATTTTTTTTTATTTTTAGTGTCTATGTCTTAGGACTTGTATTCCGATGGGTATTATCTAAAGGAGGCATAACTGCAATGAATGCTGCTAGTGATTTAAAATCTAGTCTTGTGTATGATGTAATAAATTCTTCTGATGGATTTTATCAGTAAGTGTTTTTAAAACTTTATCAAGGAAAAAAAATGCCTTTTTCTATTTTTTAAAATGTTTCTCTTATCTTCCTTGTTTAAGTAATAACTTTATGGGAAATTGTAAATTTCATGTCATGAATTTAAAAAAAAAAGCACAATACATAAATTAGGTGAAGCTGCGTTTAACAAAGCAAAATTCTCCAGTCTCGATGATTAAAATAAACATCATAGGCAAAGTTGTGAAAAAATACCCTAAGAAACATTGTTTTTAAATCGTAAGGAAAAAAAAGTTTATTGTGCAAGAAATTAGTAATAGTCTGTCGAAGCTAAGAACTCCTCCTGCCACAAAGTCTGGTGCTATGGAAACAAGAATGGCACATTTCAGGGAGGGTAGCTTCACTCTAGGACTAACAAAATACAGTTAAGAAAAAGATTCCCTTTCTCCCGCCGAAACCACTCCAAAACACAGGGATGAGATTTTTCCGCTTTTTAGCGGATTTCCGCTTTTTTCACTTTTATCTCTTAAATTTCAGCTTTTTTATCAAAAATTTAGATGTTCTAAAAATTTCATTTTTTTTATAAGTATTCCGCTTTTTCAGAAAATTCACTGATTTTCAAAGAGAAACAGAAAATTCAAGCTACATAGCTAGCTACCAATCCTTTCTCATTTTTACTTATTTTACCTATTTTCTCCCCTTTTACAAGATAAGGTTTTCGGAATTTTTTACCCGTCCTCCAGATAGATCCGATTTTAGTTGTTCAAACGACGCTGCTTCTGACAAGCCTTTTAGAGGTCCCAAGCCTGGAATNGACAAGCTATAGGTCATATCTAATGCTTCACATGACTAAAATATATTGAAGTAGTATATATTTGCATTTTTCATCCATGATTGTAAATTTACACTAAATTTATGTTTGAATTATCTTAGACTAGTTCCAAGCTATATTATATAAGATTTTTTCATTACTTTTTGTATCACAGTGATAGATATATTGAATGCATTCATTTAAATTATTGAATTGTCATCACTTAAATTGTTTTGTTTCAGTTCTGCTATTAATCCCTCAAATCGAAGTCGCATGAACATTCCTTTTAGAATTGGTGGACCCAGTGGAAATGACGATCTTGAGAAAAAGTTTTTAGATGAAGCAAAAAGTCACAAAATGATTTCTTTAAAAGGACACAGGTATAAAAAAGAATTCTTTCTTTTTCATTTATAAATGATTGACAGTAAATTCAATGAAAACAAGCTAGGTAAATAATGCAAATATAATGAAAGATAAAGTAGGTGTTATTTAAATATTTGGTATTATATAATTTCATTTGGTTTAAATTGTCAAAACTATAATAATTTTTACTTTAGTTTCAATAATTTTTTTCTATGCATTCAAGCAACATTCAGATTCAAAGCTAGGAATTCAAGGCTTGAAGATTAATCTTGAATTTCAATCAACTTTTATAATGTCTGTCTGCACACATGGTCTTAAATAAAAAGAACCAATCAACAGAAAGCTTTTCCAAGTTTGGTTTCTGTATTAAATGGGAAGTCAAATCGAAGAATTACATTAAAACATATTGTCTAATGAACATTTATAAATCACATGTTCAGGGCCATTAGATGGTTTAGATTAAATGGAAAATGTTGTATGGGCATCACGATGCACAGTAGGATTAAACAATTCTGACAGAGAAGTAATTGTAAAAAGTTTTGGAGTTAAAACATATAACGTTGTATGTAATGAAACACTTAAAAAAAATTAAAACTTTTTTGCTTTTTTAAAACGTTTAAATGAAATGAGTGTAAATTTCCATTTTTATTTGTCTTGCAGGTCTGTCGGAGGAATAAGAATTTCTTTATTCAATGCAGTTACTCTTGACGAAACCAAGGCACTGGTTGAACTAATGAAAAGCTTCCAAGCAAAGAATCAGTCATGAAAAATTCAGAGAGAATTTAACAAATATATTCTACTATAGCCTTATAGATATTTTTATGCCTATATTTGAATTATACACTTTACAAATTTATATAATGTCATATTTTTTTTATTTAAATCTGCTTTTTATTTTTACATATTTTTTAAACATTATTTTAAAGTAATGGACTACTCTATTTGAAATTGAAATCAATGATCCAAAATTTGCATGAATTATAATCAAACTTTTGATTTGCTCAATGCTTTGAATCAAGATTAATCTTTTAAATTATCCTATTTCAATCGGAATTGCTTGATATAATGAATTCATTACTTCATAACTGTATCAGATGTAATCAATGTAATTTTAGATTTTAGCCAATGTTTAGCATTTTTCAGATTTCTCTTATCAATAGCCTTTTGATGCCAACATTGTTGTTTTATTTTGTAAACTTTATACTTGTTACATATATTGTCAAGTCTTTTATCGTCAATAAAGGACACTACTGAATGGATTGTATTTTTTTTTATTGATTCAAAACTTTTTAACATGTTATGCCATTAAGGCGAGAAGGGCGCCATCTATATTTCATTTCAATAAAAATGACTTCATATTTAAATTGGATATTAAATTCACCGATTCAAATATGATTGGGATAATGAAAATAGTTGAATACAATACTTAATATTTTTAAAATATTCTATTATTATTAAGTATATTTTGTTAATAAGGAGAAGCATTAGAAATTATACAAAAAAAGAAAAAAGATAATACTTGTCTAAAATCAAACTTTGACTGTCTGGGTGGCTATATGCAAGTTGGTTACTTCAAGGCCATTGCCTAAGTGGAACATCTTATTTTAGTATAAAGAGTATGCTTAACATTTAAAGTCTTTTTTTTTTTTTTTTTAAAGGATTGGCTGGCTAAAGCGCTTTTGTATGCTATAAATAAAACATGTCCTCCCCTTGTAAGATTAATGTTGGGGTCAAAGGATATTGAAATAGTAATATAGATAATTTTAGTTTATTGCAATAGAGCTAAGTGTGAAAAGTCAATATATAACACTCCAAGAATATAATAAAACTTAATATATATCACTCTCAGAATATAATATTCTGAAGGATCTAAAAAGGAATAAGGATAGACCATAACTCATTATTTTTAATTAAAAAGGTAACTCAAAATTTGTTTAAATTAAACGAGTGAGTACAAAGTGAAATTTCTAAACTTTATTTATCAATACTTCATATAAATATCAGAACTTAGAATACATGAAAAGCAGCATAATGTGTTAAGGTATTTTGTCATAATTGTTTGTAGAATTGAAACAGACGTAGGCATTTTGCTCACTATTCTTTATTTTGTTTTTGAATCCCATTTAACGCTACTAATGCCTCATTGTTAAATTAATTTCTCAAAAAATATTTACCAACATTTTTTTACATTAATAACAAACAGAGAAATATACAATGGTTAATTTTTTTCTCTCAAAAACATAGTGTCATTACCTAATGACATTTATTACCAAAAATGTTTATTGATTTGATACTCATTTGCGGTGAAAGAATCACACATTTTCATCAAATGCATTTTTATTTTGAAATATCTAAAAATTTCATAAAGTATATATTGTACTTTTACACGAGAATCATTTAAAAATATAAGCATCACAGTAAAATATCAAAACAGATTCATTTGGAATTTAACACAGGAAAAGTTTTCATTTCTATACTAAAAATTTAAGAGGTGGTTTTGAGAACATGTTAAAAAATCTCGAAAACATGATAATTAAACATACGATAAAAAAAAGGTATGATTATTTAGAAAGACTATTTTTAATTTGTTTAAAAAATGATAACACATGACATCAAGACAAAAAATGCACCTTAATTTCTTGAGCAAGGAAGAACACATAAAATAACAGATCTTTTAGTGGATTCATAGTTTTCATTTATTATTTTATTGGTATTGCACTTATAACAGTTACTTTGATTGATTGGAAGTAAAAATAAGCTTTAGAATAGTGCAAAAGGCAACTATTATTTCAATGAAGCATCACAGACATGCAATATAAAAATGTAAGCATAAGCAAAATAAATATGTTAGCAAAAAGATTAATTGTGAGATAAAATACAGTGCAGAACCTCTTATCCGGAAATCGGAAAACCAGATAACCGGAATGAAATTCGGAACCGGAAATGAATTTTCTTCCATTAAAAAAAAATTATTTTTTCCTGCAAGATTTTGAGCCCATTTTGTTATTTAGAGCGTACGGCGTATCGAGTCGACGAAAGAACTGATTTAGAGGACGGATCAAAAGCCATTTGTAAACAAATCTCACATAAGCACAAATAGCTTATATATGTTATTAATGTTAATAATAACATATATAAGCCTGTATATAATTTTTATTTCATAATTTCTTTAGTTATTTAAACTTAAGTGTATTATTATTTATCATTTTTTATTATTTCTAAAACTATTTAAAAATTTTTTTTTAGTTTCGTTTTATAAACATTAAAAAAACGGCATTTTGTAGCGATTCAGAAAACTGGAAAAATCAGTAATCCGGAATCGCGATGGTCCCGATCTTTCTGGATAATCGGTTCTCTACTGTATTGCTATTTATAAAAATAAATTTAATCAATAAGCTTCTGACCAGTGGAAAACACTCAAAAGGCAATTATTATTTCAGTGTTGCATCACAGATGTGCAATATAAAAATGTGACCATTAATAAAATAATTCTGTTAGCAAATTGGACTTTTAGAAAGATGAAATGTGATTACATTAAAATAATTTCTCGAACATTTTTCACGTGAAATTATATGCAACACAAATAAGCTCTGAAGATGCACTCATATAACACACTTTGTGGTAAGGCAGATGCAATTGCTATACACAGCTTAATTCTATAAATTTACATGAAACATTCAAAATACAAGCTTTACTTCGCACAGCACACAAATATAACTCAACACACTTGATAAAACACACTATATTGCTTAGTTGCACTTAAATTTTCATTAAAATTAGTAATTCACATTAAAGGCTATCTAATATGGCAATAAATTGAAAACAATACATTTGAAAACAGGAACAGAAATTTACAAAGTAAGTACTGAAAATAAATATATTAAAAACATTTCCAAACAATTATATATTAAAAATTATCTTAAATAGTTATGTATAACTTATTTAACAAAAGTAAAATTCAGTAAAATAATAACTAACAAAAATTTAACATTTTACATTATCCATAAAAATGTACAATAATTGTGCAATTTAAAGTTTTTGATGTAATATTTATGTCATTATTCTTCAGTTAATACTACTATAAAAATAAATATTAATAGAGTACTTTAACTCTTTATTAAAATAAATTGTATATTCTCTGATGAATATTACATCACAGATATTACACTTAGTTTCACATTAAAAATCTTAAGGCGTAGTAATGAAAACAATAAATTGAAAAAAAAAGAATTATTAAACTAAGACACATAAGAAAACTGGTGAACATACTTGTTGTATATGCTTAAAAACGAAATACATTTTCAACAGTTCTATATTAATATATGCTGCAGTATACAGAATAGATACCTATAGAAATTCAACCTCTTGTGAACTTTTGGTGCAACCATATCACTGCCTTAAGGTTTCACTAAGGTTATGAATTAAAACCATGCTTAAAATATTGAGCTAATTTTAATTTGCATCAAATAAGTTCTTCTCTTATGATAGGATTGCTGTAGGAAGAGTAAGAATTGGCGTGATCACAATTACTCTTTTCTTCTGGTATTGAAGAAAGACCTTTTGCACGCTTTAATTCTTGAGCAATCATTATTTCATTAGTAATGAAGTTTTCATGTCGTATTCTTTCCATTAGTTTCTTTGGGATATCTGGTATCAGCCATCGAGTTAGGGTTGTGATCATCAAAACAATGCTCTAAATAAAACATGTAAATCTTAATAAGAAGATAATTTGGTATTGGTTTAATACTACTGGGTAACGAAACATTGTAAAGAAGAAATTAGGGTTGTGATCATCAAAACAATGCTCTAAATAAAACATGTAAATCTTAATAAGAAGATAATTTGGTACTGATTTTATACTACTGGGTAACAAAACATTGTAAAGAGGAAATTATTAATTTGTTTGTTTGGCAGATAGCTCTGATATGGTAAATGATCACCAAGAAAATTTTTATAAACTATACACTTAAATAACCATCTGTAGACTTTTGAAATTTCATTTGGCTCTCATCAACCATTTGTGAACTTAAAATTGCACCAAGTCCATTTTGTAAGTACTTAGCCAATTTGTTAAATGAAAAGCACTTTTATAATTAAGCTGATGCAAACTATAATTCTTCTGAATTGAATTAAAACAAATAAATTAAGAAAGAAAATATGAGAGAAAAATCAAGAAATCGATGGCATATTGTTTCATAATATTATTGTTTTCAGTTGTTGGTTAAAGAAAAAGTAGCGGTAATGATTAAGTTTTGGAGAGTGAAAAACTAATAAAAATAATGGCTTATCAAAGTATAATCATTACAGTACTTCTGTATGCAATGAGAAAAAAATAAATATTTTAAAATAAAATTTACATTAAGAGAAAAAAAAGTTAAAATGTAGATGAATTTAATTGGCTTGGCCATTTGATTGCTGGACTGCTCCCCCCCCCCATAAAAAAACTCTCTCACAAGAATCAACATTTATTGCCAAAAATAAGAACTGTAAGTAATATATGCTAGTTACCACTACTTAAGAGATACTCATGCAATTAAGAACAATAATTAATTCAAGGAGAAAGAACATTCTTTGTCAACAACAATACACTGCTGTTGATGGTTAACTAGTTACAAATCAAGAGATTTTATCAAATTTGTTTTACAACTCTACTACAACATACTGTTATCTAAATGTGCTTGATTTCACATTNACTTCGACAGAAAACCCATTACTCCAAAAACAGTGAAAAATAAGCAGAGATATAAATGACTACAAGAAGAAAGTAGAAGTTTATTATTCAGTGATTGGTGTAAAAAGAAGGATCTAACAGAATTTATAAAGGATCTAACAGAATTTATAAAGGATCTAAAAGGATGTTGTTACTGGTAGACGGTTAAAGGATCTAACAAGGATTACAATTTCATTACAAACTAGAAAATATTGTTATAAAACATAAAAAATGAATATCAAGTTATTATACAATTTATTATATTTCAGTAAATATAATGTTTTGAGGAATTACACTTAACAAGGATATTAAATAAAGGATTGTTCGGAATAATGGTTTCTTAAATTATAGATTACTTAAAACTATTTCTGTTGTACTAATTAATTCTACAGATGAATGATTTGAATTTAAAAGTCAAGAGGGATAAATTATGTCACCATACTTGTGAAAAATTGATTACAAAAACAAATGAAAAATCAGAGTTCTCTTCATAACATAAAACTATAATATAAATTCTTTTTGTCAAATTGAGTAAGATCAGCTAATATATATATTTTTTTGAGAGTATGTATTATTTACTTAGATAAAATTTATGAAACTACAAAAAACACTGAAGGAAATCTAAGTACTTCAGCAATTACTCACTTCAAATATCAAGACAAATCCGAAACGCCAAGCGAGTAAATGCCAATATTCTAAATTGAATTCATATCTGTCTGGAGATTCTGGTGGATTTCTATGATCACGATACCTAAAAAATCAAATCACCGTTACAAGTTTTGGTATTTAAAAACTTGATAGTAAAACATTTACACAGTTATCAAAATTACAGTATAATTAACAACAGATAGTAAACAATTAAAATGAGAGTAAAAACCCTACAATATTAAGTTTTAAAATCAAAATCTTTAAAAAAAAATTAAATTAAAATATTTTTCCTAATTATTTGAGTTAATTTCTATCAGAATTAACTCTCGATTTGCAAAAAGTAAATCGGTTGAGACACAAGTAATGAATTTATGTCAAAAATATGCAAAATTTTAACAGTCTTTTTTTCAGACTCTAAGTGTAATATTAAATATTTTTGTAATATTCATGATGCTAGCAGTTATGCTAATTGAGAGATAATGCTAGATACTTTCTGTTTGTAATAGGATCACTAAATTTAACAGCTCTGATAAAAGAAGTCAATATAATAACTGCAACAAAGTAAGAACGTTCGAAAATGGAAAAAAATCCCCAAATATAGAGTGGGTGATGGAATTCAGAGAGAAGGCAAGTTAAAGGGCTCTTTTTAAGTTTTTTTCCTTCATAAAAAACCCCTTAACAAAACTATTGGTTCTAGAAAGAAAAAAAATTAACACATAGAATAAATAACATTATGCTTCTAAAAAAATATATTTGAGATTTTTCCATAGAGGTTAATAAGACAAGGAAATAAGTCATTAATAGGGAAATAAGGAGGGAAAAAGATCGCATCAATGTGTATAAAGCTCAAAAAACATGCCCCTCACTAAATTTTTACTTATTAGCAGAGCTTATAGTACTTATTTTGTACACTTTTTCAAAGAATTCAGTCAAATTACAAATCTATTTGATTTGCTTTCTCTAATTCATGTAATTTGGTCTTTGTCTTTCTTGCTTATGCTAAGATAGTTAGTGGATGAACATGTTTTGATGATATTTGAAAAATGCTGTAAATTCCAGGCTTCAGAACATGTAACGGTCAGCTGTATGCGCAGGACATTAATATAATCTACCAAATCTTTAAATAAGGTAGCTTTTAATTAAAAAATGAATTTTAATAATATAACTGGCAGTTGAAAGAAAAAGAAAAATATTTATTTTTAGAATGAAAGCTTAATCAATGGACCTTTCCAAAGCATATACAGTAGCTTACAATTTATAAAGCTTCTTATTATAAAAAGCCATGAAGTAATAAATTATTATAAATAAAATATATTTAACTTACCTACATATGGATACATCAACCGTTTGATTTGTGCCAGGTAGAATTAACGGCATGGGTTTGACATCAGCATGAAAATGCGATGTGTTGAAACGTGATAAAGTATATTCAACAAATCCATCTAAAGAATAGTCTGGGGAATAATACAGTCTATACACAAGACGAGGAATCATATCAGAAGTAAAAGCTATTATGATGGCCTATAATATAAATGTTTTATTAATTCCCTGTAAATTTATGAAAGATTACATTTCTGCATTTGTAATTAAGTATTATTTTTTAGGTTTTATAATAAAATAATTCAAATTACAGTAATATTACATTAGATTATTATTATTTTAATGGCATGATGATATTAACAGTAAATATATTTTTATTATCTACAACACTGCATTGAAATCAGCAGTCTTTTAAAATAACTAGATGGGATTTAATTAGGGTTGTTCTGAAAATGCTGCAAAAATAACACTAGGCGAGATAAATATCTAATATATGAAAGCACAAAATATAAAGCAGTCTTATTTGTTGAATAAGCAGAAAATTATAAAACAATATCAATTTTGCTCAGGGAAAAAGCCCAGGTTCAAATCTCAGCAGCATTTGTTTGATACGAATTCTATTCTCAGCTTGCAATGACTACAGTGTCTGTGCAAACTATCCTCAGTAGCAATTGGATCATGGGTTAAAATCGCCTTGCTATCTGGTTAACTGTGGGAGGTTTTCCTCTACATATAATGCAAATGCGGGTTAGTTCTATCAAAAAGGCTAGTTTGTCCCAATGCTTGATCTAGGAGTTCACTTCTCTTCTGGTTGAGTTCAAAATTACAAGGTTTAAGTGTTGAATATTGACTGTTGTGAACTGTAGAATGGGTCGGAATATACTAACTTCGACAGAAAACCCATTACTCATTTTGTGTGCAATATTTACTCCTTAAACCCAAGCAAAATGTAAAATCTTTCAGTCACAGTAAAAATACGCTTTCAAATTAAAAAAAAGATGATTTTTAAAATTCTTCTTCATAATTAATGGTTTGCAAAAAAAGCAAAGCAACTACAGTTTACAATTTAATTATATATCAAAAGAACATCTAAATCAAAGTTGTAATCTTAACAATGTTTGTACTACACGAAAAATGAATGAATTTCGTAATAAACATTTATAGTAAAAATTTTCTTTAGAAATCATATTCATTGGATTGTAGTATGCTAGAATTTTTTTCATAAAAATAATTTATATCTACGTAATTAAACTAAATTGTAAACTAACTGAACATTAAAAAAATTAAGATCTAGTTACGTTTGATAATACAGCAAGCTTTCCAATGGAATCCAGAATACGATACCAAATGCCTATTAAAATAGAAAATTATTATAAAAAGAACTAAATTTTATATAATAATAATAAAAAAATAAATTAGTTGGGAATTATAATCATAATTATCAATGGTTAAACAAGTACGTAAAAGTTCTCAAGTAAAAGAAAATTTACAGTTTTAACTTAAAATTTATATGAAAAAAGTGTCAAATAAGAGAGTGCTATATTTATATTATAAACCACAGAAACAATACTAAAATTTAAGAAAAAAAAACTCACTTGGTACCTCAGGATCATGAGAGCTTCGTTTACATAAAAATTGGCGATTCCTTGATGTGATTTATTTTTTAGGAACATGAATTTGGTGTTGCATTCTATTGAAGTTCATGAATTCATTTTATTGATGCTTATACAGCACTATTTGAAAATATTTAAATTTTTTTAAAACACTTAAAGTTAATAGAATGTTCTGATGAATAGACTGGTCTGATAAAAGACATTCTTATGCATTATAATTTAATATATTATAACCAAAATAAAATATTGTCTCATATCCAATTATTAAAAAGTATGGCAAAGAGTTCTCATTACGGCATTAAAAAAAAGAAAAACTCCATTTAAAATTTTCATGCAATAAGAGAGTTAAAAATATATTGTATAATTTATAAGACATAAATTTTATAACAAACCAATATTTTGCACTCTAACACCAACTGGTCTTCTATAAGAGCAAACTAGTTTTCTTGCATCCAGGCGAATTTCCAGAATGTTATTGAGTAATGCAAATAAGGGTGCTAAGGGAAATGCTGCCACAAATATAGTTGCAAAGCCAAATTGTAAGACTAAAAAAAAATAAAAAAAAAATAAATAAAAAAAAAGACTTATGCAAATGATTTTATTTTTATATAATTTAAAATAACAATTTGTTAAAAAAATGATATACTGAAAAATCAAAAAAAAACTTCTTCATAGTATTACTTAAACTAAAATACTAACTTATGAAATATTAACAAAATATATTTGCAATGGTTAGTAAAATTAAATAAATAATCCCAAGAACTTGCAGCACTATGTTGGAACCTTGGTCATAAATTCAATTTTGACAACAACAAAATTATTTTTGCCTATACATATGGTAACTAATATATTATTAACTATTAAAATAAAAACTAATGTATCATTAACTTTCAAAATAAAAAGCCATATCTAAAATAAATAAAATACTTACTCATCTCTAAATACTCAAAAAATAAATGTGTAGGTCCCCACTCTGCAAGTTCATAATCGTCTTCCCAGCGAGTATTGATATGAGGACCACCATTATGTTGTCTTCGTTTTCTTAGTTGCCACCACTGATACAACCATGTTAACCACCTGAAAAAACAAATATATTCTAAGTACAATTTCTTTTCACTGAAAAATAAACATACGCCATTTTTTATTTGTCACTTTTAACCAACTCCTTATGAGGTATTTTTTAAAGCAAAATCATTAAAAACAAAAATGGAGAAAAAACTCAGAATCTAGTAATAGTAAAATAGTTATAATTTTTAGTAATACTATTGCAATAGCAAACACTAAATTTTTAAAGCAAAAAGTTGCAACAATTCATCTTTGCAAGACGTTTTAACAATTTAAATAATGATTATGAACTAAAAATAATTACAACATTTACAAACGAAAGAAAACATTTACAAACAAAACTTTTTAATTGTATGTTGTATGTATTCAGGTACTGAAATTTCTATGATTAGCTATGATTTTTATTCAAAAACGTTGTTATGATAGTTGAAAAATGGTATGATAAAGTAACAAGTTTAAAAAATGAATGTATAAATCTTGTTGGTTATTTTCATGGTTAAATGTTTACCGATAATATTTCAGTTTCAACAAATTTTTAATTTTACCAAATGTGACTAATTAAGAATTGGCATGGCCAGATTAAAGTATCTAGATTTTCATTTTATTGAAGGAAATTAAAAAAATTAGAATTAAATGAGGTTAAACTGGATTATAATTATTTAATCCTAATAGATCAAATATTAAAGGAAGATTTCTATTGTATTTTGTATTATTATATATTATATTAGATTTATATTCTCGTAGTGGAACAAAGAAAAAAAATTCAGGACATTTTTAGGAACAGGTGCATATATTGAGCAACTTTTAAAAAAAAAGCAAATGATAAACTAAAAAAAGTATAATTTGTTCTACCTATGCATTATAAAGACAGATTTTATTTTTAAAGAATAATAATGGATTATATTTATATATGGATTTTAATTTCAGAATAACTTTGTTTATCGAAACAGAAAGTTTTAACAGTTAACAGAAAGTTTCAGGCATAACTACTAAAAATTATTTAATACATTATACCAATATTTAATTAAAATCTGTAATTGAGTTCTGATTGCTTAATCAAATAATTTTAAAATAGGGTACCAATAATCTAGAAATGAAAACACAGTAGTTAAGTCGATTAACAATTTTGTACAGAATTAATTTAGTGGATGATCCCCAAATTCACCATTTAAAAGTTATATGATATGATTACTGTAATAATGATTGGAACCAATCATTTTGAAACAGCGAAACTGGATCCTCTACAGTTGTACCCACCACTGATGGAGAACTGTGGGCTATGAGTAAGACAACTAAACAAGGTGCTCATAAAATTTGTTGTAGCAGAAAGTTCTTTTGTTAATTGTGACATGGAAGTTTAGGAAAAGGTAAATGGCTCAAGTGTTGCCCAAATCGTCTATCTGAGATCACAATTACATGGTAACATGTTGGTTAAAAGATATAGCCTTGAAAAACTAGACTAGGTGCTGTGCTATGGTTAGGTGATGGGTGTTAACCTACAGTAGTAAAATAATAATAGGCGTGAAAATCAAATAGTAAGCAAATGATGGTTTTTCAAGAATTATATATTTTTCTTTGTTTTTCCACTTTTTGAGGCAGAGGAATCGGTGTGCTCTTCCCTCAAAGATGAAAAGTATTTGATATTGCTGTTTAAAGCAAACAAACAACATTAAATATGGTCACTAAAGCAGTACAAATTGAATTATCAATGGTCAATTAGGATGTCAAACACAAGGGAACATTCTAGTGTTAAAGAAATTTTTTTTCTCACACAGGTTCATTGCTCAATAAGTTTTGTTTAAAATCACAGAATTTTATCAAACTCTTTTCAGTAGACAAGCAATGGAAAATTTAAAAAAAAAAAATCTACATCAAACAGTAGATTATGTAGCAAAAATTTCTTAGACCAAATCAATGTGTTCTCCTGTTAAATGCACAATGATAATAGAAAGTTTCAGCTTCACATAAAAGACTTACTGATGATCATCAAGTCTTGTAACACTCACTAACATGAAGTAGAGACTAAGTTCAGATCAGATTTTGATGTTTTTTAATAAATTATTCATTAATAAGGAACTAAGTACGAATTTTTCATGTTCGTACAAATCTAAATTTTTTATACCAAATTCTCTACTATCAATACAAAAATATCACTGACATACAAATCAAAATTTCTCTTTAATTAATTGTAAATGAGAATATTAATAAAAAAAAAATATTTTGTTACCAATTTAACATAGAATAGCCTTAAACTATATATTTTTCTTTCAAATTAAGCAGGAATAACAGGGAGACTTCTGAGAAGTTTGTAACCGAGAAATAATGCAGGATTAAAAAATTTGAAGCTATTTTAAATTCTTTTGCATTCTTTTATAAGACATATTATAAGATAACATCTTATTCTTTCTTTTAGTCTTAAATAAATTTCACAAAACAATGGAAAACATTAAATCTATGATACGAGATTGCTATGAAGTAATATAAGGCATATAGCTAGATATAATAAAGTCAGAAAGATAATTTTTCTGATGCCTGGTTGTTGAAAACACAGTTTATTAAAAAAAATATTTTTCAGGAATAGTTTGATAAAGTTCTAAAGTTTAATTAGACATTTTCAAGAATAGACAAACTAGGGTTGAAAAGAAAAGGGCTTATTTAGATTTGAAAGATACTGCCACCTGGAAATGCTTGAGGAGGGGGGGTGGTAGAAAAAAGAAATTGAGTATATTGTTTCTTAAATAAGTTTTCAAAATTTTCCACAGTTTCTTATAAACTGATTATATTTTAAAGTATTATTGATAAACTATTTTATTTCATACAAAGCAAAAAAAATATTAAAACTACACATTTTTTTTCAATAATAGTTTAAGGTGTGCAAGCTAGTATAGTTATAGAAATAAAAAAAATCAGAAAACAAATTTAAAAAATGACCTCATCCTGATATAAAACCTCAAATTTTTTAGAAGTTGTAAAGTGGAAAATCTGTTAGTTTATTATGAAATGAATGTTTATGAATTCAAATAGTTTATAATATAAAAGATCATTATAAGTCTATACTTGGTTACGTTTAGATATTTATAAAATTTCTTTAATTCGAAAGTTATTATTATTTTTTTCATAAAATATATGATATCGATTTTATCCATGTTTCTCAATTTTAATTATCTCTTTATTAAAATTACACATGGATAAAAAAATGTCGAGGCACTTACTAATTATGAATTTGACGCCTTTTATTTGATTGTGGAAAAACAAGAGTTTACCTGTAACAAAAGCCCATTAAACTTGAACACCAAAGAGTTATTGAGGCAACAGTTTTAACAGTGGTAGTAGAAGTTACGGCATTTACGCTTGTCATCACGCGGTTATTGACATGGCTGCAAATAAATGTTATGAAGTTAAGTTAGGTTGTTAAAAAAATGAGAAAAATTTGGTAAACGTTTCTCATTTCTTCTGTGTTGATGCTTGAGTAGGCAGATGAAGACTAAACACCAGAAAGATGAAAACCCCAATTAGTGAAATAGTTTTAGAAAATTAGTAGCATTTTTTTAATTTGAGCAAAAGAAAGCCACAAAATTGCTTAGTTTCAATGAAATAACCAACAAGCATTTGTTGTTATCTCAACAAGTTATTTAATTTAAACTATTCAGACAAACTATTAAACTTAATTGCAAAGTTTTCTCATTTGTAAATTTTGAAAATCTAAACAAATGCTGATAATATACTTTCAATTAACTAAATTTAATTAAAGCGGGGCAACTTTAAACAGTTGTACTACTACCTAATTTTAGATTATTATAAAATTGCATCTCATTAATTTTATACCATTATTTGACTAAAAACATTTTGATTACTTGCTTTACATTACTACAAAATTTGAATTTAAAATCAAATTTAGTGAGCTTTGTCAGAAGAGGTCAATGTTATCAAAATGAAGTAAGGAAGAAAAAAATAGATTTGCCATTAATTAATTCATATTAAGTGTTTAACTGAATATTAGACGATGACTAATGTAAAGTACAAGACAAGTGTGTTAGTTATATTCACATTTAGAGTCAGTACACTAGACTTCTAAGTATAGTAATCAAGACAAAAATATTTTATAAGACATTCAGCAAACACAGGTTCAATACAAAGAATGAGACATGCAAGTACATAGCAACTTAAAATAATTTAACAAATAAAGCAAACAATAAGATTTTATAATTGACAACTTCAAATTCTAAATAAAGATCTTTACAATAAAAAAACTAATATAATAAAATACTGTAAATCAAATTGAGAAATAACCAATACAATAGTTAACTTTAATGTTTACCATTCTAAGATTTTATTAAAATATATAGTATGATGCATTTCATAAAAAACATGGCTGGTGAAAAAATTCATTTTGAATTGTTAAAAAAATGTTGAAATATTTTCAAACTGAGAAGCTGATATAAATTAGTTTAGGACATATAGGCCACTAAAAACATAATGCATACAAAACAATATAAAGTAAAACTGTCAACTGTTAGCTTTTTGGAAACTAAAAAATGGCAGTCCCCTTGTTCTTCTAAAAAGCTAAGTCTTATACTTCTAAAAGCTATTAGTATTGTGTTAGTTACCATTTATTAGGTATATATAATACAGCATTGTTTCTATCTAAAATAACTTACGGCATTAACACTTCCATGAGATTATTAAGAGCCTGTTTTCCAACCATAATAATAGCTAATTGTATGGCAAGTTCCATTAGGCAACCACCTGTTCCACACTAAAATCACATAAAACGAACTTCATTAAACATACTTTTCATTTGTATTAATATAAACATTTTTATAAAACAGAATATATAATTCAGTATTGTACTTGATATATTTTCTATATTATACAAAATTTGTATAATACAAAATATATATCAAGTACAGGCATTATAGTAGTTAAAAATAAAAATCAGGAGAACATTTTACAAGTATATCAGGGAATTTTTGAAGCAATACATACATACTAGGATATATTTAAGAAGGGGAAACAAAAAAAAAANAAAAAAAAAAAAAAAAAAAAAAAAAAAAAAAAAAAAAAAAAAAAAAAAAAAAATAGTGTAATGGATTGATTTGAAAATTTGTTTTGTGAGACATATTTATTTTATTCTCTATAACATTTTCTTTAAAATAAATAAATAATAAATAATAACACATGGACAACAATTAACATTTTTGAATAAAATTTAAGTATTTTAAATAAAAAAAAGCAAATTAAGATAGGAACAAGGTGATCAGAAATGATGTTAAAAAAATGGTGCAATTTCTAGACCATGGCACTCACAAAGGTATTTAATTTTTATATCTTGCAATTTTTAGAGTTCAACAAGTGCATACTTAGATTTACTGACTTATGATAAGAGGTATAAAATGACAAAAATAGAACAGAAATTCTGTACAAGGGGTAGATTTCATTAAGAATTTTTTTTTTTTACGACACTGATCTAGCAATAATTTGTTTATCGGAGAAAAAGTGAGCCCTAAAAAAGGAGTTCCATTTTTTACGCTAACTCTTTTTCATGTAAAACAAGTCTTGGATTTCACTTTTTGAATAAAAACATACCAGTTTTGACAGTAATATGTTTTCTTATTTCTTTTCTAGTGAAAGAAATTTTATTTTAAAATCATGTGTTTGTTCAAATGATACATTCTAAAAAAAAATAAATAAATAAAAAAATTAGGAATATCAGGACAAAATATTAAAAATCGGGACAAATAAGAACAGAATATTTTTTTTATATCTACAAAACCTGTAAGTACCAATTGTTAATCTACTATATCCATGTTAGTTACCAGAATAAATAATATTTTTTCTTTTTAAAATATATTTTAAAGAGAAAAATACTAAATGCTGCTCTTAAAAGAATAGTTAAAAGTAGAATTGGAATAAAAATAGTGCATTAAAAATGTAATTTTGTACTGTTGGTTTAAATTTTACACAATGTTTGATAGCAAAAGAATTTTTAACTGATTACTAAACACAAATGACATAATATACTAAAGGTATGATATTCAAGCAATGTTATGAATTGAGTATAACTGAAACAAAATTAAAACAAAAATGATCATATGGTGCCTTGGGTTATCAAATCCTTGTTTACCCAAAGAAGGTGAAGCCATTAACCTTTTCACGTGGGCGCAAAAGTAAGAAATCGAGATCCTCTGGTGGGCTCTTTCTGAGACTGGGGGATGAATTCAAGAAAGGGAACCGCTAATCCCTAGAACAAGACAAGTGATGAGTGTTAAGCATCCCCGAGAGTTTTATTCTCCTTCTGTTATTCTAAACGTCATTTGCTATCTTTTACACCACCGCAGTTCGGGGTAATAGAAATACCACTGGGGATGGATTCCAGTTTTTTGTTGACAACTGAGAAAGCGCGGGAAAACTTCTTTGGTGGTTTTATAGGATTCAGGGTAAAAAACTACATTCCGAATGTCACATGTCGACTATTTATAGTGTTTTATAAACATTCAGAGTTAATGCGGTGTGTCACAATTTCCTGATTTTATTGTTTTAAATTCTATAAACAACACATAATCCTAACCATAGTCCCGAAAAACTATTCATTACGCTAGCTATAAAAATATTATGCGCGCAATCACATATATATATATATATATATATANTGTCGAGGCACTTACTAATTATGAATTTGACGCCTTTTATTTGATTGTGGAAAAACAAGAGTTTACCTGTAACAAAAGCCCATTAAACTTGAACACCAAAGAGTTATTGAGGCAACAGTTTTAACGGTGGTAGTAGAAGTTACGGCATTTACACTTGTCATCACGCGGTTATTGACATGGCTGCAAATAAATGTTATGAAGTTAAGTTAGGATGTTAAAAAAAATGAGAAAAATTTGGTAAACGTTTCTCATTTCTTCTGTGTTGATGCTTGAGTAGGCAGATGAAGACTAAACACCAGAAAGATGAAAACCCCAATTAGTGAAATAGTTTCAGAAAATTAGTAGCATTTTTTTAATTTGAGCAAAAGAAAGCCACAAAATTGCTTAGTTTCAATGAAATAACCAACAAGCATTTGTTGTTATCTCAACAAGTTATTTAATTTAAACTATTCAGACAAACTATTAAACTTAATTGCAAAGTTTTCTCATTTGTAAATTTTGAAAATCTAAACAAATGCTGATAATATACTTTCAATTAACTAAATTTAATTAAAGCGGGGCAACTTTAAACAGTTGTACTACTACCTAATTTTAGATTATTATAAAATTGCATCTCATTAATTTTATACCATTATTTGACTAAAAACATTTTGATTACTTGCTTTACATTACTACAAAATTTGAATTTAAAATCAAATTTAGTGAGCTTTGTCAGAAGAGGTCAATGTTATCAAAATGAAGTAAGGAAGAAAAAAATAGATTTGCCATTAATTAATTCATATTAAGTGTTTAACTGAATATTAGACGATGACTAATGTAAAGTACAAGACAAGTGTGTTAGTTATATTCACATTTAGAGTCAGTAAACTAAACTTCTAAGTATAGTAATCAAGACAAAAATATTTTATAAGACATTCAGCAAACACAAGTTTAATACAAAGAATGAGACATGCAAGTACATAGCAACTTAAAATAATTTAACAAATAAAGTAAACAAGAAGATTTTATAATTAATACACAGCTTCAAATTTTAAATAAAGATCTTTACAATAAAAAACTAATATAATAAAATACTGTAAATCAAATTAAGAAATAACCAATACAATAGTTAACTTTAATGCTTACCATTCTAAGATTTTATTAAAATATATGGTATGAAGCATATCATCCAGGAGTGATTGTGAGCCCAAGTCAAAATTCCGGAAAATTTCTTGAGTAAAAAAAAAAGTTTAAATCGAAAGAGTAGAAAAAAATTTAAACAAGATTTTTTCCTTTTTCCCAATATTTCTTAGCTTACTTAAAATATATTTAAAATTTTACACATACCTATGATGACCTGGAGAAGTAATTGAAATTTACAAATATGTCTTTCTTTCCTGAGTTTATGATTATAATAACTATTTACTAATAAAAAATGAATATTAATCTTGAATATAAGCTTATAAAGTATCTGGCTCTCCCTTACAAACAAATAAAATAAACTGTGTTTTTAAGTTCCACCAAAAAAAAAAAAAAAAAAAAAATTATTTCCGGAAAGTTTTGTGATCAATGATTTTTTGAAACGTCTGAACCTTCGATCTCCGGAAACTTCCGGATCACGGTTAGCTAAAAATCCGGAAATCCAGATTTGTTCCCGGAGCACAATCAGCCCTGATCATCAGAAACATGGCAGGAAAAAGTATTCATTTTGAATTGTTGTAAAAAAGGTTGAAAATTTTTCAAACTGAGAAGCTGATATAAAGTTTTATACACTCTTCAGGTTTACGTGAAATATGAGGGGGATAACATGATTTTAAAATTGATGAATATGAACTAGTTTAGAACATATAGGCTACTAAAAACATAATGCACACAAAACAATATAATGTAAAACTGTCAACTGTTAGTTTTTTGGAAACTTAAAAATGACAGTCCCCTTGTTCTTCTAAAAAGCTAAGTCCTGTACTTCAAAAAGCTATTAGTAATGAGTTAGTTACCATTTATTAGGTACATACAATGCAGCATATTTTATCTAAAATAACTTACGGCATTAACACTTCCATGAGATTATTAAGAGCTTGTTTTCCGACCATAATAATAGCTAATTGTATGGCAAGTTCCATTAGGCAACCACCCGTTCCACACTAGAATCACATTAAATGAACATCATTAAACATACTTCTCATTTGTAGTATTAATATAAACATTTTTATAAAAATAGAATATATAATTCTGTATTATACAAAGTATTCAGTATTGTACTTGATATATATTCTGTATTATAAAAAAAATTTGTATAATACAAAATATATATCAAGTACAGGCATTATAGTAGTTAAAAATAAAAATAAGGACGACATTCTACAAAAATATCATCGAATTTTTGAAGCAATACATACATACTAGGATATTTTTAAGAAGGGGAAACAAAGAGCTAAAAAAAAAAAAAAAATAGTGTAATGCACTGCTTTAAAAATTTGTTTTGTGAGACATATTTACTTAATTTTCTATAACCTTTAAAAAAAATAAAAACACATGGGCAATAATTAACATTTTTGAATAAAAATAAGTATTTTAAATAAAAAATAAGCAAATTAAGATAGGAACAAGGTGATCAGAAATGATTTAAAGAAATGGCGCAATTTCTAGAACAGGAGCCATAACAGGACACTCACAAAGGCATTTAATTTTTATATCCTGCATATTTTGGAGTTCAACAAGTGCACACTTAGATTTACTGACTTATGATGAGAAGAGGTGTAAAATGACAAAAATAGAACAGAGATTCTGGAAAAAAGGTGGATTCCATTAAGAAATTTTTTTATGACACTGATCTAGCAATAATTTGTTTATCTGAGAAAAAGTGAGCCCTAAAAAAAAGGAGTTCCATTTTTCACACCAACTCTTTTTCATGTAAAACAAGTGTCTGATTTCACTTTTAGAATAAAAACATACCAGTTTTGACGTTAATAAGTTTTCTTATTTCTTTTCTAGTGAAAGAAATTTTTTTAAAATCATGTGTTTGTCCAAATGATACATTCTAGAAAATAAATAAAAAGTTAGGAATATCAGGACAAAATATTAAAAGTCAGGACAAATAAGAACAGAATATTTTTTTTTATATCTACAAATGCTGTAAGTATCAATGGTTAATCTATACCCATGTTAGTTACCAAAATAAATAATATTTTTTCATTTTAAAATATATTTTAAAGTGAAAAATACTAAATGCTGCTTTTAAAAGAATAGTTAAAAGTAGAATTGGAATAAAAATAGCGCATTAAAAATGTAATTTTGTATTGTTGGTTTAAATTTTACACAGTGTTTGATGGAAAAAGAATTTTAAACTGATTACTTAACACAAATGACATTATATACTGAAGGTATGAAATTCAAACAATGTTATGAATTGAGTTAAACTGAAACAAAATTTTAAAAAAATGATTATATGGTGTCTTGGGTTATCAAATCCTTGTTTACCCAAAGAAGGTGAAGCCATTGAACAGCTCTGATTTAATTCATGATAACACTAAATTGAATAGAGATACGATAGAATTCTGAATCCTCTATACTCATAATGATAAGTGCACAAAAATATGAAATTTTTAAAACCTTAAAAAAGGTATAAAACAAAAATGTCATTTTTAAAGATAGTAAAAAACAAAACAAAAGGAATGCAATTTAAATGAAAAAAAAGGGCTGAAATATAGAAGTTATTTTGCATGTTTGGTTTATAATGAAAATTCAGAGTGTAAAATAAGAGAGTGAAGAATATGAACATGTGAGCTTAAAAAGAAATTTTTTTTTTACTAAATACGAAATTAATTATTTAAAAAAAAATCTATTATTTAAGGAAACAGAATTATACAAAATTATTCTAAAAAAAAGGTCTTTATAAAAAATTGCTAAGTTAATGTTTTCTTTTGTTAGAAACTGCCCATATAATTTTGTTATCTTATAATGTAAGGATGGGAGTAAGGAAATATAGCTTATTTTAAATCATTATTAAGATATAGTAAAATTATTTCTTTTCAGCTAATGAGCATGATTTAAATTTTAGAACTAATAAAACCTTGTTATTTCAGTTATAAAAACAATTACAGTTCCATTAAATATAAAACATAAAATGTATGTCTAATTTACATATTTAATAGCAATTTTATGTGTGTTTAACAGTGTACAAAATTTGGAATACTGTATTCAGAAATATGTAAGAGAAGGTAAGACTCGGTAAACCTCTCATTTGGGGGTTATAGAGTAAAAAAAACCATTGGGTAGGAGAAGAAATATAATAAACATATATAGATCAATGGACAGTTTCTAATGACATCAGAACATTTTCTTAAAATTACCTCTTCCTGTCGATAGCCAAATAACAATTTGTAGTTGCCAGGATGGCCAATGAGTCTATAAGAAAAAATTAGGTAAAGAAAGTTTCGAATGACAATATGAAGATATATATTATGAAAACAACATTTACTAGAAGCAAAATAATTATTATAAAATATTTACAGTTACATTTAGTTACTTACTTTCCTTTAAAAAATGCAATGTAAAAAATGGACGAATAGTAGTTAACAAATTGAAGCAGAAACATCTTCAGTGTGAGACTATCATCAAATTCAGTTTGTGTTCTATGAAGTTCTGGAGAAAAAACAAATGTTGGTTTTTCACAAACTATTTTAAAAGAAAATATTAAAATGAAATATTAATTACTATATATTACAGAGTACTTACCAAGCTCAGTGAGGTATGTGGCTATGCAAGTATAAAACTGGAAAAAATATGTATATAAAAAAGCTAGTTCAAAATTTAATCCTTTTAAATATAAGGTTATTAATGAAGTAACTAAACACATTATTTCCAACTATTTGGTTTGCTTTTATAAGATCGAGTTAATATCTTGAAAAAGAAAACAATTTATAGAAGTTAAATGATAAACTAAATATTTTAATGCTTACCTGATTAAATATCATTATGCAAACTAAGTTCAGCAAAGCAGCTGTTGTTGATGTTATGATGCTAGCAAAAGTGGATATTGTTTTATCTTTGCTGAGAAGAAGAGCAGCATTTACAGATATCCGGTATAAAATGACACCAGCTACTGCAGCTACCGCAACTGTCACCTTAAATATGATAAAGTTTTAAAAAATCACACATTCCTTTATACTTAACCAACTGAGCATTTGAGACATTTTTTTCCCAATCACTTTTCATCTACTGCAAAAACAGTTTAGTTTCCTCTTTGTTACTCAGTGAGAAAATTGCTTATGGGGAAGAAATTTTTATACAAGTTTTTCCAAATATGAAATGCTCAGTCAGTTAAAAAAAGAAAAACTAAGCAAATTTCTAAGTAATCTAACTATATCTTAATCAGATCCAGTGGTTAGAACTAGCATGTTACAAGTAACAAAACTACTCTAGTCACTACATTTTTTTCTCGTGGTTTGAAGTGCAATGGGCTATTTTTGGATAAAAGTAGTCTAAAGAGACGAAAGGAAAAATAACTAAAAATAACAACAAAGAAACACTAGTTTGAAGGGATTCCTGGGAACTACTTTTAACATATGTTTAGGAAACAAGGTTGAAATGTAATCAATTTTTCGAGTCTAATTGGTGCAAATCTTATGAGACACCATCAGCAGAAACAATGAGAATATGTCTCAGTCGCCAAATATTTTAGGTTTTATATAACTATTATGAATTATAGCTAATTTATCAATATAATTCACAACATATCTATAGCTTCAAAATCTAGGTTACACTCTTGATCAAAATTAATAGAATACATGCTTGTTATTTTCATAAAGAGGAACATATTTTGTTCTGTAACACTATGTGTACTTTAATAATTTGAGGAAATTAAAGAACTTTAAACATTTAATAAAGCTTTAAATATCTGACAATGTTCAAGCAGTTCTTGAATTCAATATTTATTGTAAAGAAAGACATAATAAATTGAAGGTTAAAAGAAAAAATTTGTGAAAAAAAAATTATTTATAATAATAAATTGGCTCATGTAAAAAGGGTTAGATATTTCTTTATAATTCCCTTGTTCAAATATGTCAATTTATTACTCTTACCTAATTTTTTAGATTTTTTTTCTATCAACTTATTTTGAATATATGAGTAAATTGAATTCTGTATCCTCTAGCAAAATTTGACTCCTAAAATAGTTAACACATCAAAAAAATAGTTACAGTTTCAGTAAACTACATTTGTAGCTAAGTAGTTGCTGTTAACTACAAAAGATAAGGGTACTTTTTCCGACAACTGGCTATAACAAATAGAATGCTAATAATGGAAAGTAAACAATGTATCTTAACTTACTAGTAAGAAAACTATTGATATAGACATGATTGAATATGGCAGTCGTTTTCTCCAAAATGGAACATATGGCTCATACATCTAAAATGAATAATGATTAAATAGTTTGGATTTTCAACACTTAGTATTGAAAATGTTCCTGAATTAGAAGTCAGTAAGTTAACAAATGAAATTAATATGACAGGTGTAATTTAGATGTTGCAAATTTAAGTGCAAAACAACTTACTCTTGTTATATAATTGATCTTCTTCTTCCTTTCATTAGCTAATCTAGCTAAATATTCTGGACGTGGATGCTCCTAAAAATTACGTGTTTCGGTTAATTTAAGTAAACATATGTACTTTACGATAACAATCAATTTCAAACATTTCTTATTAATTTAAATTTCTTCCAAGTTTACTTAGAGTTTCTACTTAGAGTTCACTTTTATTTTCCTCTAAAAAAATTTATTTTACTATATCTTAAATGAAGAAATAATTTGAGATACGCACAAATTTATTTGAAAGATTAAAACTACTTAAGCAACTTTTACATTGCAAGACATGTTTAAACTAAAATGGAAATTTTATAAAATTGAAAGAAATATCAACCCATAAGACTTACTTCAGAAGTGTCAAAACCAGTTAAATCCCACTTATGAGTGATATCTGCAGAATATCTTTTCCACAATTCTAGAAATACAGCACCTAAAATTTAAAATACAGTAACTAAAAAGAAAAATAGAAGACTATTTTTTTGAACAAAAATAATTACAAATTGTTATTTAAGATTAATATTTTGGTAAACACTTCATATCAAAACCCTCAACATTTACGATAAGAAATACATGGAAAAGAAAAAAAAATTATAGATATGGTTTAAAGTGAAAATAGTAAAATGCAAAAAATTTTTAAATCCTAATTTTTAGTCACAAAGAATAGCAGATTTAAAAAAAAGGGAGGCCTGATAATCGTTTTTTTCCCAAAATTTATTGAAAATATCTTATTAGGAACAAAGCTGCGAAAGAGAGGTAAGAAAATCATACATTAGAAGTTTTTCAATTGTTTAATTTATTTTTCATAAATCAATATTCTTTACCACTAATTTTTCATACATTTCCTTTCAGTTTAAAAATTGAGTTTTTTTTAAAAACAATTTCACGAGAAGATATTAAAATTAGTATTCAAGATATGATTATGAAGCAATGATAATCATAAAGAGAGAAGTAGAAAAGTAATCGCTTTAAAAGTTTAGAAAGAAATTAATAGAAAATTGTAAATACTTTAATATTTAATATTTTTGTGTTTCTAAAATTACTTTCCATAGAAAATAAATTACAGAAAAAATAGTCTTTATAACTTTACAAAAAATGTGACTCGTTATGTTATTGTACTGTGTTAAGAGATGCAGCTTGAAATTGAAGGGGAAAAACTAGTAAATTGTTGTTGTTTTAAGGCATATCTTTATCTTAGGTTAGGTAATTATTATTTATTACATAAAAATAGTTTTGTGAAAAAAAAGCTTTAATCAATTTTATGATTATTATAATAATAATGCCATATTTTTTTCAAAAGAGGAAAAAATATTAACCAACATCCTCATAAATAAATAAAGCGCTTCAATGCATGAAAAAAAAAAGAATTTTTAACCGAAAATACTCACATTAATAAGTTACATAAATTTAAAACAAGTAGAATGTTCTTTCATTTTCTTCCTAAATTCTGATAATTTATATTATCTTTGATAACTCAAAAAGCACAATAAACAAAACTAAGTGGTCCCTGTTTATATCAGACAATGTTAATTTTTTTGTAGTTAAGGCAAAACAAAGTAAGCCATATTTTTTTATCATACGAGGTTACTAAATCCTTGGTATGAAATCCCTTCCATTAGCATAAATTGTTTAAATCATAAAAATCTATTTCATTAGGTAAACAGTTTTTTTTATTATATAAAAACATATTTGCAAATAAGCAGTTCTTAACAACAAAAAAAAGGTTTTTTTTCCTTCCAAAATTAAGTCCTATGTTCTAAAGGCTTATTAGTTAGCTTAAAAAGTGAAGAATTAACAGCTTCTTAGAACACATACATACCCCATAGCGACATAAAAACTGCAAACAGTGCAGTAGCTCCATTATCCACAAGGTATGTAATTTTTCCAGCATTACACGATTCGCTTAAAAGCCAATAATGACACTCTTTATCACATAGAGGACACATAACTAATTGGCTATCGCATATTTCATTGCTGAAACATATGTTTTAGCATTAATGTTATACAAAATTATTATACATATGTTAAATGTTATACATATTTATATGTTATAAATATTAATATGTATATATATATCAAGAACGTAGATGAGGAAGGGGTTAGGGGTTCAGACACCCACATTGTAAATGGCTGTTTTTAATATTTTCTCAAACTATTCATTTTTTTAATAAAAAATATTTTAAATTTTTTCCCCTTCTTTTAAAGATTTGGATTGGGTAAAAAATAATACCTTAAAAATAATTTACCACGTCGATACAAGCCTCTTTATTTTTATTCAAGCAATACTCTGGAGCTGGTGGACCAAACCGACCAAATGGACCATCCCTCCCTATCATTCACTTACTAGGTTAATTGATTTTTTTTTTACTGTAAAAAAATAATAACAGTTTAAAATGCCCTTGCTTTATCTATTTTTATCTTGAAAGCAAAGGGGGATAATTTTTAAGAGACAATGTGGGATCTATAGGATGTTGAAGATAACCTTGTTTGTTTGCATTTGGTTATAAATGCTCAACAAGGTAAACTTTCAAGAATTTTTAGGGCACTTTTTTAGGATTGAAATAAGAGGTAACTAGTGGATAGAGTGTGCTCCAAGAGTGATCGCAATTTATAGGAACTTTAAAGAGGGTTCTAAAGGCAAGAAGCTTTTACTGTGATGCACTTGAATTTAGTTCAAACTTTCTGGTAGTCTTCCATTTAGTATATAATTTAGGTACATTTTTATTTTAATTTATAGGAATATTTTTTGTTAGCATTTCATTTAAATTTTATTAATAACTCTCTATCTACATTTGAATCATAACACTTCATTGTAAAAATGATTTATTTATTCATTTGGAGGTAAGTTTATATTTAATTCAATTATATATGAAATATCTAAAGGCAAAAATTGGACTAGATTTCAAATGCTAATTTATTTTCTAAATTAGTTCAGTCATTTTTATAATCGTTGCATTATTTTATTTATTACAAAATAAATAGTATTAAAAATAAAGGGATACTAAATTTTACAAAAGTAGTAATTCTAAACCCATAACTGTTTAAGAAAATAAAACAAATTTGCAAGATGACAACTGAAAATCTATTCTGATTTGAATACTTTTACATAGTGTATATATATATGAGATTAAAACACTTGACATGTTTAAAAAAGTAAAAAGGAGGTTAAATAAAATTATGAGTTATTTTAAAGTCAGTTTTATTGTCCTTGAAATTGGGCTGCAAAGAAATGTTACTTGAGAGCCATTTTGCGAATTGCAAAGAAAGTTTAAAAATAAAAGTGTTTTATGTTATTGATGCAGTCCTACATTTTTAACTTTTAAATTTGAACTTTAACATCAGCAATTGCTAAAAAGTTTTGATTTGAAGAGATATACATAATGATGGTAAGGAAAAATTTTATTAGTAGCAAATGATTATTTATTATTTCTGATAAGGCAGTCACATTAAGAGAAATAGAGAGTTTTCAATACTTATGACTACTTTGACATATATATATATTTTATACAAAATTGAATGAGATAAAATTATAGTTGATATAATTTATTCTACTTTTGTATTTTTTTCCTACATTCTAGTTTTGAAATTACAAAGGTTTTCTTTAAGTGCAATTCAAAAATAGTGCATTTTTTATATATAGAAAAATCATTTCAGCTTTTGAAATATTAGTTCTATTAATTTGTTTCTGATCTCATTCAACTACACGAGAAAAAAAACTTAGATAACAATATCCCACTCGTTTGTATAGCATACAATTACTTGTTTAGATGCACAAATCAGTGCAAATACAAAATTTTTATTTTTGAACATAAAATGCTTGTAACTTGTAAATTATTTGTCGATTATCTCAAGACTGGCCTCATACAATTTAACATGAAAAATTACATTGGAAAATATACATTACATGCTCAGGTAGTAATGTAAAATTCATACATAAGTGCGTGTGAAAATAAGTACTGTTTATACATAAAAATTCTTGCAACTTTTGAACTCTTTGTTCTAGTGACTTGTGTATAGTTTCATCTGATTTAGCCTAAAAGAATGTATATAAAACAATCTCTTACTTGTTTACATAGCTATATCAGTTGTGTAAATAGATACAATTAATTCTTTTTACTTTTTATGCATAAAAACCTTAGAACTTCTAAACTATTAGTCCGATCATCTCGGCATTTGTCTCACTCAACACAGTAAGAAAACACTCATCGCAAAATACACTTTTGCCTTGCTTGTCTAGAAAAAATTTAAATCTCCCTCTGAAATCATCACCATTTCTCTCATAAAAGGAGAAAGCATAAAGAGAAGAGTTTTTAGGTATCATTTAAAATAATATAATAAAGCCTTCTTTAGGAAAAAAAAAATTGGGTATTAATTTTTCAGAAGGGAAAGTCTAACTTTATTGCACTATGAGGAGATGGTAAAAGAAAACCGTATTCGTAATATTTTCTTCTAAATTTAATAGATTTTTTAATATAGGATGAAAATAAAATTAAGTTTAAATTTATTAATATGTTACAAAATTTTAAATCTTTAAAATATCAATGAAACATAAATATTTGGCACCAGTTTTACCTCACTTTAATTTTTCAATTTCGTATTTAACATCCCCGTGAAGAAATTATATCTATGTACTGATATATATATACATATATATACTATTTTGCTGAACAAAAGGGCTATATATTTTTATAACATATATTTGTAATATATATCAGTCATAATGCAAATATATATATAAGATTGGGTTTTGCAAAATTTGGGTTCATAAGTATATAATAATGTGTAACAGAAATTTAAACACCCAATATGTATATGATCAAATAGATTAACAATAAAATAATTTACATGATAATAAGTATGTAATTATAACTTAATATGACAAAAAATAAAAGTGCAGATAGAATTCAGACCTTTTTATGAGCATTCTTAATAATTTAAACAATTAAAACACTAATTAATTTATAATAATATTTATAGCAACAGACTACTACGGAAAAAAAAATGTAAACACAATAACAATTTATTTAAATTTTAATATAATCAACTACACTGTCTAACATGGATTTTATGTCTTTAAATTTTATCAAAGTTACAGACATTTTTAATTATTATTTATTTTAGATTGGTTTTCAGTAACCTACTAGAGAAATATAGTATTCAACCTGATTAACATAATCATATAACTCATTAATGAATTATTTAATGCGATAATTTTAAGACATATATTAAATTATGAAGAATTTGCTTTCTCAAAATGAATGCATATCATCATGAAAAACTAATGTAGTGGATAATTTGATATATATGAAATTATTATTATTATTTTTCTTACAGAGTAGCTATTTTTTTGCTTTTGTTTTGGAAGAAGTTCAAAATGTGTATCACTATCAAATATTTAGAAATCAAATAAATCAAAATTCATGATTAATCCTTGAAAAATATTACAACTATTCTATAACAGAAGTAATTTATTTTAATGATTTAATTCCTAAATAAGCAATAAAATAATGCAGCATTTTCAAATCAGGTAAATTTTAAAAATATAATTAATAATCAGCTAGGAGCAATGCTTAAATCATGTAAATGATTTCAACATTTATAAGGAGAAAAAAGCATTATCTATTCTATGGATACAGCAGCAAAGTAAGAGAGCAGTTCTTATATGAATAGAATATTGTTCAATAAATTTAAGTTGTATGTCTGATTCAGAAGAATGCTAGTTAGTTAAACATACCTCGGTACATTACTGTTTAATGTGATACAGCCATAAATAAAGCAAATCAATCCTACAATAGATGCTGGTATGAGCATATATGTGTAGAAACCAAGCCAAGCAAAGTAAAGTCCAATTTTTACTCCAAAGTAATGCCTGGAAAGAATATTTTTCATATACTTTTAAATAAGCAATGAAGTGAAGTACAAGTTAATATACAGTACAGAACCCATTGTCCGGAAATTAGAAAACCGGAAAACCAAAAAACCGGAACGAAATTCGATACATTTTCCGTGTATTCTAAACAAATTTTTTTTTTCCTCATAAGATTTTAGGATTTTTCTTTCTTTTTTGAAAGATGTTTACCTTACCATCATTTTGGAAATAATCATTAGTGTATTACTTCATCATTTTTTCTTCTTTTTAAAATTATTTCCAAAATTTTTCTTTTTTTTTAGTTGGGTTTAACAATAAAAAAACGGCTTTTTGTAACGATTCAGAAAACCGGAAAAATCAGTTATCCGGAATAGTGATGGTCCCGATCGTTCCGGATAATCGGTTCCCTACTGTATTATGATATAAATAATATTTTGTATGCATACTTAAATAGGCTAATGAAGAAGAGAAGAATAAAAATTTGAATTTTCCGGAATATTTTTAATGACATAGACCTAAAATATTTTTCATTAGGTATTTATAAATAAATTTGGTGAATAAATATTTAAAAAGAAAAAGTTACCTTTTTTTAAAAGAAAAGCTAAATAAACACGGCTTTCAATGCAGTACCTATAGCACTTTAACTGAAGGGCTTACTTTGCATAGTATATCTAAATTGATAAATAAATAGATTGAACTATTAATCCTTCACTTTGAACTAGAGGGGGAAAAAAAGAACCTTAATTTCTGAAAGAGTTAATCAATACATATTAGATAGTTAAATACAAATGTTGTTTTATTTATTTTATGACAGTTGATGATTTAAATAATGTTCATTTTGATAATGCAGGAATTTTAAGTACAACTCATAAGATTCTTAAGTGAAGTATTAGAACAAACCTGCTTCAATGGAAGACTTCTTAGAAGAATTTAATTCAAATTTGTGCATGGATAAAAAAACTTAAAAATATGCCATGGTTAACTCAGAAACAATGGGATTCTACAACAGGAACTGTCTGTATCACATAGGACCATGCAGTCATAACCATAGGTTAATTATAATCAAAACCATATAACTATATTACACATTTCTTTGACAGTCTCAAAACATATTACATATAACAAATAAGGGATATTGTAAGGAGAATTTTTAAAATAGTGAACTAGCAATAAACTTACTTAATTTCATCGAGTGGTTGTTTTTTAAAAAGGCAGGAGTACGATGCCCATTTCTTTATAAGAAACATTCTTGGGTTTTGAGGTGATTTATCTTTCAAGTCTCCCTTTAAAATATTTTAAAGTTAAAAATGGCAATGAAATCAAAATTAAAACACAAAAAAAGATACATACTTCATGTAATGGAAATGCAGCAGTGTAAATACCATCAGATAACAACTTTTTGATACCTTGATTAAAAAAAAAAATTATGCATTAACAAATTTAATACAACAAATATAAATAACAAGCATCAAATATATTACATCCAGATTATAACATTAGTACACTTTTATTTCTAAATCTTAAAAACATAATAAAATAAGATATGAAAGTAAACGCAATTTACATTATTCTATATGTTTTAATCTCAATTTTAAAATTGATACCAAAAGAAAATATGTGTATAATTAACTAGATATAATTATAGTCTAGTATATGTTAAATTTTTAACTTTATGATTAAGCAATTTATATATAATTCACATTAAAATTTAATGGAATGGGAATCATAACGCAGTTTCTGATGAAACTAAAAAAGAAACTACTTTCAAGAAAAATGCAGAACAAGGAAAAAGTTCCAATATTATTTTTAAAGAACTTATTTAGAATGAAAAATAAGTACAGTAGAAACTATACCATTATAGTATTAATATGTACATCTTTTGCAGCTTACCAAATCCAAACACATCTGTATGATCAACTGTGAAACTTTTACGCTTTAGGATAAACTGGACGATTCGTGATCTTTGGCACGGTGAAAAAAAATCCTCTTTTCGACGAGGTATCTGAAATCTAACATTTTTTTTTAAACAATAAGTTTAAAATACAGAGCAACAAAAACAACTTAGACAAAGTTAAAACCAAATATTGTTATCCTAATATATTTTAAACTTATTTTGCTTTGCTCGGAAATTGCGAATGGGCCTTCCAAAAGGACCAGCACTCAGAGCAGAAAATACATTTGATTCCAATAACACTTGAATCCAATGAATTTTTCCATTGATCCAATTTCGGTTTTTTCACTTAGTCTTAGAGACAAGGGTTTGTGCTAAAACCTATAAGACTATGGCATCCCTAAAAATGTATTTTTTCAAAGACATAATATTAGCAAGTAAGTTCGGAGGCCAATGGCAGAAAAATTTTTGACTTGTTTACGGCTCTGTATTAACTATATAGTATCACTTTGAAAATTTATAAATATTCAGTTATTTTTGTTGTGTAAATATATTAATTACATTCTTACATAAAGTTAAAAAAAGTAATGTTTATTTGAAAGATTTTTGCAATATTTTAACAAGCAATAAAAATTGTGATGATTTTTTTAATACAAAATTTTACATTATGTGTTTTATGCCTTTTATTGAAGAAATAATAATATTTAAATTTAAAAAAACCAAACTCTTATGATTTATACAGTAGTAAATGTGGTCAGTTTATCAATGTTTTCTTCAAAGACATTAATATCAAAGGCTAATATGTTAATCATAATTTTAAGAGTTTATAGACAAGCTGAAAATAAAAAGTTGCGACATTTTAGTAATGTACAAGAAATAACTAGCAGAAATTTTTTTCTTCAAACAGTTTACTGAGGAAAAAAACAACATTTATATATCTACATAAAATATTGATTTAGAAAAAAAAAACTTACAAATATTCTTTATCTCGTGAATAAACAGTTGAAAAGCGACAGTCTTTAAACCGCAGCTTATATGTATCAGCATGGATAAGGTCTGAAACACTTTGAGCAAAACCTGTCATACGACTGAACAAATTACGAAAATAGTATTTTGAGAAGTCGAAGTCAGGTACCTAAAAAATTAATTAGACATTACAACTTAAAAAATTATAAAAAAATTAAAGCCACTTCTTGTTTTGACTATAAACACATACTTAAAACAACTACCGATATAACATCTAAAAAACCAATAGAACAATTTACAAAAAGTTTTGTCCGGATATTGCTAGCCCATGTCATTATCATGTAAACTTTGATGCTGATACTTGGTTGACAATAATTATTATTTTCAAATTATACCAATATATACAAAAAAAAGAAATACTGCAAATCAAAATACCGGATAGAACTGAGTTCTACTTCCTATTCCTTCTCCTATGTAATTAAAAAATCATGTTATACATCTAAAGATAAATGATTAATGCAAAAATACTTACTGTTTGTTAATAAACTACACAAATGTGAAAAGTAACTAAAAAGAGACAAACTTTACAGATTTTACCAGTTTTGCACAAGGCATATTGAAAGGATAGTGTTGGCAGCAAATGTCTGCTTTAAAATTTCACCTTTTTTTTGCCCCCTCTCCTGACTAGTTTTAGAAACAAATGGTTCCATTCAAACAAATGGTCCTCATTTTTTACTAGGCTAGATAGCCTTGAGCCTACTGCATATTTAGAGAAAGGATGTGACCACAAATGTAGAATTCAGAGTAAACAGAGCATATATTAGACAAATTTTTGTGTTGATTATTTTGGTGAAATCAACACATTCTTACTAGTCTTAAGTTTTATAAAACAGGTGATAGTTTGAACAAATAGTTAAATTGTATAGATAAAAAAATAAAAGTTATAAACAATTTAATTTCAAATTGCTTAAGCAATATAAGTAATACACAAATAAAACTTCAATGAGAAGGTGTCAATATTTCTAGTACCACAAAATGAATTTAGGAGTTAGATCAGATTAGTTTCTATTACTAACACTTCAGAATTCATAACTAGATGAAGAAAATAATAAATAAATAAAACAACATAGCAAATGATACTATCATTGTTTAGTCATTCTTACATTAAGATTTGTTGATAACTTACATCTATCAAAATGGTTCCAACTCAAATTCAGAAATAAAATTTACTGAGTTTTTCCAGGAAAACACCAACAAAGTTTGATGTCACATTTTTCCTATACATGTCAATATATGTCAGAAGCATAATAATTTTTATTTCATAGGTAAATAATCTTATTTTATGATTGAAAAAGAGTGAAATATTCACAAGGCAAAGGTTTAAATAGAGAATTTATAGTACGCAAGTACATACATTGTATTTAGAAGCAATGCTTAGTAATAGAAAAAATTAAAAAACTTAATGTAAAAGTTTATTATTAGAATCATACCATTCATATAGGTATCCTACTTGCCATTAAGTGTGAATACATATTGTTAATGTGAGTCATTTTCCAGTTTTGTTTCAGAACTTCTCAAGATTTGAGCAAAAAATGCATTAAGGCCCCTTATGTTTTTCCAAATTCAAATACCCTGGCAATTATTTCAAACCCAACAAGCACATTTTTTAGGACTGTTTATTTAAAATATGCATTACAAAAAATAATTTTATATTAATATTCTTCTATTTTTTCAAATATAACGAACACTTGTATCCATAAACAATATTTAAAACTTAAGTATTTTATAAACAATGAATAGATATTTGTTAGCAAACCTAAATACGACCTATTTAAATTTTAAAAAAAACAGACATTTCTATAAATGTTGAACTTTTTAAGTTTTGCAGAATAGTTACAAAATATATCCATTTGTGTGACCAAATTTACCACCAGGTACAACATCACAATATATTGACAACATACCCAATAACATACTATGAGAAACTTGTAAAAAATTTTAAAAAAAGGCAAGAAAGTTTTGCACGCAAAGTCTTAATAAGAAAGCAAAAGGAGTCCTTATTTTATGCAGGCATTGGGAGATCTATGGAAAAAAAAAAAAAAAACGCTAGAAAAAATATTTCATAAGTCTACTTTTCATGCATCAGATTTTCTAAGAAAATTTTTGTATGTTAATGTAGAATTATGATTAGTTTTATTATATATTTTAGCAAAACATCTGCATCAAAACAATAAATTTGTGCTATTATCTTCATATTCGTTTGTTGTCAGTGCTCCATTAATTCACAGTGTGAAGAAAGGTTTGCTATAAAAAATAATAATTAATAAATAATAATAACACCATTTCTTATTTAAATCTCCTTTGCTTAGGCCTGAATTAATGGGATTTGCGTGTAGTGGCTTTAATGCCAATTGATGTATGTCCTTCATTTCATTTCCTTTAAAATATTTGTTTTATAAGTATTTTGTCCTTTTTTAGATTTAACTCTGACACCGTTTTGAAAAATGATGTGATACTTTAAGTTATACCACTTGTGAATATAAAAACAAGATTTTTTTTTTCAGTAAAGACTCATTAGCAATACTAATGCAAAAAACAATGTGAAGAAAGTACCAAATCATTCATTTACACTAAGTACATTTACGTACTTTCATATAAGCTTTATTCACGTTTTTTCCTTCAGTCTACATAGCACGAAAGCATGCCCTTTCTTTTGTTAGATATTCTTTAGTAATAATTTATATTGCAATTTCTTATTTTCATTAACTGTTACTTTTTACTTCATTTTAAAATATCAGGCCAATATAATCATATCCCTTACAACTAGCATACTCAATTACATGCATTTTTATGTTAGATGATTTTAGCAAAAATTTCTAATTTCAGAATAATAAACTCAAAATTATAAAATTTAATGTAGAAAAAAATACTTTTCATTATAAAAAATGACTGAAATAATAAATCATGGTTCAAACTAATTAAATTTTTAAATGGTATTAATTGACTATCAAGCAAAAAATAGTAGATTGTACCAAAGCAAATCAGCGAATGTGTTCACAGGTTCAGCACCTAAGAATGACAACAGTATATCACATTCAAATTTAGGATCTACTGAATAAGAATAGAAAAAACTTAAAAAAGTTGTTAGATTTATAATCCAAACTAATAAAAAAAATGTCTAGAATTACGGCTACTATAACAATAAATCTATAATGAAAAAAGTTTCAATGACTCTTGTTTTACTATCCTTCTCTTTTGTTTACAAAATCCTTCAAATTCAAAACTTAGTCGAGTCTATTGTCTCAAATTCACATGACAGACTAGAATTTTCTAGATTACCATTTTTAAAAATAATTTACTAGAGTGTAAATAAATAAAATAAAAAAAAATGAAAAAAAATTAGTCTTAAAATGAACAGTTCTGCAACAGGTTAGGAAATTAAACAGTAATTTCAATTAAAAAAGTTCCTGTTAATTCCATATAAGCAGTAAAATATTATTTAGTAGCTTAATGAACAGTAGTGCTTCGTGCTTCCGTACCGCAGGTCCTGGGTTCGATCCTTGGGCCGGGCAAGGTTGACTCAGCCTTTCATCCCTTTGGTGGGTCGATAAATTAGTACCAAGCATGCTTGAGAACTACAACCTGGGCGTTTCGCGTTCGGCTGATCACCTAACTGGAACATCTGCTCCTGCACCCCAGAGCCCAAGAAAACTGAGATGGGCACAATAGGCCTTGGCCCTCTATGGGCTGAGTTTAGTTATTTTAGTTTAATGAACACGTACATGAAATGGTTATATATATCAAGCAAGAAATAAACTAGAATATTAATCAAAAATATTTTTCATTCAGGTATGAGGAAATGGGGAAAAAACCATGCTTACATTAGAGGGAGGTCTTGCACACACTTCAAACAAGCTCTATGAAAAAAAAGGTTGATTAATAAATTGTAAGTATTTAATAAATATTTATAGCAATATGATTCTGAAATATAATTAAATAAATTTTAAAAATATAAAACTCACCATTTAAGGCTTAATAAAGAATAATAATAACGAGTATTGAAAAATACCAATTTTGTTTCCAATTTTAATGCAAATCTCAATCAGATTGAGTAAAAATATAATCTTACCTCTTTCATAGGCATTTTGAATTTCAAAATTTCACCATATCGACTTAGAACCTCCCATGGGCAGTGAATTTTTACAAACACTAAACCAGTTTCTTCCTGTGAAATTACACAAAATAAGATATAATAAAATTTCAGGATGATTAAAATTAATTAATTATCACTCTCACACATTCAGATTCTTTCTATTTCCAATAATTTTTTAAAAAAAATTCTCATAATTGTTTGATGACATAATAATAGGATTCAATGTATTCAAATAAGGAAAAAAATACATTAAAACAAATTCACTTTGCTGCCAATCGCAACACAGTTGATATAAAAACAAAACAGAATAATAGTACACAGTAAAAAAGGTTAAACTACAATTTGTAACAAATGAAGTAAATGTTAAGTTATTGATTCCATTTTGCAAACAATATTATCATTATTGAAAATCTAAAATTATAATTATGGAGATATATGATTTCCTTAAAACAGAAAAAGATGATCCTCCAGTGAAGTTACAGTATGCTACCTGTTCTTGACTCTTGTAAGATAAGAATTATAATTTTTTTTAAAAATTAAAATGAAAAAAAAATTAAAATAGCTATAAAATTATAAATTAAAATAAAAATTATTGGAAACAAACTATTTCACGAAATATAAATTTGTAATTTATTTTTTTACCTGATACACATGTTCTAATTCAAGACCTTCCTCTTTTAGATTTTTTTCGAAAACTGCACGAGCATTAACAAATTGATCTGAATCTTCAGAAGGATCAGTTGAATACACAAGAACAAAATCTATTCTCTTTAGCCGATCATCAAAAAATACGGCAGATTCCTGTAAAAGTACAAGAAATTAAAAGAAAATCATGTCACTTACCCAACATTAAATTAAAATAAACTTGCAAATGGACTTAAAGATGTAAAATAATTTATGATGGAAGGCTTGAAAATGTTGAGGATAAAAAGATTCTGCTGAAGAAGTTGATGTATTTATTTTCAAATATCCATACTTAATTCCAAGAATCAGATATGTTAAACAATAAAAAAATATTTTATTTATGAAAACTACTGAGTTCCAAAGTAAAGAGAAGAGTTAATTTTTAAATAAAAATAAATTATTAAATATAATAAATTTTGAAAGTGGTGGGGAGTGTGTGGCTGCAGGGGTAAATCCCACAGGACTCCTTCGTCCACCAAGAAATTGAAAATGCGAGTATCATGTATAGCATAGTTATAGCCAAGGAAAGTTGAGGAATCCATATATTGGCTATTAATTTATTTAATTTGTTGCCAAAGTTCTTTTTCTTACCCTTACACATTTAAATGTGTTGGCGGAAAAGAAAGTGTGAGAAATAATAACGAACTTTAATTAAAGCAAAACATTTAGTAACCATATAATGTTTTTTAAATTCTATGCTAATGTGTTAGGCGGGACTCTAAATCTCTAAAAATAGATTTTATTCTGCAGTCAATTCAAGGTTGGGGAATTACAAGATTATTGATTATATTAATGATTTTTATTTATTGAGAAAAGGATAAAATAAGATAATAATGAAAATGAAAGGAAATATGTTATGCATATTTCAACATGACATCAACAATTTTTAATATTTCATAAAAGTTTAAAAGCTTCTTAAAGTAAAAGCCTTTCCATACATTTGATTAATTTATTATCTACTATACATAAGTAGTAAATAAAAAAAAGAAGATAAAATTACTTACTATTGATAATAAGGATGAAGTGTCTAAGCCATCCAATTTACTAGATGATAAATAATCTAGCTTAATGCATTCATGACTCTTTGCATATTTTCCTGCACTTCGTAAAACTAAAGTATCAACTTTTGAAGAAGTCTCACTGAAAGGGGTGCCATAGCTTTCAGATAATTTGCCATCAGGTGTTGATGGTTCTTTCAATTCATTATTCAGATTCAGAGATGGGTAAATAGAGTTGTCATTTTTTTTAGCATCATTGGAGTTGGGTGATAAGTTTTCAGCACTGAGATATATGCTTTCTGAAATTATGAAGAAAGAACAAACTTAGCAACATGGAAGCAAAATGTAGCTATTTAGACAATGATTGACAATTGTCGGTGTTAACTAAAAACTTCATAAATCTACAGGGTATTTCTAACTAAATAAGTATTCAGATTAAACCAACCCAGCAACTTTCCAGCAGCAATTTTCCAAATCTGGAAAGTACAGGGCGGAAAAAAAAAACAGACCACCCAGAATAACTTATGATCTAATGATTGAACCTTCACGTTCTAGGACTGATTCTTAATGGTTTGAGGGAATAGCCTTAAATATGCTTATTCATTAATGCAGATGATATTTTAAGTTCACACGAAACACATTAGTTATTTTAGGTTGACACAAAGAGTGCAATTTTACAGGGCAAAATACAAAATATGCACAAAATCTGTCTTAATAGTTTCTGAGAAACTAAATTTTGAAAAAGTCGCATTTTTAAAATTCAATTTCTCAACCATTCAACGGATTTTACTAAAAATTTTCCATTTTGCCCTGTAAAAATACATTGTTTAAAATCATGTAAAAAAATTTTATACCTTACAATTAAAATTTTTTTTTGACTATCACAAAATAAAGTAACAAAAGATAGTAAAAACTCACTAAAAGTTGATTCTGCATGGAATTATGCTTGTATGTTTGGCAAAATGAATTTTATAATTGCATGCATATTTTTTTTTAAATTTACTTAAATTATTTTCGAGATATGGCGAAATACACAAAAAGTAAAATTAACATAAAGGGGTTACAACTTTGGACCACTCTCCTGACCCAACTCTTGGGACCATATTTCTCAGATTGCGGCTATCCCCTATATTTTGGGGTCAGAAATCCGAATCTGTCGAAAAAAGGTATGTTTATTCTGAGAAAGTATGTTTTTGCATCTGATTTTGTAACTTAAAATATTGTCTGCACTAATTAATTAACATATTTGAGGTCACCCCTTTAAACCTTTCAGATTTAGTCCTGGAACGTGAAGATCCAACCATTAGATCAAAAGTTATTCAGGGTTATGTGGTTTTTATTTTACACACTGTACATACAAACAAGGTTTGTGCATATTTACATTGTATGTATATATATTATATTGGAATCAGAAATAGTATATACATGGGTATGTACATTAATTCTACGTACATAAAAACTTGTATGCCTATACATGTTGTTGTTGCTTATCCTCATACATCTGACATTAGTCAGTTGAACTCCAAAAAGTTGTTGACAGCCAGAAAGTAGATGACAAGAAGGGGATCGTAAATTAAACCCGCCTTGGACAATCTGACACAATCAAGTATATGTTTCGGTGAGGTTGGTTAGATACAGCATTTTTTACAAGTCGGGTAAATTTTCGTGCCATGTTCGAAAGTTCGACGTTTTAGGTGACATATTGATGCCTATACATATTTACATATAGTAGTACGCAATTGTATTTACTTGTAATCGTATGCTTTGAATCACGATTTATGATTACATGTAATCACATATTTTGATATTTTGTAACCATAATTACCCATAATCGTTTTTGTTATGATTACTTGGAATCACGATTACTAAAGTAATCAAAATTTTGGTGAGTTATAACCACGATTACAAGCAATTGATTACTGCAATTGAAAATTGTAATCCATTACTTTTTTGTCCAACTCTGATAAGTAGGTAGCATTATAAGAGTATGCATAAGATATAAAGTGAGAAGTTAGGACAATCAACATACCCAATTTAAGACCATAGCCTAGAATAAGAGTTAATACTATCATGTAGGAAGCAAACCTTCCCATGTAGTTCAAATTTAGCATTTTTTGAAAAAAAATTATAAGTTAAAAGTTTAAAATTTGGCCATGAATGAACAGGAATTTCATCATAACAATGTTACATACATGTTCAGTATAAATTTTTTAACCCACATGAATCATTTCCTGAAAGTTTACATTATATAACTTCTGAATTCGAGATCAACAACAGTAACCATGCGGCTCAGTCAGAAATTCACAAAAGAGAAACCTGTTACTAGCTAGCCTAAGACTTGAGAATATGCCACTTAATGTAAGTTTTTAGGACAAATTTTCAATGTTATAATTAAATGTTTAATTTCATTATGTTAATTAGGTTTAAGTTTTACTTTCATTGTAAACTTAAAACAAACTATAACAAACTTATAATACATAATACTTATATAGCACTTAAAAATAACAAACTTATATATAAATGAGGATGCTTGCATGCTGGTTTTAATTTGTGATCATAACCAATCTGAATGTAGGACTGAAGGATATTTAGGACTGAATAATTAGACCTAAGATGGCTGGTAAAGTCATATACTGCTCTGGGCTTGCCCTGACCACAGTATACAGAGATCAGATGTCCCCAATTGTAATTCGATTAGGAGTTACAATCCTTATGCAATCTGGATAAATCTGGGAAGGTTTTGTAGCTTTTATTCCCCATGTAATACAGTACAGAANATAATTACTTAATTATTTGTTTTTGAATAAAAGTATTATTAATAAAAAAAATTTATAACAAAATTGTTTTTCTGTATCTCTAATTGCTTAAAAAAAAAGCCAGGGGGTGCAAGTGCACCTCCCTGCCGGCGCCCTTGTCTGCACTAATTAATTAACATATTTGAGGTCCCCCCTTTGAACCTTTAAGATTTAGTCCTGGAACGTGAAGATCCAATCATTAGATCAAAAGTTATTCAGGGTGGTCTGTTTTTTATTTTGCACACTGTGCATACAAACAAGGTTTGTGCATATTTACATTGTATGCATATATTGGAAATTGTATTTACATGCGCACGTATATTAACTCTAAGTACATAGAAAAATTTTATGCCCATACATATTAACATATAGTAGTATGCAATTGTAATTACTTGTAATCGTATGCTTTGAATCATGATTTATGATTACATGTAATCACATATTTTGATTACTTGTATGTTATCTTAAAAAACATATATTTTCTCCTTTTAAATTGGGATACTTTGTTTAAGTGACATTGAGTGACATTTACTGAAATCGCCACAAGCATTTTTAGAAACTGATAAAAAAATTAATGTTTATTAACTATCTGCTCATGATCAACTTGTATGTTAGTTAAAACTGTTGATGAACTTTCTTCTAATGTCATTAAAAACTGGCAAAAACTATTAATTTCACTTTAAACTGGTAGAGGGACATCTAAAGAACAGATCTAAGAGTAATTATTTAGAATTAAATTTATTTAAGAATTAATTTAGAAATTCTATTTATTATGAATTATTTTTTGAGATGGGATATAGTGGGTATATGGTTAGGCCTTAGCTAAGTGTTGCATGATAGGGATATTTTTTTACTTCTGTGTTAGCTTTACCCAAGTATCGAAAACTCAATGTTTTATAATGAAATAGTCAAAAATATTTAGCTTGTTTGATTACAGCCCTACATAGTTATTTTAATACTGAAAACAAAATTTCTTTCAAATTTTATTTTTTAATGAGAAGAATGATGGGAGTGGGGGATGAGGAATAACAATATTACTGACAAGAAAATTAAAATTTACCAAAGTAGCATAATGGTAAAACTTAGTTATTTAAACTTATGTTATTTAAAGGTATAGATGAGTTTTCACCCAAATTTCTGCCTTCATATGGCAGTTTTTTCATTAAAAACAAAACAATTGTCTTATAAATTAAATAAAAATACTTCTCTGCTATAAATTGCAAAAGCATTTTAAATTACCACTATAGATATTAATTTTTACATTCTAATTTATATTTCAAGTAAACAAAAAATTATTACAATTTTTTTTGCTTTTTGATGAAATTGTATAGAGTTAAGCAAAATATACTGCATCCAAAATGAAACCAGATTTCTTGAATACGAAAAAATTATTATTTTTTAAATACTATAATCATAGTAGATTTATTTAACAGCATTTTTACTTCTAAAATAACATTTACTTAAGTTTTTTAGTGTAATTTATACAAATTTTAGAACTACATCCACTTCACTCCACTCTGGGGTAAAGTGGGTATATCAAAACCTGTTCTTTTGAATACATTACTGTAAGAAAACAATAAAACTAAATAGATAAATTGTGCTTCATATTTAATCTAAATGAATCCAATGTACACAATGCATCAAAATGCTCAGTAAAATTAATTTAATGGTTTGGTTTTAGATCCTTCTTTATAAAAAAGCTTGATACTCACTTTACCTCACCTGACCCTATATGTTTAACTAAATAATTAGATGTTCCATGGTTGGTCAATTTGAACACTGCTACTGTCCTTCACCAACCACAGTGCTGATGTAAAATGTTTCCAGAAGTAGTAAAATCCTTGGTTAGAATCCCATTATCCTCCAGCTAACTATGGAAGGTTTTGCTAGTTTTAATTCTCCATCTAATGCTAATGTATGTCAGTTCCATTAAAAAGTTCTCCAAGAAGGAGAGTTTGTACAAATGCTTGAGACAGGAGTTCCTCTGTCTTTTGGGTTCAGTTCAAAACTACTAGGCTATAAAGTTGAGCACTGATAGCCCATAATCTGATACAGATTGGCAGTTCAATGACAGTGATAAAATTAAATAATTAGAATGACATTTTAAATTTAAACAATGACATTACCTTCAGATGTTCTTTTTTTCAGTCGATATCCTAAGTTTTTGTAATTTCCACTTGGATCATCCTCTGAATTTTCATTTCCTCCCTCCATACTTCTACAAATATTAAATATAAAAATTATATACAAAAAAAAAATATTAAAACAATGTGTCATAACAATATTTAAATAAATAATAATAGTAAAAACTTTTTAGTTTTCTAGATGATAAAAGTCCTAGATTGTTAAAATAAACTTTAATACAAATTCAAGCTAATATATTAAATTGTAGAAGGCTATTTGTAATAATTCTCATAGAATCAAACCAAATACAAATTTAAAATAAACCACTCATAATAATAACAGTCCTGATAAGTAGAAAAAAGAAGAAGAAAAAATTAAATCTCTAAGTTGAGTAATTTTGTAATGTAATATATTATAAAATCTTGATTAAGAATTTTTTTTAAACAGTTTTTTTTTTCCTTTCTAACAATTTTTTTGAGCTATAATTTCTAAGTACCTCACCAAGTACCTAAAATGATATATAATTTCAGTTAGCAGTGTCTATTACATTACAGAAGTTAAATTCAAACAATATTTTTTATGAGAAAAATATAAGAAAAAAGAGAGTTAAATAGAAAGTATAAAAAAAGAAATGAAAGGAATTTTTCTTCGAATGACCTAATCAACCTTATGTCCTAATCACCTTATGCACACATTGCACAAAATATAAAAAGAGGAACAGGAAGTGAAGTAAAAAGAAATAAAATAAAAGAATCCATTTGGAAAAAAAATCTAGATTATTTTATGAGCAGCAAATTTATTAAAATTAACAACAATTGTTTAAATTAACAACAATTGTTTAAATATACTTCCATGGGGTGAAAAGTACTAAATTTAATACTACGATAAAGTTATTTGATTTAAATGCTTTTTCATGGAGTGAAAAGTATTACATTTAATGCTATAACAAAAAACTTAATTTAACAAGGGAAGCATTATATATTTGAAAAATGTTCAAAACATTTGAGTGACTGAATACTAGTAACACAAAGTTATATTTTAATAAAATTAATTTACAATATAAAAATATTAAAATAAACTTAATAGATTTAGAATAGTGTAATTGACTATAGAAACTTTAAGTAAATTGGTTTAGCAGGTAAATTTGGAAAAATTGATTAGTAAATAAATCAAAGGAGTGTTCTTATTATGAGAATGTTCCTCAATTAGACACACTGAAAAATCCACCTGACCTCAATCTGTATCAATCTATGTACTTAAAGTAGATTTTGAATCAATTTTATGGATATGTTATGAACATGGTATATAGAACTTTTGTTAGTTTGAGTATTTTTCAATAACCTCAAAAATAGAACAAAAACAGAAAAAGAATAATAATAAAAAATAATAGTGAATTTAAAGTACAATCTAACATCTATTTTAAACAATTAAATTTATCTGGAAAATTTCATTTTAACAATTTTTCTGGTTATTTCAACAGCTAAAGTTATTGGAAGAAAAAAAAAACTCTTCACATTTAAATGAAATTTTTTTTTAACAAGGTAACTATTTATTTTCTGGTAAAAAATCCTTCTAAAATCTGTCTACTAGTGATATTAAGGAAACATGAGAACCATATTGGTAGGCAGAAAATACGCATAAAATCTAAAATGTATACAAATTAAGTTATAAGCCCTATTATCAGTGCAAAGTCATTATGTTCCAATTCTGTGGTCAGAAAAACTTCATTATTTCCACATTTTACGTAGTACATTATTACACTTAATTACAAATGTAGTGAACTATAACTACTTTTTTTAAATGTAGTGACTACAAACTACTTTAGAAATGTAGACACTACTTTATCACTTAGCTGGAGAACTTAATTTAGACCCATATTCAAAGCCAGTTCTTTATTCTAAACCATTTATATGAATTTGTTCTTTTAGTCTTCAACTTCTTATGCCTTTCTTGACAATGAATACTTAGTTTAAGATATTTTCAAATATTTGTGATTTTATAAAATGTCCTTTTATAAAGCATTCTTGTAATTTCTTCTAAGAAATAAAGTACAACTAAAATTACAGAGAAAATATATATTCCCTTCCATTGAAATACAGTACAGAACCCGTTATCCGGAAATCAGAAAACCGGAACGAAATTCAATAAATTTTCCCGCCATTTTTTAAAAAAAATATTTTTTTCCTCATAAGATTTTAGGATTTTTCTTTCTTTTTTGAAAGATGTTTACCTTACCATCATTTCGGAAATAATTATTAGTGTATTACTTCATTGTTTTTTCTTCTTTTTAAGATTATTTCCAAAAATTATTTTTTTTTAGTTGGGTTTAAAAATAAAAATAAAACGGCTTTTTGTGGCGATTCAGAAAACCGGAAAAATCAGTTATCCGGAATAGCGATGGTCCCAATCGTTCATAGGATAATCGGTTCCCTACTGTAATATCATTATGTTTCATAAGTTGTACATTCCTATTTGAAGATGTGGATAAAGGAGATAAATTAGTTATTATATTAGATAGTAATGGCTAGTTTATATATCAATACTAATACAGGGTGCATAGCCAGTTTTTCAATCAAAAAATAAACATCTTTTAAGTACTTTTCAAGCACTCAAAAAATATTTTTAATCACCTTCCAAAAAAAAATCATAATTAGGATCTGTGCAATAATAAAAATTATTTTCTCTATTGTTTAAAGTACTTAATTTATAAACATAAATTCAATAACATTTTCAGTAACTTAACATAATCATGATGATATAACTAGTTTCTGATAAATATTGCAGAGAAATTTCTGAAAATAATGCATTTTTTGTAATTTAGAACAACAATCGATATGGTAAAGAAAAAATTTCTTTTTAAAAGATAGAAAATTAAGCACTTTTTACAAACACCAAATAAAAAAAAGCACCTTTTTTTTATTTGGTGCAAAAGTAGCTTTTAAAAAACGTTAATGAAAAATAAGCACCTTTTTAAAAACGTTATGCACCCTGTATTATGTTACCCTAATTAAAGTACCGCCAGATTNTTAACATAATCATGATGATATAACTAGTTTCTGATAAATATTGCAGAGAAATTTCTGAAAATAATGCATTTTTTGTAATTTAGAACAACAATCGATATGGTAAAGAAAAAATTTCTTTTTAAAAGATAGAAAATTAAGCACTTTTTACAAACACCAAATAAAAAAAGCACCTTTTTTTTATTTGGTGCAAAAGCAGCTTTTAAAAAACGTAAATGAGAAATAAGCACCTTTTTAAAAACGCTATGCACCCTGTAATATGTTACTCTAATTAAAGTACCGCCAGATTCTGCTTACATCCAATGATGGATCTACCCTGTGATGTATCAGATTTGAAAAAGTTAGCTTAGTTTGAATCTTGTTTCTTTTCTAAATTAACGTTAAAAATAGTGGCAAGGAATTAGTGATGTAGTTTAGGGGACAAAACCCCCTCAAAAATGAAATATTACTTGATTAATGAATTAATGTACGATAAGTAGGATGCAGCCATAAAAAGTTTTCACTATTCAATTTTTGTAATTTAAACGTTTAGAATATATATCAGTAGGAGAAAACCCATAACTTCCTCAAACATACATCAAAACTACCCTACTGTCAGAAATCGCTATTAACTACTGTTCTTTGCATAACACTACAAACTATGGAGAGACAAAAGGTAACAACATTACATTCGCAGATCGTTCTAAATAATATATCCGCATTTTAAAAAGTGCACAACTCAAACTTAAGAGTTTAAATATTTCTCGACTTACAAACCCACCAAATGAAAACTTTATGAACCTCATGGCAAAAAAATAAATAAAAACCTCAAAACATAAACAGTAAATTAGTTCATGTCAATTGCATAACTTCATTGAAATTAAAAAGGAAAGATATAGCCGCGATAAAGTGGTACTGTAATGCATATAAAACGATAGTTTACAACAACATAAACTTGATTAAACTACTATTTAAACTTGTTTCTTGGTTAAGTCAGATGCATAGAGCAGTCATGAAAATGCTAATATTTATCAAGATATTATATAACACAAACATTTTAATTTTATTAAAAAAATATAGATAACAAGAGTCAACCAGACAAATTTATACAGAACACAACCTCTTAAATCCGTTTTCCATAAAACATTTCTCTATGTTAATAAATATAATTTTCAATTACAAGCAAAATGAGGAAATAAATTTGTTGCTTAAACACAAGAAAAAATAAACATGATTAAACAATTGAATTACATTTCTGGAACAGTAAAGCTTGCTGTATGTTATTTCTATTCAACATTTCTGAAGTTCTCACAAACTTGTACAACATTAAGTCATATTTTATCAAAATTTAATCGGGAAAGCAGGAAACAATTTGCTAGCCGATTATTACTTGCCGAAAAAAGAAAAACACGTTCTGCTATTCCGATTTCGATTATTTTATTAAGTTTCGGTTTTAAATCACAAGTTTATTTGAAGGTCAAACATTAAAAATGAAAATTTTATATTCACTCATTTTAAGTATAAAAATATTATTTTATTTAAAATATCCACATTGCCGAATTTTCAAAATGGATTCCAAAGAAGAAAATCAGTTGGACTTCTATTTCTGTCTCATCAATCAACACACTTTCACTTTCATTCCAAATTTGAGCAGAAACAACAGAGTTACCTCACAAATGAAGAATGAAGTAATCATTACATAAATCGCATATTATGAGTTCAGTATCATTATGAATTAAGTGTGTAATGGCTAGTCGATCAATATGTATATTAAAGCGAAATTTACTTACTTTTTCTCATGATTACGTGAGAAGAAAATGTAGCAACAATAGGTATAGTTTTTCTCTTTTCAATGTTAGAGGGCAGGTGGTTTCTGTTTTCATATTTACTGTATTAAAAATTTTAATATTGATTATAAAGCATAATTTATTTTATACATTATCCTTTTTATTATATATTTGTTATTTTTCCTGCATTCCCCTTTTTGATAACTCAAATGACATTAACATTTTCCTATTTGACTTATAAATATATTAAATATATTTATTAAATTTATTATATCATTTGCATAGTGATGATTTTTTAATTTATTAAAGTGCTACTATTTTTCAGACAATAGAAAGTTTCAAAATTTTAAATTCATGTTTTCTCTGTAGTTATGTCAGATGTATTTGCTTGAAAGCTGTCCAAAATGTAGGAAATGTGAAAGTGTCTAACTGCCATTTTACTGGTTATGGTGTTAATACAAATAGACATTTGTTTACATTCCCTAATCCTCTTGGTAGTAGTAAGCGCAAGGAATATTCTGAAAAAAGAGTCCTAGGGTATGTTACTTACTTTTAATTAAATATATTTATTTAATATTAACATTTGTATATTATTATGAATTCTTTGTAACTTTTGAATTGTTTTACGTTTCATGTTATTGTATGCTAAAAATAAACAGCCTTTTTCTAAAAGTATGGTAGGTAAAAATATATTGGTGTTATTAATGCATTTGAACAAATATAGGTCCAGGTTTCAAAAAGTAGTTTTTTTTTCTTAAATTCTATTGTCGCAATATTTAAATTGTCACTCTTTCTGTTATTTGGGGAGGGGCCTTAATCTATTGTCATAATAAATATATTACAATACAGTTCATCCATAAATTCCATATTCGGACTCCTGTTTATCAGAAATGTCTATTTTTTAGATACTTTTTAATAAACAAAATAAACTAATCTCTTTTTCTAAAGAATAAAATGAAACATTTCCACATTTTTAAAAATTTTGTGATCTGTTTCAAAATTTTATTCTAAATAATTTTTTTTATTTCTTTTTGGTGCATATAGGATAGTTAAACATTTATATTGCTTTAATGAGACACTTTAAGAATTCTTGAATTGACAAGAACAGTTAAAAAGAAAGAAAAAAAAACTTGAGTGAGAAGAATAAATCATAGATGATAGTAAAGCTGAATGTTAATTATGTTAGAAAGAAACATCTGTAGGCCGGCTTTGTTTGTACATATTATTAACCTTTTAATCAAAAAAATCTTCTGAATTTCATTGCTTGTTTGAAAACTTTTTTTATTAATTAAAATGTAATTGAGTTTCCTTTCCACTTTGAAACTTCTTTTTTAATATTAGAGAAAGTGCAAATTATCAATTGCCTTTTTTTTGTTTCATTATTTACAAGGGAGTTTATTTTACAATTTTAAAATATTCTCTTTGTTAGCTAAATGTCATTTAACTAATAGTAAAATGGGAGATATTTCCATATCGTGATCTAACGCGCAAACTGCAATTGCAAAGAGGATATTTTTTTTTAGTTTCTTGCGGGCCGCTGCTTTGAAGTTGCCAAGACATCACAATATGATTATTCTGCCACTAATCACGATACGGAAATCTCCTCGCAAAATTTTACTGTATAAATATTGACAAGATTTAATAGTTATTTATTGTTATATTGTTAAATAACATATTTTTTGGTCTTTGTTTGTCTTTAAAACCTATTATTCAAAAAAATTTATTTTCTTAACTTGCCAAAGTCCCGACGATTCCAGATATGAGACTTTCCTCTGTATTTAGTTAATTATCAGTATTATGTTAGTATATATTAGTAAACTAGTATTAGTATATTTGTATACTTGTATTAGTATATATAATTATGGTAGTTTATTAGGTACCTAATTTCAGAATGCCTGTTAAACCTATCACCACACACCTGCAGTACTTATTACTATAGTTAAGCATCACTGGCATCAATAATGATTTGTAAACCTTCTGAAAAAAACAGCTGTTAAATACCCTTCTCTATACCTTTACAATAATTTCCCTGTAAATAACTAAAAAACTAAATGTGCATGAATGTTTAAAGTGTTATTTTCGTAAATTAGCTTTAAAGTTTATACATTGTCAAAAGGAAATGAAAATTATGCCTGAACATTATTTATTTTCTTTAAGTTTCCAATTTACAATATCTCTTATTTCTTAACACTCAAACATCAAAAGAGTCTTTCTTCAAGCACATAGGTATAAATTTTGTATGGGGGGAACGGGTGTTTAGAAATTCAAAATTGAGAAATTTAAATGAGGTTAAGTTTAAAACTGGTGCCTAAACTGATTAAATAGGGATTTTTAAATAGATTAAATATTCAAAACGGTTAGATTAAATTAGTAACGTTTAAATGTTCAAAACTGAGTAATGTAATAATAAATTAAAAACTACATTTTATTTTCAATCTGTATTAGAAAATCTATTAAATTTTGAACAAGAAACTAAGAATCGGATTTTCTTATACCATGTCTCATTATAGTCCAGTAAAGTTAGACTTTTTCTACCAAAAGATTAATACCCAAGATTTTTTTCCATAGAAAGCTTTATTTTGTTATTATAAATGATACCTGAAAACTCTCCTATTCTTATGTGTACGCTTTTCTGCTTTTTGTATGAAGATTGCTATGAAAGATATAACTTTTAGTCATTTATAATTTTTTAATCTTTTTTTTTCTGAATTGAAACTGGATTTTTAAACTAAAGACTAAGCATATGTTTTAAATGTTCCCAACGAAAGTTTAAAATCTGTTAGAGTGCTTTTTATACTAATATTTTTTGAACAAGTTGTTATTCTGTTTTTGAAAAGTTTGTTATTCTTTTTTAGATATTCCATGGAACAATTATATGAAGTAGTCTCAGAGGTGGAGCATTATAAAGATTTTTTACCTTGGTGTAACCGGTCAGTAGTAACCAAACGTAGACCTGGTCATTTAAAAGCAGATTTGGAAATTGGCTTTCCACCTCTTGTTGAACGCTATACTTCATCAGTAACACTTGCCAAACCCCATTTAGTAAAAGTTAGTTACCAATAGTTTATTAATGTATATTGTGTGAAAATTATGTATTTAATTTGGTACTTGTCTAAAATCCAACGACCATTTTAATCAAAACCAAAAAATAGAAGCCTTGTAAATAAAAAATTTTGTAAATGAACTATGCTACAAATTTGTAAAATTTTTTTTGAAATTAATATTTTATTGTAAGCCAATCAAACTGTGTAGAAGTCAGGAAACTGGTCTTGCATCAGAAAGGTTCTGGATTCGAATCCCAGACAAGGCATGGATGTTCTTTCATTCTCTGTTCTATCTGTCCTTACTGTGGGAACAACGTTGGCCCACCTAATATAGTGCCCCTAAAAAGGATGCCAACAATTCTACCATAATATGCCTGAATTGGCAAAATGTCAACCCAGGTGTGCAGTGGGAAAAAAGAAAAAAAACTTTTTGTTTTAATTTCCATTAGTTACAACTTGAAACGATTTGATTGAATTTGCAGCAACTTGTTTGGTGGATTGGATTTTTCGCAAGTGCCTTTAATTTTTTTTATGATGGATTACATTATAATATTTAGAATTGTTTTTATCGTATGTTTATATAGTAACACATTTTTATCATTTAGGCTTGTTGTACAGATGGGCGTTTATTCAATCATTTAGAAACAGTCTGGCATATCAAACCTGGCCCTCCTCAATATCCTAATTCATGCACATTATACTTTTATGTGAGTTCATCCAACATGTATATTTATTTCTATATTTTATTCGTTTATATAATTTTATTAATTCTTTTATGAGTCTAAATATTTTTCATGTGCCTTTAATTCCTTCAGTATTCTTTTAAAGCAAATGTACTGCCTTGTGTAATATTTTATAGTTTGATTTGTTTCCTTTCAGGAAACCTTTGTACAAATTTTTTTTCAAGGAGGAGGGGGGCAGTATGAACACAGGAAATTTTTGAAATCCTCCGACTTAGTTAAATACAAATACGATTAGATTTAAAATAAATAAAAAATAACAAATATAAATCTTTATCCAGCAGTTCAAGTCCAGCAATACTAATACTAGGAACCATTATAATTTTTTTTCTTCACGTTAACAAAAGTAATAATTTCTGATAGTTTCTTAAAGCATTTTTAAAGTAAAAAAAGAAAGAAAGAAAAGAAACCTAACTATATAACAAAAAGTTGACATACAGCCTTTTAGTAACTTTTAATCTTGGTTTTCCAAGAAACTATTCCAAATCCAAACTAAATATTTTGCCCTTTAATTATGAGCTTTTTGTGACCGTGTACAATATATTTGTTATATTTTAAAAGCTCGTTTAACGATTTTATTATGCATGTTAAAGTTTTTAAGCATAATTTTAGTTGTTAAATTTTTTTGTGTGGCTGGGTGGCGCAGTTGGTTTGTCGTCGGCCTTCTGAGCCCAGGTTTGCTGGTTCGATCCCCGGCCCAGACACAGAAAATCCTCAGCGGCCATGTCGTATGATTATGCGGCATGTAAAAGATCCTTGAAGTGCCTTATTGGCTCTTGGCATTTCCGGCAAAATTAAATTCCTAGTGCACTTTAGCATCCAAATAGAGTCTCGGTGCTGCCATCTAGTGTGGCAGAAACTAGACGTCCAAATTAACATGACCAACGGTATCTCACCCATTGTGGTGGTCTTGAAAGAGTGGATACCACCTCTGGAGAACGCACTAGGTCTGCTTATCGGCAAGACCGATTGTGCAGCTCATTGGAAATAAAAAATTTTTTTTTACTCTAGCTATTCTTCAATTGATATTTTCTTAATTACAAAGTCATTTTTGTTTGCGATCTATTCATTAGTTTAGATTGTCTAACTTCAATTTTTTTTGCAACACAGCTAATGAATCTTTATATAATGTTTACACATTGATCCATTTTGTAAGAACATCAGAGCTAAGTGTTATGAAAATTGAGTTTCTAGTTTTTTAAATTCTATCAACTTTTCTAACTGGAATCTTGTTATTCCTTTTCTTTAATAATGTTTTGAAATTATATGCATGCGTTTAAACAAACTTATTTGTAGAAGAAATTTCATAAGATTGATGCTCTTTTATTATGAGAAACATATTTTTTTCACCTTTTGAAAACTTTTACAAATTATTAAGTTTTACTAAAGTTTCAAGCACCTAAATTGATAAGAAAATTGTTGCAAATTTTTAGAAAAATGCTGAAAATTATGTAAATGAAAAATAATATTCGAAGAAAACTTATAAAGCAACAATTAAATTTAGTAAGAGAATCGAATCCGTGACCTTATTAATTATAATATTTTGTTACTATTAAGTAATTTTTTTACACCTGTTGATTTATAAATACAACAGAACAGATAACTAATTGGGACTAATGCCTGTCTAGTATACCAATCCTGATCAATAATCCCTGACAATTTATATTGATGCCATAATTACAGGGGTCTGTCCAGGCCGAATTTACTACCGTTTAACGGTACTTTCACAAATTCAACTTTAGGAAAAATGGTAGCTTCACAAATTCAATTTTAGGAAAAACGGTAGTTTCACAAAATACTTTTTCTTAAAATTTTATTTTTGTATCCCTTAAGAAATGATAAATCCATATTTTTGTGTTGATTTTTTAATATAATTTTTAATTTTTCACAAATTATGTCTAAATTTTCACAAAGTCTGTACCTCTCAGAAAAACCTAGACAGACCCCTGAATTAAGATACAAAACTTTATAATCTTTCTATTATATTATACATCACTGCATATCAATACAGTAATTTTGATTCAATAATTTTGACAATTGTTTTTTATTCAAATTGGATGATGCATATTTATATCTTTAAATAAAATGTTCATTTCTGATACTTGTCATCCAAATTGAATCCTGCTATATTGTCTATTACGTTACTGTTACATGCCTTATACTGGTAATAAATAAATAAAAAATCGTGTGTAGAGGCTTCATGTTACTTTATCTAAATTTGTGTCGACATGATTTACAAATTTCATGTTTGAATGATTGCAATTTCAATATTGTTTTGCAGTTCAAATCTATAATATTTTCCCAATGAATCTATATCATATTTTTAAATTAGGTATTTGAGCAATTGTCGCTTATATATATCACTTTTTATAGAATGTCTTAATTAAATTAAATTTTGTTAGAGTACCTGTATAACTCAAAACCTCTTTATCTCAATTTTTTTGCCTTTCCTGTGAGATTCGATATAAACAGGTCTGACTGTATAAATATTATTGAGACAATTTTTTTAAAATATTGTAATTTATCTTAAAGTTAGATTACATATTTACTTAAAATGTTTCGCTTTTGTTTTGCATTGCTAAATTAGTTATTGCATAATTGTTTTCTTTCCTTTTTAGGTTTCCTTTGAGTTCCGCTCTTTACTACATTCTCAGCTGTCACATGTTTTTTTCAATGAGGTTGTTCGAAAAATGGTCAATGCATTTCTTGCGCGAGCTGAACAATTACACGGAAAACCTGCTAAAATTAAATTGAAACCCAGCCCTCTATGAAGTATATCTTAGCTTCAAAATTTAAATTATGAATATTTATTTATCTTTTTAGTGAAATGTTAGAAATATTTTGACTTTTGAGTATTTGGTTATTTATTGAAATAAAATATTCAAACATGACTTGCTATTTTTATTTACTTATTTTTAAAATCTGTTCATTAGCTAAAAAAGTTATTCCACTGCAAGAATATACAATCAATATTTCAACCACCGATTCAACCTGTTAATGCTGTAAGAATATTCTACTGTAATAATTAGTTACTGTGAAAGAATTTAACTGTTATGAATGAATAAATGTAAGTTACATATTAATAATCAGTGCAAACTCTCTCTTGTATGAAAAAGAGTTGAAGGAAACAGCTATTACTAAATAACAAAGGTGGTATAAGAACTTTGTGATAGTACGTTTAAATACTTCAATAATAATCGTATGTGTAATGAACTTTGTGTATTGGCATAGATATTAATTGCTTAAATTCTGTTTAAGTAGGGGGTGGTCAAAAATGTTTTTGGATTTTTGATAAAAATCAATCAATGAAAACTAAAATATGGTAAATGTTTAGCAATAAAGGAAACGAAGGAAATAAAAATATGACCACCGAAGCTGACGTCTTCAGGGGGTACCAGCCCCGGTAGCCATAAAACAAAACCTTTTCTATTGAAGGGGAGGCAAATGCCTAAAGTAACACCCTCAGTACACCGAAGATTTTGTATAGAAGTCCAGGAAAAAACATGAAATTTTATGTTTTTCATGTTTTTTCCTGGACTTCTATACAAAACCTTCGGTGTACTGAGGGTGTTACTTTAGGTATTTGCCTCCCCCTCAATAGAAAAGGTTTTGTTTTATGGCTACCGGGGCTGGTACCCCCTGAAGACGCCAGCTTCGTTGGGTACCACTTCTGACTCATAGATATATAATTATAAAATGAACAATTCCTTACTTTAGTTTGTAAAAAATATTATTTTGTAAAGTGTCCATTGTAATTTTGAAGAAAATACTTTTTTTGTAACACAAGTATGATGTTGAGCAAAAGTTTAATTATAAGGTTTACTTTAGTTTTTCCTGTGCTTATTTAAATTATTAATTGTTAGAATAGGGTATATACATAATGCATGAAAATCTGTTTTGTAGCTGTTAAGCAACTGGAGCAACAATCACTTCGCTGAAAATTTTTTGTAGCTGTTAAGCAACAGCCACTTCTATGGAAATGTTTCATACTTCATTTAAAAAATTGAGAAAATAATTAGAGATAATTTTATAAAACTTAGCTCTAAATGTATTTTGTATTCAGAAACGTTATGTTTAAAACATAAGTATTTTTATAACTTGTGTTAAAAATTTCTTAAAAACAATTACATTAGCATTTTCTTAAAAATTAGTTTTTTTGATTCATGATTTAATTCATGAATTATTTCTTTCTTTAGTAACCATTTATACCTATAAAAGAAGTCTTTGATATTGTACTCTTTGTGCTGCATTTTCCAGAAAGTATTACAGGTAAGCTCTTGTGCTGAATTACATTGTTAAATGTAAAATTTTATTTTTTTTCAAAGAAAGCTTCAATTTTCCTTTGCGGTGGAAATCCTTATTGGTTAAGCAGGAATGGTTTTAGTTTTGGTACAGATTAATTAATATTACTAGTATTTCAACTCTTTGTAATCTCTTTAAGTAATCAGTTTTGTTTTTAAAATTATTTTAACAAATTTGTAACCTAAATTTAAACATATTTTCTTAAAACGCTTATTTACTCTAAATGATTGTAAAATGTAAGTTTGTGTATGCATTCTCTTATTCTCAACCCCCAGTAGTTTACTTAAAATTTTTAGTCAAAATTGCCAAAATATTCACTTTTTCTAAAATTGTATTACTATTCTTTTGCAAAATGAGGTATAGCTAAGATTTATTGAAGTCATAAAAAAATAAAGAAAGAAAATTACTTATTTTTATATGTTATAATGCTAACTCCTATGCAATGTAAAAATTACATATTTAAGTGAATTTTGATTGTGTCAATAATTACAATAAAGTAATTAATATCACAGTATTAAATAATTTAATATCGCAGTTCTACTTCTATTTATTTTTTATACATTACATTACTTATTATTTTGAGGCTTTCCATTTCTAAATTATTTTAAATAGCATTATTCAAAAATTAACAAATCCCCCTAATTTCTTTTTAAATATTTTTCTTTGTGACCTATGTTAAACAAAAATTTTATTTGCCACTTTGAATCTTTTTAACTAAGATATGTGTACTATTTATAAATAAACCATTTTATAAGTTATATATAATATAAATATTATAAATTAATTATTCAAATAAGTATCGTTAAATGGTAGTAAAACTGTGTATCTAAAATAATTACTCCCTCATATTACAGTGTGTGTTAGACCCTTACCTACCTAAAAATTTTATTCGAAAGCCATATGTCTCGTATTTTTGCTTTTTAATGTGTTATTTTTAAGGTTTTGAGGTCTCTCAATCAAGCACCTTTTCTTCAGTTTTCCTCATTTCTGTAGACCATGGCATTGGTCATTAAAGATCTATTTTGTGCTTCTGTTGTCATACATACATTCTATGTCTCAAACATAATATATTTTTCTTTAAACATCTTTTGGATTTAATGGTTAAATCTCCATTGATCGCCCTCTTTGATTGGATCAAAAATGTTACTCGGGATTTTCCTCTCCCAGGTGATATACTTAACATCTTTTCATGTTTTTGGGTCAAGGTCCAAGTCTCTGACTCATAGATATATAATCGTAAATCTATTCACAGTATCCTAAATAAATATTTAAAAAAGAATTGTTTTATGAAATAAACTTTTTTTTGTTAAAATTTCTATGGTTGTTTAAATTTAAAGTATCATCAAAAGTTTTATTAACTTTTAATATAATATATATTTTTTAATTTTGAGCAATATTATTTAAATTTAATCATTTATGTAAATATATGACTGTACATTTGAACTTATTTGTTAGAAAAGAACGTTGTTGCTTTGTTCAGTGTACTACACACATAGTGTGATGCATAGTATCATGCTCATTACTTGAGTTTTTTTTTTTAACCATTTTTCTGCAAACTTGATGTATTTTGATGTGGATGATGATTAATTATTTTTTCCTTAATATTGTCAGATTCTGCCCTTTAAAAACATTTGGTAAGGGATACACTCACAGACACATGTTCCACAGGTAAAAAATGGGGTGTAGAAACTATTCAGTGATTTTCTTATCAATTACTATCTGCAATTTCTTATTAATAGTCGCCATTATAGCTCCATATTTTGTAAAATAACTTAAGAAAGTCGCATCATCATTTCTCTTTATTGCTTGTCTTCATACATTTTAGAACAGATTGAACTATAGAGCTATTTTAAAATTATTTTGCAGGGAACAAAATTTTTATGAGCAGCCTGATGCTTTTTTTCCCTGCTATTTTCAATAAAACATTTAAGAACCTTTGCACAAATTTTTTTTAGACTGGGGCAAAATGAGTGAGGTAAAAATGTAAGGTTTATTAATATTTATTGAGAGTAGCATGTGTGTACTCTGTGAAGTGTAAAATTTCAAAGAAATTACATGTCTCTGTAATCACTGAATTCATGACCATAAACATGACTTGAAAAATGAAATGGTTACAATCTAGCAGAATTAGAAGTAAAAAAATATTCAAATATATTGGTATTGCTTTTAAAGCTGAAAAAAAAAGATTTTTCCCCATAATTTTTTTAATAAACATACTTTCTTTTATATACAGTACAGAACCCGTTATCCGGAAATCAGAAAACCGGAAAACCAAAAAAACCGGAACGAAATTCGATAGATTTTTTTTCCTCTCAAGATTTTAGAATTTTTCGTTCTTTTTTGAAAGATGTTTACCTTACCATCATTTTGGAAATAATCATTAGTATATTACTCCATCGTTTTTTCTTCTTTTTAAGATTATTTCTAAAAAAAAAATTTTTTTTTAGTTGGGTTTAACAATAAAAAAACGGCTTTTTGTAGCGTTTCAGAAAACCGGAAAAATCAGTTATCCGGAATAGCGATGGTCCCGATCGTTCCGGATAATCGGTTCCCTACTGTATTTCATATAAATATTAAAAATTGATCAGGGTTCAAGTCATAAACTTATAAGGCCAGTTTTGGCCCGCGGACCACAAGTTGCGCAATTCGATTTAGAAGTATGTATAAAAGTTTTTTGTTGAAGTCAAGTTATGCTTGTAACAACAGAGTTTTATACTACTTGATTAAAAACTTCATTCACTTAAAAAATATACAAATTACTGAAAGTAACAGTCGACAGCTTTCATGCACTCTATAATAGACACCCATTTTCAAGATTTGCTAGGCATGAATGAAAAGCAAATGTGATTTTAAAAATTTCTTTGGATTTCAAATGGATTCGAATTCTATTGGATTGCAAATGGCATTGAATTCTAGTGGATATGGATTTTAAATCACATTTGTTACTTCTCATTCATGCCTGACAAGTCTTGAAAATGGGCACCTATTTTTGGCACTTGAAACATGTCGAATGTTGTTTCCAAAATTCTATATACTATTTTTGAAGCGAATGAAGTTTTTTAATTAATCAAGTAATATTCTACTGCTTCAGTTTCTTGGGGTTATTTATTTAAAGGGTTTTATATTGACAGGGGTGATTGTGAGCCCAAGTCGAAATTCCGGAAAATTTCTTGAGTTTCAAAAAAAAAAAAAAGACAGTTTAAATTGAAAAAAATTTAAACAACGTTTTTTTTTCTTCCTTTTTCTCAATATTTCTTAGTTTACTTAAAATATATTTAAAATTTTACACATACCTATGATGACCAGGAGAAGTAATTAAAATTTACTAATATGTCTTTCTTTCTTGAGTTTATGATAATAACAACTATTTACTGATAAAAAATGAATATTAATCATGAATATAAGCTTATAAAGTATCTCTGGCTCTCCCTTACAAACAAGTAAAATAAACTGTGTTTTTAAGTTCCACCTTTGAAAATTTGATTTCCGGAAACTTCTGTGATCAATGATTTTTTGACACATCTGGACCTTCGATCTCCGGAAACTTCCGGATCAGTGTTAGCAAAAATTCCGGAAATCCAGAGCACAATCAGCCCTGTATTGACTCCTTAATATAAAATTTTAGAGATTATCGAGTGAACGTAATATGAACGAGTTACAAATGTCTTTCGTTCTGATGCAGATTATAAAAATATTCCATGTATATATCTTTTTGACTTACAAAATTTTCTTATTTAGTTTATTTGCACAAATTCATAATTAATTTCATTTCACTACAAACACTAAACCCATTGCTTAAACAGAACTTTCATAACAAATTGGTTACATTCGGAAACTTTGAGAAACGCTGTGAACTGGATCAGTAAAAAATATTTTGTTCCTTTAATATTTTTATTAATATTTAAGGCAGAGTTCAAAAGGCAAGTTAAAGGCTTTGTGTGAAAAATTTTATTTTCAGCCATATTTATTCTAAAAAATTTATTTGGAAATAAAAAAAAAAACCTTTCCCAATACATTATTTTGTAATTATAGTAAGAAATAAAAAAGAAGTATTTGAATCTTTTCAAAAATAAAATAATTACCCTTTAAAAAATAATTTGTTAAAGTATATATTTATATATATTCCCAATAGAAATTTTTATACCAATCTAACTTGCTTGTGATTAAAAATAGGTACCAAAAATTTTAAATCTTCATTTCGCAACCTGGATTTGCTCTTAAGTGTTGGTAAAGAAAAAAAAAATTGTAATTTTAATTGGGGTAATTTTTGCTTACATTTTAGGAGGTTGAAAACTGTTTTTCCATCAAATCCTAAATATTTTATTTCCTTATCCTCGATTGCATTTCAGTTTTTCTTCCTCCAATAGCATAGATATCAAAACAAATTTTTACTTATCATAAAAAACTATTAATACAAATTTTCTTATCTACCTGGTGCATGTATTTTTTGTTAAAACAATCAATAAAATTTTTCTACATATGAATTAATTTATTTACTTCCCTACTTTCTTTTTTAGAAACTTTAAGCTATGGTAACATATTTAAAGATAAGACTTTCACAAATTAGACATCGCAAATTACAAAAGCTAGCTGTAAAAAAAAAAGAGATTTAAGTGCAAGAAATATACTTTTACATTTTTGAGTCTGTCACTTAAACATGGGTGTTTAGAAAGTGTGTGACTAAATATTGTTCATTATTATAAGTGCTTTCATGTATTGCTTCTACATACATAGTGATACAAGGTTAAGGAAGGGTGGGATAAGCCTGGTTACCTTGATTGCATAAAAATTAATTGTTTTTTAGAAGACAGGCTCTGAATACTAGTCAAAAAGAACAACCTACCATGTTGGCTAATTGTTGATGAATTCATAGCATTCTGTGTAGATTTATTATGTCAACTCTGTTTTTTTTTTAAACTATATTTATTTATTGGTGATTACAGTTATAAAAATTTATAGCTTAGCTTATTATATACTTATTAACAATAACCTCTGCTATCGGGGTAAGACCAGGTACTATTCATACCAATATGTGTCTATGCTGGGTCCACAAAGCTGCAGTGAAGTGAAGATAACTACATAACATGTAAATTACATGTATATAATTCTTAAATTGTCATATAAAATGAAAGGATTATTTTTTCACTGAAATTCAATATCTCTATGGAATTAACACGAGCATACAGTTTTACCCCACTAGTGGGGGAAGATAGCTTGATTTGACTTTTTCTAATCAGAGAAAATCTCGATTAAATCTAACAGCTTCTAGGTTCAGTTTAGTTTCAACAGGCCTTCAAATCTTAACTACCTAATTTTTCCTAGAAACAAAGTCGAATACGCACTCTCTGGTAGGATGAGTTAGTAGCAAAATACATCTGCAACCTGTAAATGGATACTCAATTATATGTTCGTAATAGATTTTTAAGTAAATTACTTGCAAGTAATAAAATAAGCTCTTACAATTCAAAAATAACAAACAAATGTTATTTTTAACTAACATTATTTATTACAAACAATACTTCTGGAAATAAAATAAAGTAGGATTGACTTAGATTTATCCAAAAACTTTATATTAATCATAGCAGCTTCTTTAAAATAAAAAATACAAGATTTTTAATGAAAGTAATTGTTTATAAATTTTTTTTAAGGGTTTGAAAAATTAAGAAAAAAAAAACAACCTCATATTTATTTTATAGTTAAAATCAAACCACAAAACAAAAATCTTTACATAACTTTTTTTTAAAACTTACTTCGAGTAAAAATGAAGTTATTCAGATAATGCTTTACAGTGAACTCAACAGAGTTTTGTGTATGCTTTACATGCAAACATGTTAAGGAGGTTACTTGTTAATTTTCAAACTTTCTCAGGAGTTGAGAAACAAATGAACTTGTGCGTTTAAATTTGTGTGTTAGCATAGATCTTACATGTTGTATGTAATTAACCATGCTTTAGGTAATTATTTATAATATATAATTTTAAAATAAAAGAAAACGTACTAAAACTACTGTTTTCAGATTTTGTTTATTTTGTACAATAATATTAACAGCAAGTGAATCAATGAATTATTTAAAGATAACTTTAACTAAAAATAAATAATAAATTAAGATAATTAAAAAAAATAGAAACAAATATTTAAATAAAGAAAATGAAACAATGAATAATCTATACATTCAATATGGACTCTGGTAATTTTATAATATTCATTTTTTACTATATTTTTAAAAATAATTTTATTTCCCAGTGTATTATAAAAATGTATTTACCCTTATTCCATATATATATATATATTAACAAAAGGACTGCCTTGTGGTCGCTCAAATAAATGTAACTTTTTTTAATTTTCACATTTATTCAACAAACTTTCTTGTGGTCGCTCAAAAAAATATAGCTTACTTTTTTAATTCTCATAATTCTATAAACTTTATGGCTATTTATTTTCTGAACAATCTAAATTTTAAGAATATTAATTGGTCAAAAATCAAAACTTGACATGAGTAGAATTCTTTTAAGAAACATAAATCAGAATGTTTACTCATTTTAAGGTTTCTAATTTGATTTTGGGGATTTTTAAAACAAATCTCAGAACTTTTTTCTTAAGAAAAAAAAAACTTATTTTTTCAAAAATGTTATTTTATTTTAAAAAGATCTATTACTAGTGTTGATATTAGAATTGAAATTTTTGTTAGTGTATTATAAGATTTAAAAAAAAAAAAACATTTAATTTTAGATATTGAGCATCAAATTAATTTATATATTTTTTTGAATTAAAAAAAAACTTTAAACTAAAACTAGCTCATGACAAAAAAGAAAAACATTTTTGATTAATGAGGAAATTGAAGTACAGGTAAAAAGATGTTGTTAAAAGACTTTTATTTTTTCTTTAATATTTTGCTTGTTCAAAACTAGCAACAAATGGACCACAATCAATGAGTATGTTGTCAATAATTTAACAGACATTCTTTATAGATCTTTACAAAAACTGTAAAAACTTTGAAAACATAAAACAATGCAGTATTTTTATGTACAAAAATATGGACTTGTGTCACTGAAGGTCTCTTTGGTGAAAGGGACATCTGAAAAATACTACATTTATGCACATAGATTAGCAGATCAAATTTTCACCTACTAGTGACGACTTATGGTCTAATTAAGCAAGAATTAAAATGCTAAATAACATTCATATTTTCAATAACAATTGTAAATTAAAAACCAAACTTAAGTATTTGACACTTTTAATGTTAATTTCATTAAGTCTACTGAAAATTACAAAATTTTGAAAAATCTTTATACTTGCACAGAAATACACAAAAATCTAACAAGTTAGCGAGGAAAAAAATAAATAAATGAACTTGACTTGATATTATCTTTTAAAATGTTTGTGCAAGCAAGTTTTAAAGAGATCCAGCGTTACAAATCGCAGTGTTGAAAAATAAGTGATAATATTTGATGTCATATTCACAATGATAACAGATTAGTAAAAAAGAAATAAAATTTTTAAAAACTGGAGCTTAACTAGCCAGCAGACTGTACATGTTCATAAAAACATATCATTACTTAAAATGCTTTTATATTCTGTAAATCTTTAAACAATCTTTCAATAAAAAATTATATTGATGTATATTTTATAAATAATTCCCACACCTTTTACCACATATTCTAGTCAAAAGCACTGTTAAAATATATTGCAAAGTGTTTGTGGGTATAGTTCCAATAGAATGGTTCAAAAGTGCAAAGTTAGCCATGGACATGGCTTGCAACTGGAAGTTTCTATGTAACAATATACAGTAGTTTATGTCATGAAAACATCACTGTATGTAGCACTGACTGTTAGTTTTAAAACTGAAGTTAGATATTATGAGAAAAACTGTCATCACGATGAATCACCATAATCTGGATCACTACCTGAATCTTCCGAACCAGAGTCCAACACACGCTTTCTTTTCTTTTTGTGTTTCTTTTTCACCTTCTCCTTTAATGCTTTGGGTGACTTCCGAGAAGGAGGTCGACCCCGCATGGGAGATTTATTTGCTTTTATCACAATCTTTGTTTTTTCTATGGGTGGCTGTAGTGGTTTATCACCATCAGCCGATTCACTAGTAGCAGTCTTTTCTGCTGGGGCTGTAATTACGGTGTATGTTACATTAGATGCAGGTTTATTCGGATTATCTTCATCCTCTTCATCATCAGCAGGATCTATTGTCAGCATCAGTTGTTTAAAGTTCAGATACTGTTGAACAAGCTGCTCCTTGTCATCTGCATTTTCATCCAATTCCTGAGATTGAATGAAATCTAACACTTTTTCAGGGTTGAAACGGACATGTCCTTTACGATTGAGGGGTCTCTCGTAAACTTTTGCAGCCTCATTGGGGGAATATTGCTGTATTTTATTATCAGTGAAACCGTACATTTCTTTAAGTGTTTGCTTAAGATACAGTAGGAGTACACAACCTTGTGAAGCAACAATACATTCTTTTAAAACTGAAGTATCATCAGGAAGACGTTGTAATATTGAGTCATAATCATCATCATCTTCGTCATAGTCATCAGCATTATTTTCAGTTTGATCTGTTGAATCAGGTGTTTTACTACATAAGGATTCCCGAAAAGTTTGTAATAAATTAGAGCCAGAGACACTTAGCATTATGTCCAACTGATGCATGATGAAAAGAGGCTCATCTTGGGCCATATAGGGAAAATAAGCAATATTGTCAGCTACATACAATAGTTCAGTTAATGGTGTTTTAACATTTTCATCAAATAATTTCAACAGGGAAAAAAGAAAGGCTCTTCGACTTTGCCGAGTTGACCTCATTACAGAGTAAAGAAAGCCATTTCTGCTCACAGGACATTCTGGGCAACGAAAACCCCGAAGGGTATGTTCTAGGTGTTGAATACAAAGCTGCATTTTGTAAGACATTCTAACTCCCACTGTGGCCTTCATCTGAATAAATCCAGGATATTTCTTCTCAATTTCTTGGAGTAATTGGTCTGCTTTAGTTCTCAAGACTGGATCATCATCAGAACCCAAACATACCAAATAAGGTACAATCTGCACAGGATGTACCAATCCCTGGCCTAGAATGAGTTGGATAACTTGTAAGGATGCTTTACGAACTGTAATATCAGGATAAAGAACACATTCAAGAATTTGCTTCAAGTATATTTGAATAACAGTACTCGCCATACCAGATGTAACATCCCCCATTTCTTTTAAATCCTCACTTTTTGACATCTTACTCCATTCTGCATCTTTCTGAATCATTTGCAACTCTTCTTCGATTAAATAATTTGTAATATTTTTTAACACCTGGCACTTCAATAGTGATGATGGCATAGGGGAAGTGAGTAAGTAATGATAAAGGGTTTTCACATCAGGACCAAGCATAAATTCATAATGTCGAATCATAATAAAACCTAGTCCAGTTAATGCTTTTAGGCGAACTACTTCATCCTCATGTTGATTGAAGTAAATAATACCTTCAAACACCTTTTGCTTTAAAGATACCTGTTCTTTTTGTTCTGATGCAGCATCTATTGCATCAAAATCAAAATGTCTGCAAAATAACCCAACAGTGAAAAGAGAACGTAGCAATTTAGGGCGCATCGATTTTAAATTTTCATTATCAGGGTTCTTCTCATATTCTCTTTTACATACTAATAGGACAACAAAAAACTTCTGAAAACAGTCTCTAACAAGTTGATAATTATGAGTAATTTTATTTACAACAGCACTGAGGCAACTGACGCAACTAGGAAGCAATCCCATATGCTGCCGCAAGATTAATTTAATCATATCTTCTTCAATCTGGGCTAAAAATGATTCACTCGGATGTTCTATTAAAGGTACAACCAATTCCAATGTCTGGGCAACATTTCTCAAAAGAAGAAAATCTGATTGTGTATTGCATTTCATGCTCAAATAAGGTTGTATAGTAGTTGCATGAGGTACAACAAAAGGAGGATGTATTTTGCTAAAAAGATGTAAAGTAGCAAGGCATGCAACTAAATGTGTGCTGGCACCAGTTTCCGGCGTTGATTCTTCTATCTGAAGAAGATTTTCAACTAGGCAATCAACTATTTGCCTACATGCCTTCACAACTGACTTGTAATTAGCATCTTCTTTGTTTTTTAATATGTTGGTTAAAAGTTGTTCAAACCACTCTAGACCAGAATCTCTACATGCCTCAACAACGTGAGCTATATTTTTCACTTTTTGAAGTATTCTTTCTGGCTTTTTATCAGAAATTGGAGTGAACCACATGCTCTGAAAAACTTCTCCCACTAATTTTTTAATACCGTCTTCATCATTAACACGACGTATAATTTTTACACAAATTTCAGGGGTTTTGGAAAAGTCTGGCTGTTCTACGCAAATATCTTTTAAAATTTTGATTACTCTTTTTCTAACACTAACTCCAGTGTCTAATATTCTTTCAGTAAGCATTTCATAATATTGATTAATTAGCTCAGGACGGATTAATATAAATTTACCCAATAAATCAACAGCTGCTTCTCGAACACTTGTTGATTGATCTAATAATCTCCCATGTACCCCTTTCTGCATATCCGACCTTGAAAGAATACTTGGATCTGCTTCTACAACAAGTGTTAAGCACTTCATGGCTTTGGTACGCACAGCTACGGCAGTCTCCCCTAAAACCCTCAAAATCTGTGAGAGATAAAGATCAAAACTTTTTGAGAAGTATCTGGAAGATGCTAAATATTGAGATATGAGTTCAGCTGTTTTGTAATCAATGTGTTCTTCTTCTTTTATGTTAACTTTGGAAGATTCATGTTTTTTAATTACAGTTAATAAAAATCTTTTTCTTTCTTCAGCTAAAGCTAATACTTTAGCATCGATTTCATCAGTTTCTAGCTTAGGTTCTTCTTTTTCTTTCACCTCCTCCTCCTCTTCTTCTTCTTCATAAGCAATCTGAGAGGATCTTCTACGAGATGTTCGAGATTTAGATTTATTTTTTGAACTGGGAGTATTAGGAGTTTCTGTTTTTTCTGGTTCTTCTTTTGGAAAATTTAATGATTTATCAGAACGTTTAATCTCAGCTGCTGCATCTCTATACCACTGAGCTATGTAAAATGTTCTAGAAAATTGTAGGGTTGGATCGCTTTCGGTATTATAATCGAGATATTGAAGTAGGGCTTTTTGAAGTATTTGAGTTTCATCACATTTTACAGGTTTTTTCTTGTTTTTCTTCTTGTGTTTTGTGGGGCTGGGCTCAGACTCTTCAATGCTAGCAGTAATACGTTGAATGACATCATTTATCATATCTTTACGATCCTGGCTATGTACTGCATCTTTACGAAGACGGGCTGCAACAACTCCTAAGTAGTCGAGGGATGCGACTCGGAGAGTCATTTCCATGGATTTATTACTGAAGTTTGTTACTAATATTTTTCCCAAGACAGAAAGCAAAAGTTCAGATGCTGGCCATTCTGGTTTGTTTACAGTGCTAAGTAAATCTTGAACAAAGTTTTCAAATAAAGGTCTATAATCCATTTCTTCATTTTTAGTGCCACATTTTTTCAAAAACACAGATACAAAATTTACAGCAGTTGTTATTGATGCTTCATAAGATGTAGTGATTAAAACATCTTTATCAACATATATCTTCTCTTTGGGCTCACTTTTAACAACATTTTCTGCTGATTCTTCATTTCGTTCAGGTTCTGGTAGCTTAACAACACTATGAATCAACTGCAACACCAGAGCTGTTAACATCTGAATGTTTTCTTCAGAATTCAGTCGATAATTCCTGAGACTTCTTTTACTTGTCGGTAATCTAGCTATTGAAGCTAATATGTCTTCTAAAATGAGCTGCCTGTGCTTTTCATATCGTGAAAACACTGTGGTAACTAACCGAAGAGAATTCAACTGTAACTCACTAACCCCTTCCACAAAAAATGGACTAACACCCATAGTGGATACTTGCAAAATTATAGTATCAGTCAGTGTTTGCAGCTCTAGGAGCTCAGTAAGAAGCCTTACTGCTTCATGTAGCTTGTTATACAGCTGTATTGTGGATTTTTCTTTGACTTTGTTTCCATGATGACGCTTTTGTTTGATACTACCTGCATAACCATCTTTTGATTTCGGATCCAATCGATAGGCCGGGTCAAACACAGGGTAAACAGTATTTTGAAGTTGATATTTCAGAAACAGAACTATTCTTTCAATGATATCTTCTAAAAAAACTTTTTCTGGCATCTTAGGGGAGGTCATAATATACAGAGCAGTTAGAGAGGCATCAGCACTACGCATGACTCTTTCCATTGTTAACTCAACAAATAAATGAGCTTCTTCTTCATCTTGTTCTTCCATAGTTTGCATAGGCAATAATTTTGCACCATCAACAACATTGCGTTCCAATATTGTTAGCAATCGTACCAGTCTCTCGGGGGGAAACTGATTCATTGCAGCTAGGCGTTTCAATTTTGCAGCTTCATTTGTAAGGTCTTGTAGCTGATTCAATGGAATCAATACTTCTGCTGCACACTCAGCATCTTCATCAATTACAGCAGAAAAATCGACATCTTCCATTGAATCAAAAATAACATCAACAGTTCGAGAAAAATGTTGATAAGTATTAGAATCCATTAATTCTTCAATAGAGAGAGGGTCAGTATTTAAATCTCTTTTAGGCTTTTTATTTTTTAATTTCTTAACTTTTGGTGTTGAGGGAACTGAAGGTGGTGGAGTAGCTTCTTTGAAAGAAACATCGCTGTCTTGATCATTATCTTCACCAGGAGATTCAGCATATACAGTTTGTTTATTTTTCATTCTTCTTTTCTTAACTCTTTCAGTAAGTGAAGATGGGTTAAAAACTTCTTCATCTGATGATTCAATTCTTCTTTTTGAGGATTTTGGTTTTGATTCAAGTTTTTCACGTTTATTAGGGGAACGTGTATGAGTAGATTCAGTCCTTCGAGGAGAAGTTTTGTTTTTTAGCAATGAATTTGGAGTAGCTGGAACTGATCGCTTATCGTTAGTTTTGGGGGTCTTGGTTGGTGAAGCTGATGAGTTAGATTCTGGTGCTAAGTTAGATTTTTTAATGAATTGTTTTACACTTTTCTGGGCAAGAAGCTGTTCCTCTGTACTTAATTTTGATAAGACAACTACAGGCTTTAATAGAGATTTGTGAATATTTTCAGCATGCTCAGACAAGCAATTTTCAATGTTTGTTTTCCCTTTAGAATCTGTTTTTTGAAGAGGTTTTTCACTCGAATGATCAGATTTTGATGTAGAATGTGGCTGAACGATAGATGCTGTCGGAGGTAGAGTCACATTTTCATTTTCTTTTACGTAATTTTGGGAAGTTTCATTGAGAGAAGCATTTAAAGTAGATTGCCACTGATTTCCAGTAGACTGCTCTACACAAGGAGTTTGCAGTTGTGGCGTCGCAGGTCCAATAATTTCATTTGATGAATTTATTTGTGGTATTGCAAATGATGACGACGAAGATGGAGATGAAAAAGGCACATCATTGGGGTTATTAATGGATGATATAAGTGGCATACAATTAGATGTCATGCCACCTATTGTAGGTGTATTAATAATATGGTTTTTTGTCCTGTCACTTAGTTCAGAGTTTATGATAGGAGAACTAACAGAATCAATACAGTTTCCATTACTAAATGGATGCACAATGGGGGATGGTGGAGGTACATTGACAATGTGTGGGTTGACAAGAGACGCATTAAATATTTGAGGGCTTCCTTGCTGGCTTGCAGGAGAAGAATTGCCTGTGCCTTGGGGAACAGCATTATGAGGATGAGAGGCAGGTTGCTGACCAGACAAACTAACACCATGAGCATATGGAGAATGTACTGCTGATGAATTTGGAATAAAGTTAAGTGTTTTGTTTGGGGCTATGTTAGCATTCTGAGATGCTGTTGGGTGCTCAAGAGGAAAGTAGTTTTGATTACTTCCCTGAGCTGAAGAAATTTGGGAAGGTGAAACTGCACTGGCATTGAAATTTTGTTGAAGAGGGTGCACAGAAATATTGGAAGGGCATTGTCTTTGGGGTAACCATTGTTCTGGTGAGACCTGATGGTCCCCACTTCCACTTTGTGGTCCATGTACCAAACCTTTAAAAAGGCCGGGATTAGTACCGAGAAGGTATTGCACAAGTTGGGATATTTGTCCATTGTAAGATTCACCTCCATAATAACCATCTTTCACTTCAATATGGTCTGTCGGAGAACATATGAGGGCTTCTATGAGAGGTGGGATAAGTATAGATTCCTGTGTATTAAGAAACTTTTTTGCTTCTTCAGAGTCTCTTAAATGTGACAAAAGGCTTTGATGCTTGGTTATACCTGGCAAAGGGCTAGGAAGAGGCAATTCCAAAAGTAGATCAGTTAAACTTTGTATATCAGCTAACGTAGTGATTGGTACACTAGGTCCTTTTCCATTCATCATGGTTCATACACAATTTAATCAATGTCTATGTTATGATCATTTTGAAACAAAGGACAACTGCACATTAAGCAAGTCACAGCAACTAGAAAAAAAAGAAAATGTTTGTCATTAGATAGAAACACAAAAATCTGTTCTACATTTATCAATTATTTGTAATTAAGTTATAAACAGCGCTTAAGAATTTCACCCTACACATGTAACAGATTTACTTATTACTCACCGGCATTCAAATTTTAATCTTTAGGTACATATTTTTTTAAAAAAAATAATGCTGTATAATTTAGAATATTTTTAAAAGAACAACAACCTTATTTTCAGGTAAATAACGTCAAGTATGACCAGTAATACAACATTGAAAATTATCATAGAAATCGAAAAAGGAAATGCTTTTTAATAACAAATTTATTGAACACATACATTGTAGCCTCAAGGTTCTTGAAATAAATAATTCCATAGCATCACAGAATTTATTTATAACATCTATTTCTCACACTATTTAGACACATTTCTCAGTAACTGGTATTCTTAGTTTTAAACATTTCTTTATAACACGAGAAAATGTAAACCCAGATTAATGAATCATATCTGTATTGAAGTGGGAAAAAATATGTTACATTAAGTAAAAAAAAAAGAACACAAATGCATTAAACTTAATGTTCTTACATACTTGAAAATGATTTCGAATTGAAAAATCATTTTTAACACATGAATTATACATATTGTTTAACTAAATGGGGCAATATACAAAGGGTATTTTTCCATTGCAGTATTAAATAAAGTAAAACAACACATAAAAACACAAATATTGCTAACAATATTTTGGTGACTAGCATCTTTATTTAAAGTTCAGACAAAATATCATTTGTCTAAGTACATTGTTGTTAACTAAATGTCAATTATCATAAACTTATATGTTGTTTTGCTCTAATTAGTGTTTGTGACAATGTTACAAAGTTAAATACACTTATATACATTGTAAAACATTTCTTAAAAAAAACCTACACATGAGTGTGTTTATATTATGACCGTGAATTTTTAATAAACTAAATTGAAAAATATGAAGAAAAAAGTAAAAATATAATTTTAAACAAGTGCTTTTTACACGTGATACCAATTTTTTTTTTCCACATTAAGAAAGATAAATTTTACAAGCAAAATAAAATGTTATGTCAAATTGATTTTAGAAATAATTATCACACAATTCTTTTTCATAAGCAAGACTTTAATATTCTTTAGCAAGATAACATACTCAAGAATACAATAATTCACAGTAATTTATGGATAGATTATACGGATAGTGAATAGAGAAGATACAAAAGATATAAATTGCATAATATGCCAATCATTACAAAAACAATTACAGTTCTTCAGAGTAGGATAAGTGATAAGCTAAAGCAAAAGAAATTTAACGAATTTCATGCGGAACTGGATTAAAAGCCTTGGTCTTATGATCACACGGATTTGGAGCCAGCTCATAATTACAAAGAGTGATTTCCTGACGTGGCATCTGAAAGGAAAAATAAAAAGAGTGATAAATACCCATATTATCTTCAACAATTAAACATAAAAGGAAATATGGCATAAAACAAATATTAATGTAATGACAGATAAAAATGAACACTAATACTCTACTACAATTTAAGATAAATTAAATAATTAATGTTTAAACCATATTATTTGTACTATAGTGCCCCAAAAGTAAATACTTTTATTGTCTACAAACACTCTTTTCAGCCGTGCTCCAAACATACATATTAGTTAAAAATTTTCTGTCTTCAATGAAGCAGAAGACCTTTGATGAAAGTAATCTTGCTCTAAATAGTTTAATTGCTTTTCTAGTATTATTTATAAAGATAATCTTAATCTTAAAGAATATTAGATAATCTTAAAGAATATTTCATTGACAATTAATAAACATTTTAAATAAACTGGTTAGTTGACTCAAATGTGTGATAAGACCTTCAGTCAAATTACATTAATCATATTTCATACAGAATATGACCCAGGTTGTAAATGTTTTATTAATAAATAACTAACTTTCATTTTTCAAAAAGGTTTAGGATCATGCCTCCGAAGACCCTACTTCAAGTCTGTGTCCCAACACATAAAAATTTAACAAATAGTATCCATTTCTTTCTTCATGTGAGCATGTTAATAGAATAGGTTCAAAATTTTCGTTAACACTTTGTTGACGATCAACTTTACTCAAAAACAATCTCATGTCCCCGGCTCTTATTGTGTAATTGAATATAGACATAAAGTATATTATTCTAAAGATTGATTTAATTTTCAAACGTTGTTTACTGATGGTGAGTTCAATTTATCACCAGTCAAACAACAATATCTATAACATTAATTATTAATAGTAAACTGAGTTTTACCCAAATGAGATAGAAGAGACAATTTTAATTCTGGGGTTTTTAGGACTTTACTTTTATGGGGAGGATTGAAAATTATTTTAAAATCTTATAATTTTTTAATAAATTAAAACCAGATTACTAGTTAAATAAAAAAGATAAAGGAAGTTACTAACTTCTTAAAGCAATATCATTAGTATAAGAAATTAAAAAAAATCATTGATTGTTAAAAAGAAACATAATTTGTATTATTCAATCGAACCTCAAAGCTGCAGGACAACAAAAATCTTTTCCTATTGACCGCAGCATAAGGCACTTAGGATGTATTTTTAAAAAATCATTCAACAAATAGATCAAAGAATTTATATTACTAAAATCTACTGCTTAGTTTCCAAATTAAGAGGCCTTTTCCCCTCTTCCTTTCAGTACTAGAGTTGCAATACAACAAGAATAAACAATATGCTAGCAACCCAATGAAAATCTCACAAGAAAAATTTCACCATCAGGAAGGAAAGTAAGCGATTCTTTTTTCTTAAGCAAGAGACACCACCAGTCACAAGGTCATGAAAGGCTTACATTCTCTCTCGTGTTAAGTTGATGACAGTTACGATTTACAGATTAATGTGAACTAATGACAATCTTAATTCCAAGAATAAGCGACGAAGTTTAATACCAAAGTCACAATAAGGAATTTGTGTGCAATAGGCATAATAGTTAATTGTTTTACCAAATGTGATGGGAGAACTGTTTTCCTTCGTCTTAAATGAAAATTTGGGTTAAAAGTCTTAGTCTTAAGATTCAACTGTAGTTATAATATTGCTGAGATACTTAACATATGTTTTCTGCTGGAAATAAGAAAAATTATAGATGTAATATCATGTAAATATGGGCGCGAGGGTGCCCTAAGTTCAACATACCTGATTTTAAAAATTTCAAATAATTAATCAATTTGTTTTTAAATCAAATGAACAAAGGGATGACAATCAAGGACCATATAACAAATCTTAGTATATTTAGATAATTGAAATTAGAAGTTTCTGTTTCAACCTTACAATTGTGCAAAATTAAAAGCATCAAAAATGTTTTTCTTTCGTTTATTTAGTAGGAGGAAAATCCATCTAGGAGGAGTGGTACTTCGATGCATAGAATAGCTTTGAAATTCTATAACAAAGTTATTGAAAGGAAGAAAAAAAATTCTTATTCAGTATACATTAAAAAGGCAGAAAAAAATATTACATGATAACATTTTTAACTTAATACCTGGGATAGTTAATAATAAAATAAAAATATATCTGTTTAAAACTGTTTATAAATAAATAATTGCAAATTTCAGGTACATTATTTTAAATTACATATTTAATTAATCAAGAGGCAAACATTTCCTGCAAAAACACAAGGGGACTTTTTATTATATTGCAAAAAGGGAAGAAAAAAATTTATAATGGGAATCAAGCTAATTATATCCAAAACTCTGATGCACTAAAACTGTGTTTAATGTGGACAATAAATGGATGCTAAAGTTTATGAGGGAGATAGCAATATTATTTATTTTGCCTTTCTTAACATTTCTGTTAAACATACTTCACAAGACAGCTATTAGGTATTTAATCGTTGATAAACTCTTACCCCTTGCAGCAAAACCTATCTACTAAATTTTAGAAATATTTTTCCAATAAGGACTTCTGAAAATGGATGAATGATTTCCTTTATATGATGATTCCTTAACTAAAACTTTTAAAAAATTAAAATAAACTTGTAAGGTATTTTTTTTTTAAATACTTCTTTTAAATTTGAATTATATAATTGCATTTTCTTGACAGTTGAAAGGCCATTTTTAACACAAAAAATATAAAAACTTACCTTCTGAAATTCACCTTTCAAGCCAATGTAATAAACTTTAGTTGATTCCGCTCCAAAGTTTTTAGGAAAGTAAACAGCAAGGTGATGAACATTTGGAAATTTCACAACCCTAATTAAAAGGGAAAAAAAAATTTTGTTTTTTAAGTTCACAAATTATAATTTAAATTAAGAAAAATTATCAATTGACAGTCTCTTTTTTTTCCGAAATAAAGATCCAACATTGAACTATAGTCATAAGTTTTTTATGTACTTTGTATTTCACTAAAATGAAGTTCAGCATTAACTATACTTAACATGCCTACGAATCAATATCCTTAAATACCACAAATCAATGCTTTTTAATCTGCTGAATTGAAATACTATACCACTATTCATACGATTTAGAAAACGTTTGCAATAATTATGTCTTTAAAATGTGACCACTCAGTTTTCTTTTTTTAATAAAGTTAGCCGTAAAAACTTTACTTCTCATACTAGTTTTGAACATACTTCTATCAAAACTTACATAAGTACAGGGTAGAACAAACATTTGGAAATAATGAACAATCTTGAGAAAACATTTTTAATTATACATAAAATAGACATGTATGCATGAATTTCACATTTTCAAGAAACAACCCCTTAAAAGTGAAATTTAAAGATCTTAAAATTTTTCATAGCAAGGGCGATGAAAGGGAATGATGAAATCATTGGAATGTTGCTGTTAAGCAAAACAATTAGAAAAAAGTAATTTTAAAAACAAAAAAGATTTGCAGTAAATTCAACAAAATATTGTCCAAATCAACTGCATTTGGATTACAACGTGACGTTAACAACAGAAGCAATGGCGGACAACAACCAACAACAGAGCATTGAGATCAGCCAAGATTTTAATTTTAACATTAAACATAGCTTCTTTTTCCTCTTCTTCTTCATTTAGCTAAGCTATAATGTGTTTTTTCTTGGACAAAGTCATTATTTGTTCTTTAAAGCACTGGTCGACAATCACAAAATCAATACAAATTCGAAATAAATATTTGTTTACGTTATTAACGCATGTGCAATGCGAGATAATGTCTTTGTCGGACCGACTGCTCACACTGGGCTAACAAAACGGTATTTTTATGGCGTCAAAATTATATCAACTTAACGCTGACGCCCAGTTAAGACGCTTCTCCTAAGAAACGAGGCCTTGAGCTAACAAACCAGTATTTTGTTGGCGTCAGGGTAACGTCAACTTAACGCTGACACCCAGATAAGGCGCTTGTCCTAAGAAACCAGGCTTTTAGGAACAGCGTTATTTTCAATACGTATTAAATAATTAAATTTCTAGATTAAATTTTTAAAAAATGAAGTATTTTACTTACTTGACAGGATATTCCAATGTTCCAGTCAAGTCTGGCTGCATTTCAAATTCTTCATCCGCTTCACAATTCACATCATCAAAATTCAAATTAGGCCTGTTCTTAAACCTAAAATTAAAAGTCAGTTTTAGAAAATACACACTTCAAACAATTTTCATTATTTTAAATCATAACATAAATAGTTACACATAAATTTGAACATTAAAAAAAAATAAATAAATAAATAAAAATAAAAAAATAAACTAGTATTCTTACAGTTTCATTTTTGATGGATGAGTGTCTTCTTCACCTCCAACAACAATTATGCCCTTAAGTTTTACTATCCCAGTAAATCTACGAAAAGTGAGAGAGTTCATTATGGTTATTATAATGAGTGAAAAGAGGGTTATAGTAATGTGGGAAAAAAGTATTTGCAATTTTTAAGGTTAAAAGCTTAGCAAAATTATGGATTCAATTAAAAAACTGAAATGCTGAATTTATGCAGTCATTGGTTTGATCACAACCAAGTTGACTAGTGACTATATCTTGAGATTAAGAAGGAAATAATGTTAGTAGCAAACTAACAGTTTGACAAATTTGAACAAAGAGGGATAAACTTTTCATTTAGTATGAAAATTTAAGTCTATCACCCGCCAGACCAGTTATAATCAAGATTAAAAAAATTAATTAAGCTTTGCACAATAATCAGTTATGGGTAAAAAATATTCGACTAAAATCAATATAATCCAGATCTCAATTCGCATAGTTTAAAATTGATAAAAGTTGAACTTAATTGATAAAGTATAAGCTTAATATACTGACAAAAATATTTCATAAAAAAATTACAATTTTATTTTGGATACAAACTTCAAAATAAAAAAAGATCAATTTTTCTAGTTTTAGCACTTATTGCAAATTGTTTCTCATTTTGTTTTCCAAGCAGAATTTTTAAGGAAATTAATAAAAGAGAAACTTGTTTGTTTCGTTGTTAACCACACAGAACAAAAGGGAGAATGCCATTGAGAGGGTTTACTATTAGTTTAATAAAAATTTATAAATCCATAACTGTAATAATATGATTAAAAAAGGCAGAGGCATTTTGTTAAACAAATTTTTACTTACGGAATATTAAACAAAAGTTCTTCATCCACATCACTTTCAACAAACTAAAAATAAGCACATTAACATACAAATTAATCAACAATTTCAATTCTATTGAAAAGTTGCAAGGGAAAAATAATAATAATTAAAAAAAAATAATAAATAAAAAAGAATGACAAGGTTTAATATTTTGGAAAAATGACATACTAAAATATTTTAAGCACCATGCAGAAATCGACACCATATGAATATAAATAACAAATATTGGATGTATAGGAATACTTACCTAAAATGTCAAAGAAAAATTTCTAGAGAAACCTTTAAATAAATATGGCGGATATTTATAAAATGGAAATTAGATTTTAAAGTTAAGAAACCTCATGATAAACAACTAAAAAATACGTAAATGTCTACTGCGTCAGTTCTAAAACACAAAGGTAGCTCAATTATAATGGCACTGCATAAGTGAACTTCAATCCTATAAGAAAAGCTGTTAAAAAAATGTGCAACTGAGAAAAAAATTACCAATATTTTCGAATGATACAATAAGATTTCGATGAGGCAAACTTTTACAATTTAAAGACAAAAGTCAATTCAAAATTCTATCAATTTTTTTTTAAATGTTATGAAACAAACCCGAAAGTGCAATGCTCATAAAATATTAACAGCTTATATAAGTGATTAAATACAAAATTATTTTTACCTTGTATCCAGATATGTATCCCTTTCCTAAATAAATCAAAAACTCTTAAATATAAGAACCAATTAAGCTTTAAGTTAAAAAATAATAATAACTTAAATAGCAGTTAAATTATCGATTCTTAAATTTTAGAAATGTAATTTCCAAACTTATACAGTGAAAATTAAAAGCAACATTAAATAGGTATTATACCTTCAGAGTAAAGAAAATAAACTATTGCATAAAAGTGCTGCCTAATTAAACCTTTATGGTGCCTACTAAAACTATTTTAACTGCTATTAAATGTTTTAATAATAATGGCTTAGTTTATTAGAAACTTTTCCATTTATTTTAGAAACTAGTGTGAACATATGACCTTGTTGAGAAGATACAGGAAGGTAGCAAGGCATAGACGATACAAACATCTTGAAATGAGTTTTCTTAAGCTGACTAAAAATAAGCTTGACACTGTATGATGGGGTCTAATAATTATCACTATGGAACACTTACCTAATAATTGAAATAGAGAGAGAAAATACTCTAAAATTAAGAAATTGTTGTTTTGTGGGAAATTCTGGTATTTTAAAAATAATAGATTACACTTATGTTACAAACGCACAAATGCTCTTTTTCTCCCACAAAAGACAAAACTAGCAACTTTTCACAGAGTCGAATTGATCAGTAAAATTTAAGTAGTAAAATTTTTGAACTTTGATTAAAAAATACACTCATTAAATCAACTGCAATACTATAGAAATTTTATCTCAAATCTTTTGGAAAATAGAAAACAAAATAATATGAGGCAGAATGCATAAAAATTTAATGAAACTGACAAAATAATATTTGATAAGACTGTTTCAAATATTATCACACAAAAAGAGAAAAATTCTGTTTTAAGATAAATCAATTGATTACAACAATGAAATGAATGCATAAAAATTAACAAGCAAATCAAAGTAACTTGAGGTCAGGGTGGGCAAAAAATAAAAATAAATTTTTTTTTTCCATCAAATTTCAGTTAAAAAAATATTAATAATTGTTAATATTATTCAAAAGCAATATTGTAACTAAAATGATAACATAATTATTATAATTGGATAAATAAAATCATTCTTATTTTTTGTTCAAGCTCAAAACTCTTAGAAATTTGTAAAGAAAAAGACTCAAATTGTCAGACCGTTATTAAATGAAAAATAAATTAGATCAGATCAAAATACATTAATCTAAAATGAATTATTTTTAATAAGCTTTAAAAGTATCTGTATTTAAATAAATATAAAACTAAATAGATATAACTGAAATATGTTCGTTAAACAGTAAATTATTTTACATATAAAATGAAAAATTGTAATTTAAAAGTGTCAAACAGCTTTTATTCTCTTTCAATCTCCCTTATTAATTTTTTTAATATTTTTTAAAATCTATATTAAACATCAATTTACATATGTCCACAGACCATTATTTTCATAGATTAAATTTTCAGTATCAATGAAATCGACTTTTTAAAAAATCACATCCTTAAGAATATAAGTTACATAAAATTTTTTAAAAAAGAATCAAATCAATGATTTAAAAAAAAGATAAAAAAAGAAAGAAAAAAAAGATCGGTAAATATAAATAACACCAACCATTTCTAAAGTAAAATATTACTTTTTTTACTTTACAAAATAGTCATCATATATATGTATTATAATACTATACCAGAAGCAAAAATGATAAAAAAACTAGATTTAAAATAAAAGACAATAAGTTGATTTCAATAAATATAAAATAATTCAATGTATTAAAAAAACCAGCAAACATATTTATAAAGTTTACATGAATAACTTATGTAAAATTTTAAACAGTAATTGATATATCTGTGAATAAAAAAAATATATACCTAACATGAAAAGTTATATTGAAGGACAAAAAAATAAAAGATGAGCAGTGCAAATTATTTCAGCAGCAGGTTTGTTATAATTTGAATTGGTGGATACTATAGTAAAGCTATGAAAGATTTTTCTGATATGAAAAAAGAAAAGTACAATGTTATAAATACATATTAAAGTCATAGTAGAATCTACTTCAATGCAAATTTGAAAACTTGAACGAAGAATTATCAATTGATAATCATCGATTTAATATCTGGAAAATAAATGAGTTTCATAAACATATAACCCATTAAAAATGTCACAAATTTTTTTTGTGTAGTAATTCTATATGATATAAATAATATTACACGAATCTATTAATATTACACGAATTCACTATCATATAAGTACTTATAGAATCTGCTAGACTTTACAATAATCAAACTACTCAACTTTTAAGTTTTCAGTTTATATGATATCAAACTATGCAATGTTTCATATTTTTTTAGGGATCAAAAAATATTATAAACATAGTTTAGCTTAAACAAAACATAAAAATTATAATATTTATACAGTATTTAAAATAGTTTTAATTGCATTCTTAAAAAGGTAATAAAATTGTTTAAAAATTATCTTTAAATTTTTGAGCTGATTTTTTTTATTGTGATTTAAGTTAATTACACATTAATTATTTAATTTTTTTTTTATTTTCATAAGCTTTTAAATGACTTAACATTTTCCTTTAATAAATACATTTATAAAATATTTTGTTGTTGTTTACAACTCTAATAAATAGTAATTAAAATTAATAAAATATTTCTATGAAACATATGTTTAATTAAAATACATCAATTGTTGAAGAGTGACTAAAAGAGTATTCACACAAGTCCATTTGTGAATAAATGATACAAAATAGTAATTTACAATTTTATACCACTGATTTTTTAGATATTATGTAAAACATTTGGTTTTTCTAACATTTGGCATAAAATATTTTACAGTATTATGATTCATTTCCCTTTAAATGATGACACTTGAGCCTTACTTTTTATCCTTAACAGCTACAAAATAAATAAGTAAAACTGTTTTCTCACTTAATTTAAAAGAAAACACATTAAAGCCATCATATAATTCTCATAAAAAACAAAATAAAAAAAATAATAAATCCCATTGGCACTTAATAAACACTATGACGGACACTTAATAAACACTATGTTATTATACCTTAAGAATAACACCAAATATTTTGGCACCAAGACAAATATAAATCTGACAAGAGGAGATAATGCTGGCTATTTACATGTATTCTTTGTTCTTACAAGTATTGTTTAATTTTTTTTTAAAAAAAAAGACAATTATGGTAAGTTTTCGTTTTGAAAAAAATTGCTCTTTTTTCTTCTTTAATTGAACACATTTTCTTCGAGGTTGATTTTCAATAAATTTTCTTGCATTCGGTACCACTTGCATCAGTTCTTTCCATTAATTTTATTTTCACCAAGTTCTTAATTAGATATAAACCAAATTCTAGTCAAATTAAAAAATATATAAAACTTGTAAACATAAATAATGATAAAAAATATTACAGCGCTTAAACTGTTAATATATCTCAATGTAAGCAAACTATTCAAAAAGCTGCTTAATTATATATTAAATGAATTAAGCACTTTCATGAAAGCCTACTGTCAACCAAAGGGGTCATAGAAGTTGAGACCAATAGCATAATGATGCTATTCTGATCAGAATTTCTTTTTCCAGCAAGCTGGTATTCATTGATCTGAAGTTAGGAATACTTCAAGCTACCAGTGAACGAACCCGACAGCTCAGTGCTTTAAATACTAGATCACTGCGGCTCTACATAATATCATAAAACATATTTTATAAATGCAAAAATCATAATAAATCAGACTGGTATTTCCTAAAGTTTAATAAAAATTTCATTCTAAATAAAGTTAATAAGTTTCAAAACATTTTAATAAAAAAAAAAAAATTAGGCATATACGTTATATTCAAATAATTTGCCAACAAGTTTTTAAAGACATGTAAACATCACAAACTAAGTTAGAATAATTTAACTATAATTAATACTCTAACTGTCAAGTTACGATTCAAAAACTTATAAAAAAAGTTTTGAGTAGCGTTTCATCGTCAAATAAAATAAGAAGACAAAAAATGTTCGATGTAAAAGAGAAATTAGAGCTCGATACAATCAATCTAAATAGTATCAACAGTGAAAGGGTTATTATATGTAAAACAAATAAATTAAGATTTAAAAAACTGATTATTCACTTTAATAAATCCTTAATTTTTTTTAATTTAACAACATTATCTGAGGAGATCATATCATTAGCGTAAAAATATTATTTATAACCACAATATGATGAACAAAATACATCAAATGGCTTTATATAAACTGTAATATCAAGAAAATGTCATATTAAAAATAAACATAAAATCTAAAAATTATATTAGCATAATAAAATGCACAGATAATATATAGATTTAAACATTAATAACACACAAAAAACTTAGCAGATGAACAGGTATGTACATAAACAGAGTGTACACAAACACTATGAAGACTGTTGTTTATCATTTAATAATAGGCAAATTAATGCAATCAAATTAGTAAAAAGTAAATATAAAATGAGTTTTTAAAATACAATCAACATAACGCATTAAATTCAATAGGTAAAACAAGATAATGAAAATGTTAAAAATAAATCTCTTCTTGCATCAAGTCCCTGTAAATAAGTGTACTCAAAAACATTAATGTTGAAATTATATAATTTTTTGAGTGAATAAATACATATAACTGGTCATATTTATTGGTAAAAAGCATTTATCAAGGTAATTTACATAAATAAAGCACTCGATTCAGCTTTATCATAATACCTGAAGATAATGAGGTGAGTAATAAGTAAATATGTCACACTAAGGAGGAAGCGCTACCCTAGGTGACTGATATAAGATAAATTTGGTTAAACTAAAGATTTTATTAAAAAAAGTAATAAATAATTGTTTGTTTTTTTACTGTATAAGCTTACTTTTTCCGTATCTAAACGCTTTTCCCAAGGTTTGAAAACTTCTTTACCCGAACCCTCTACCACTTCGTTGAGGCACTGAATGTTTTCAGTATCAATTTTTGTATATAAACTGTATTCAATCCCTAACTCGGATGGTTGCTCTTGAGCTTCATGTTCACAATGTCCATGACTATGACCATGTCCAGACATAATGATTTAATATTGAGATTTTGCCACTTTCTATTGCTGGTGTTTACAATTTGGGTGAAAATGCATAACCTATTACAGAAAGTGTTGCCAACTCAACGACCAAAACAATAAGGAGCCATTATAGTCTCGAATACAGTTGTCAAAAATACTCTCGATTCGAATATTTATTTTAGATTTCTGTGTAAATAGACAAAAAGTAATATTTAACTAACGAATTCTCACTGTTAAATCCTTTAATAAAACATATGAAACACACCCCATGCTCTTAATTTAATTGATAAAACATTCAAAGGGATTTTAAAAATGACGACGAAAAAAAAAAAAAAAAAAGTGAACCCTCATTGATTAACGACATTGCAAACCGTTTGAAATTTGCAAGATGGATGTGTAATAGCAATTCTAAAATCTAAATGCCTGATTAAAGTTCAATAATATAGAAAAATTTCACGTTTTCTTCACGCTTTTTCAACTTTATTCTTAAAATAGTTCTTAATGCTGCTTATATACTGAAACTGAAAGGTCGCAAGAAGTTTATCGACCCAGCCATCAGAAAAAAAATATTGATTCAAAAATTTAGCAATTTTCCATAAAACTTGAAGTAAAAAATACATAGAATCGTATACAAAGTAATTAACAGCTTGAGTTTCTCGAAATTTGCTGTTATTATTGAAATTCATAATTCGATGCTAGTTCTAAGATATGCCAATAGATGGCGCCAATACTTTTCTCAAATTCTTAGTATTTTGATAAATTTTAAAGTTTTTAGATAACGTAAATTTTTATGTAACAAAACGTTATTGAGATAAATATTTAGAAAAAGCAAGCATTGCGTTTGTCATACAATTTAATATCTATTTACTCTTAAAATATAATAAATTTAATTTTTAAGACTTCATTTCATAAATTATACTTTATAATTTAATTAACTTATTCAAATAAATTTAAGAAATTAAAAAAAAAAATCTTTAAGGAAATGATTTTAATAAATGTATAACATCTATGAAAGGCATTAAAACAAAATAAAATTAAAATTAAAATTTTGTTTTTATAAAGTGTGTAGTGAAATAAATTAAGAGATTAGTAACTAAATATTTATTAAATGGTTCATGGCGCCACTGGGTGGACTCAGATGTTCGAACTCAACAGTTCGATGCCTTACGACTTTTTATTTTATGAGAACTGCATAAACATAATATTAAAATTAAAATAAAATTAAATATTTTTTTAAAGTTGACTTCATTGACTTTTATTGTTGAAAGAAATAAATTTTTTATTTCGTGAAATATAAGAAGTAAAATGAATAAAAATTTAAAATGGAAATAGAAAATGAAATTGCTTTTTTCTCATCATTTTAACACGAGAATAGATAAAATATTAATTGTTTTTAAAAGTGTGCTTGAAATTTCAAAACCATTTCAAAATATAAAATTGTAGTAAATCAACAATTAGAGTTAAAACTAAAGCATATTTTCCAAAAACTTTACTATAAGATGTTGAAAAGTAGAATTTTAAACTAAATACAGAAATACTAATTTGAATATAAAATAAAGAAAATTCATTTAGCTATAAAATGCTCGAAAAAAAAAATGATCTATGTTTTTATCATATAAACAGTCAACAATCCTTTTGAATATATTTACTAAATCAAAAACAAGTATCTTTTCTAAAAAATTATTCACGAGGAGAAATAATTAAACAACTCGTTATTATCATATTTTGATAGAAAAATTCCTTAAATTGCTTAGTCTATTAAAGAGAAAGATTTTAACTATATTGACCTGTATTATCGATATTATTTGTATTTCTTTCGTATACATAGGGTTTACTTTAATATTAATCGTAAGACAATAAGTTATTTCTTATTTTTGTTGCTTCAAAGTTATTTTTGTTGCTTTGTTTTACATTTTCATAGTTAATTTTCAACTAAATTAGTTGTTTCTCCTGTTAATAAATTTTTTTATTTCTAATAATAATAATAATAAAACCTTGTACTAATTACAAAGTAAAAATACTAATGACAGCTCCGTAATCCGTCATGTCAGCTTACGATATATATGTTACCGGCAAAGTATGAAACGCGGGCATTGTATAGAATGCCAGATGTTTTTAGGCAAAGTATGAAATGTGAGAAATATTACGGACTTTCCCTAGGCATTGTATAAAATGCCTAGGCATTCTACAGAATGCCAAATGCTATTTAGGCAAAGTAGGAAATAAACGTTTTGATGAGGTTATTATGTAAATGATGTGCATGTTACTGTGAATGACCGAAATCGGTGGTTATTGACTTTCATCTGTGAATGTTGACAATCACATAGTCGCTTTGGTGAATGTCCAAAATATTTATTACATCCGATTTGATATTAATTTACTTGTGGAGATAATTACATTTATTCGATATTTTTATACTTACTGACGATGGATTAGAAGAAACACCAGTGTTTGGAGTATCGGGCAAATGTATACCGGACAATGGCCCTTGACCTTAAAAAAACATCAGTGTAGGGTATACCGGGCAAATGTATACCGGGCAATGGCACTTAACCAGACCTAGTATGACTAGACCTTTGGTAAATGTCCGAAATATGTACTAGGTCTAGTGGCACTGCCCGGTATACATTTACCCGGTATATCTTACGCTGATGTTTTTTTTAAGGTGAAGTGCCATTGCCCGNATTATCGAACAATATTTAAAATCAATTGTCAGTTATAATTGTTCTACATCATTTTTAAAATATTTGAATAAAAATTCCTTTTCAAGTATTTTTATAAATTTTTGAGGCTTTAAATTTATTTTAATGAAACATAATGCATAGTTCAGAGAAATGTTTACATGACAAAAAAGCGTTCAATTTTTTAAGTTGCAAATATATTTAGGAATTTTAAATAAGGATATCGTTTGCTTTGAAAAGCAATAAGAAATTGAGTTTTATAGATATTAGAACAAATTGAAAAATGAACTCAAAGAACTAAACTGTTATAAACTTCTTTGTAGCACAATTAAGAATAAGAACTTATAAAACCATTTTACCCTGGAGTAAATTAAAATAACATAAAAATAAATATTTACTCTTGTCTTAGTTTTATGGTTAAATTCCTTTAATAATGGCACTTAACTAGACCTAGTATGACTAGACCTTTGGTAAATGTCCGAAATATGCACTAGGTCTAGTGCCACTGCCCCGTATACATTTACCCGGTATATCTTATGCTGATGTTTTTTTAAGGTCAAGTGCCATTGCCCGGTATACCCTACACTGATGTTTTTTAAGGTTCAGTGCCACTGCCCGGTATACCCTACATTGATATTTTTTAAGATCAAGTGTCATTGCCCGGTATATATTTGCCCGATACTCCAAACACTGATGTTTCTTCTAATCTATCGTCAGTAAGTATTAAAATATCGAATAAATGCAATCTATCGTCAGTAAGTATTAAAATATCGAATAAATGTAATTATATCCACGAATAAATTAATATCAAATCAGATGACGTTTTGAATTTGTCATTTTTGAATGACATTTTGACGAATTGGAGATGTATTTTATACTTTGCCAGTTTCTCATTTGGCATTCTATAGAATGCCTAGGCAATGTGAGAAATATAAATCATTTCATACTTTGCCGGTTAATTTTAGGCATTCTATACAATATCGGATTTCATACTTTGCCGGTAACATATATATATTTTTAGAAAAGAGAAATTAAAAAGTATGCCTGTCAGAAGTTTCAAATTAATATTTTAACTGAGGAGAAACAAAAATCAGGTTTACAGATCATCAAAACATGTTACATGACTAAAAAAAATTGAGAGAAGTTGAAAGGCGATTGTTCGAAATACCTCAAAGTTCCAACCGGCAATCAAACAAGTTTTACGGGTTTGCACTTCCACGTTAGTGACTTGCTAGAATTCGATAGAAGTTTTTTTTTTAAATTTCTTAAACAATAATTTGTGTGTGTTCTTTTTTTACTTCCATTTTGAAAGGGATTTAAAAAATAAATATTAAGGGAAGTTTTTACGGAATCTCATGACTAAGGTTTAATTTAGTGATCTGTTACATTATTATAATGCTAGAATAAAAGAGTAGAATTTTTTAAACAAGACTAGCAGCTTTAAGAGGTTTTTACGGAATATAAACTATTATCTAGCTCATTTCTCCTGTATATTGTATTGTGTTCTAAAAAAGTCTAGAACTTTGAGAACATAAAATAACTCCTAAAAATGCCATTGAAATAAAGGTAAAATTATTAAAAAAGTATTCCGATATAATTAAACAGGAATTTCAGTCTGGAATATTATTTTCTTTATTAATTTGCATAAAATATGCAATTTTATTAAAATACGTAAGTTAAAAGAAACTGAGATGCAATTTTCGATGTAATTTGGAAGATATGTTTAATATTCAAATGATAAAAAGCTAACGATAAAAGAAACAATGTATAATTGTAACTGATATCTACATTATTTTTTCATTTTGTAAACAAAAACGGTTATGCAATATAGAGGATAAAAATAGGAAACAATAATTTAAGAAATGTCCCTATATCAATATTTAAAAAAAATTAAATGTAAAAATACGACTAAAAATAGATAAATAAATAAAATACTCCAAAATCTAAAAAAACTCTTAGTTTAACAAAAAATATATTAAAACCCCAAAAGGGTAAAAGAGCTGAAAAACGCAAACAATACAAATGCTATCGTAATTTGAACCTTATTATGTTTCTTATCTTCATAGTAATTGAGTTTTAATAGATTTCTGAAGGCTACGCTTTCATTATTTACCCGTTTCAAAGTAACGGCTAAAAAACAAAAACGAATTAAGGGAGATTTTTTTCTGCTTACAAGGAGAGGAAAAACAGGGAAACCTCACACGGTTAGCCCAGCGGTAACTGGATACTTATTCATGATCCGCTAACCATTCTGTGCAATTGCCGAGATTTAATCCTGGCGCACTCCACTGAAAGGCGAGTGCTTTCTCAGATGTAACGCTAATTTTTCCTGCCAAATTTTTCAATTATGCAGTTTTCAATAAAAACATGTTCTTTTGCTAATTCTTCATTCTAGAAATAAAACCTTTCAGAATTCATTTACATTGTGTT